ATTTCTCCCCACACCCCCTTCCTCCCCCCTCAAAACGAACATACACATGTTCATGCAAAGGATCGATATTTTTAAATGAAGTGCAATTTCCTCGTGAAACGTGACCAGCTGCAGCTCTAATTTCACCATACACCTCGGTTTACGTTGCCACGGTCGCACAACCTTGCCATGGCTATGTTCACGAGGTTGACTTTCACTTTGAGTAGGTCATAAACTACATGTTCGAACAGTGCCCGTCCATAGATAGAGTTCGATATTTTTTTCTCAAAGACGAGACGAACGGGGCCCAAACCCCCTCCCCCCCCCCCCCCCCCCCCCCCCTAAACGAACGAATATCTTCTCTATAAAATATCGATAGTTTGTGGACGATCCCTTGCCCACATGATCGTAGTAGAAAACTTGAGGGAAGGACGTGATTGGTAGCTGATACTCTCTTATGGGTATACAAGGATCAAGTGCCCCGGGATTGGTGCAGTCACTTGCAACTCCAATACACAGAACATGACTTCTAATCTGAATGTTCGAATTATCCAACAGTAGGAATGTACCAATAAAGGTAAATACTGAGAAACACATTGAAGAAAGCTAACACCGACAGTTGAAATAGACGGTATTTGAATCAACGGGACTGTATTTAAAGGGAACTGGTAGCATACCAATCACAAGCAAGCAACACATCAGCAGTACTCACAGCACGAATACATGAAGGAACCAACTCCATCGGCGGCGGTCCATGAGCTCCTCTACCCACAAAGCTGTCCAGTTCAGGGTCTGTGGACGAGCAAGCATCCTCCTCATCATCTCCACCCTCATCGTCAGTAGAGAGGCTTTGCCGGTCCAATGTATCGCTATCTAGGCTGCAGATGCTACTGCTGCTACTATGCAATGACACCTGCCATTGACCTTCATCCGATAAGTATGTTACCTCCTGTCAACAAACCACAGGGTGAGGAAACGAAGCACGTGCACACATAATCACATAATTACCTGTATACAAGACAACTCATGGAGGCGAGTGGTAACATGTACTTTGCCTTGCAGTGTTTTCCATAATAGCACTTGATATGATGAGTTTTTGATGTTCTCACGGCGGAGACGAAGGACTGTGATCACAGCCACCGTTAAACTGCCCTGGAGTGCAGTAGTAATAGTATTTTAGACCCCTTTTTTCCTCGTTTATGTCCGTTCGTGACACCAACACGCACACATGCATGCACACACACACACACACACACACACACACACACACACACACACACGCACACATACACATGCACGCACGCATGCACGCACACAGAAGCAATAGATCAGCAAGCAACACAGACATGATTTCAACTGAACACAAGCACAAATGGACGACTTCCTGGTGTCAGTTGGACACTTACAATCTCCGTCAAGTCATCTGGCCCAGCAGGCCGAGGCCTACTCATACTCCAAGCAACTCGATTCTCATTGACAGTGGTGATCAACTCCGTGTAGCTGCATGCCACATACAAGATGGCAACAAACACAGTCACCAACACGTAAAGCGTATTGAAACGTTTCACTCATATAAGTTACAGCAAACAAGAATACTTCCGGTGAGACAAGCAGAAGGATGATAAGGAGCTGGAGAAATTCATTATAATTTATTAGATGATAACTCACAACACAAAGAAGCACATTAGAAAATATATTTGAAGTAGCACTAACAAACAATGGATACACAGAATATCAACAAAACGATGATAGCACAACAAAATTTAACACACTGGTACACCAGAAAATTGATGTGTATACCATTCGTGTGGGCGAGATTTCACACATACCATACTTCACCAGACATAAGTTGACCTTTCATGCAAAGAATTGAACCAGAAACTGGACGGTGTTGATTCACAGCCGAGGTTAGACGCAAACCTGAGAATTAGTACACAACGTCCTTTGTACCACAGCACACTGTGTCTGCACGCATGCAGTGCACCAGTACAGTGTGTGTGCGTGCGTGTGCGCATGCATGCATGTATGTGTGTGTGAGTGTGTGCATGAATGCATGTGTGTGCCGGTGTTGATATAATTATTATTATAACTTATGAAATAAGGTAATAGCAGACATGTATGTCTCTCTGTTCATCAAGCACTGACCTTTCTAGTAACTTGCGACAGCATTCCGACTGGGGTGCCATGGTCCTATGGAAGACATATGTGTGCACAAGATGAAACTTTGACAAGACATGTCATAGCATGAGATGTTTTTGCGACTGTCCTAATGCCAAAGCGAGAATGAGAATTTTTTTCTCCAATTGCATCTGACACAAATTGTTCGAAAAGACTGAATAAATTCTAGCAGCCAACCTCCACAAAAGTAGCTGTGAAAGTTGTTAGTCTAATCATTAATATTAAATTAAAGTACTTCTGTTCCATGCTGCTGTTGGCAGTCTTTGTGATGTGCCATGAGATAATGACATGATGAAAACCAAATACAAAATGCATATACTTGGAGGTAGACAGTAGAGAAATTGATACTATCACAGTGCTGAAGAAGACCAAGTGACAGTGATTGCCAAAGCAGTGATGCTGGCAACCATGCAAGTCATCCTATGTCATAACGGTGACTGACCGGAGCGCCTCTAGCAGAACTGGCTGAGCTTCGAGCACGCGATGCCGCGAGAAGATGTACTCGTCGAAGAGACGCTGAATCTGCAGGCTCCATGATGACGCATTGTGCTGCAAATACTCGTCCTGTCAGGACATAGGCACATACAGAGAAGTACACTCCAAATCAGCACATTCCTTACTGAAAGACAGCACTGGTCATACACAAGTGAGCAGAGGGAATACAGAGGGTTCGGTACCAATAAGCCCATTGCGCAATACACACCCCACACCACCACCACCTGGGCATGGTCGTCTGGGGTGTTGAACAGTGCATTGCTGATCCCAGCGTACTCACATGCATTACTCATACCTTCCATATTTGGCAATGCGCAATGAGCTTATACAATGCAACTAGCATCTTCCGAGATCGAGAAAAACAAACAACTGTGCCACATAACAATAGGGGTAAACCTGAATTGAGGAGCAAAAGAAACGTGAAGCATGCCAGAAGCCACGGTGACCACACTGTTCAAACAGCACAGTTACTAGTACTGCGTGGCACCAGTGTGTGCTTACCAGTGGCCTTAACACCGTGGTGAGTGTCCGGGAAGCCGAGCACAGAGCCGAGTACTCGCCGAGCATGAGCTGAACCACATCGATCACACTACCGTGCTCCAGCTGATGGGCAATACGAGGCCAGATCTCATCTGTAATATACGCCCTGACAGAGAACACGCAAACATGCAACAAACACATTTTAGGAGGGAAAATTCAGAACTGTTGAGGAGAAAAATTGAAAAAGACCAAGGCAGTCCAGGAGGTGTACAAGTAGAACACAAAAAGGCAAAAGCGATTGAACTGAACGTGATAATATAGTGGTGGCAACTCACTTTGCCTGCCCTTCAGCACGTAGGTTAAACTGCAGTACAACAACAAAAAAACACAAGAAAAGCAAACTCCCGCTACAATAGTGTGCGTGTGTGCACGTGCGTTCGAAGGTAAGCATACCACATTCACAGAGTCTGGTAGAATACATAATAATTACTTGTAGGCAGAAGAAAGGGATGCAATTGATAATTCAGGACAAGACACCCACACACAAACACACACGCACAGACACACACGCACAGACACAAACACACACGCACAGACACACAAACACAGACACACAGACACACACGCACAGACACACCGACACATGCACATGCACACAAAGTAGGAACATCAGAGCAGTATCAACATAGGACTGTATGAAAGTCAGTGCAAATACATTCACTGGCCAAATTTGTTGAAGTGTCTGATACTTAATGGATATCCCCTTGATAGTAAACTATGCCCCTATGTAGTACCCACCTGAAGTGGATCCGAACAGAAAAGCCTGCAGATGGGAGCAGCACACACATTACAAACACCACATACAGAACGACAAGTTAATGTGAATACAAGTACTAGTAAAATTAGAAATGCATGGAGCCAGGTAAACAGCAACAGCAGCAGAATGGCCATATGAAGAACCAGACAATCTTAATCTGAGCCAAGACGGATCCTTTCTACAAAGGATGAAGAACTACATGTACCACCTACAACGCTATCCACGGTGTCTATCACAATGCACTGGGTCAAGTGATCTCCGTATTTCCTCACATTCCCTTGCATGTACCCCCATGACAAACACTGGTGTGAACTGCAACTCTCAACAGGCAAACAACTAGTACAAGAAAGGCTAGGTTATCTATGCTGTGGTTCTGATAATACATGGTCCAGCTGGCAGCTGCATATTCATAGTAATGCCTGCAGTTGTCAAACATGCCTTCAAGATGCAATTCAGAACAAGCCAGTCAAAAGATCCAAGGCACACATATGTTCGTGGAAACGAGCCCAGACATATCGTATTGTACATACTTCTATTGTAATCGCCTACCTTTCAACCAGATCATCAAGCTTGTCACAAGAATATGTTCCCACATGAGTGTCTGCCATAACGGTGTCAGCTTCGCAGAATATGCAGCGCATCGCATGCCGCACTTCCATCCACATTGACTGTGCAGGGACAATTACAAGTAACGAGAGGAGAGGGAGGGAGGGAGGGAGGGAGGGAGGGAGGGAGAGAGAGAGAGAGAGAGAGAGAGAGAGAGAGAGAGAGAGAGAGAGAGAGAGAGAGAGACGAGAGAGCGAGAGAGCGAGAGAGCGAGAGAGCGAGAGAGCGAGAGAGCGAGAGAGCGAGAGAGCGAGAGAGCGAGAGAGCGAGAGAGCGAGAGAGAGAGAGAGAGAGAGAGAGAGAGAGAGAGAGAGAGAGAGAGAGAGAGAGAGAGAGAGAGAGAGAGAGAGAGAGAGAGAGAGAGAGAGAGAGAGAGAGAGAGAGAGAGAGAGAGAGAGAGAGAGAGAGAGAGAGAGAGAGAGAGAGAGAGAGAGAGAGAGAGAGAGAGAGGGACACACACACACACACAAGGATACCGGAGTAATGAATGATACACACTAAAACATGAGTGTTAAGTGCTAACCATCTGAATGTTCTAATCATCCCCCAACAGAAAACCCATATGGATACAAGCTCGGCCTGTGCAAGACTTTGAATCAAGCCGCCATCTTCTTGCGTGGAGTGGTTTGCTTCGTTGGATGCTCACAGTTATTGCGAATACTAGTAATAACTATCACATGCCCTTCGATATACTATTAAAACAAGTGATCATGGGAATTATTTGCATTGGCAAAGTGACATTCTGGCTCCTTTTTTTTCAAACTTTGAGTAACCTGTAGATCAAGAGATCTTCAACTGACATATGGGCTCTATAGGAATAACAGTGTACACCTACTGGTAGTGTTTGCTCCATGTTTGACTGGGCTGCCATTGTCAAAGCCCTGTATTGAACACAATCAACACAACACAATAAGAGTCAAATACCAATACCACATACATATACATACCAATACCATATACAGTGAAACCTGTCTAAGGCGACCCTTCAACTCAAGGGACGAGAAAAAGTGGTCGCCGTGGCCAGGTGGTCTTCTTATCCAGGTTCAGTGGGTCACGTGACCACATCCACATGTGATACATCATGTTGATCAGTGCATCGCAGTGCACACACCTATGCTACTCTAGTACGCGTGCACGACCCATGTGCCTGGGGTCCTCATACATGTACCTGTCAAATGTCGTGCATGCACCATGTACTAGTACATCAGGGGGTCGTACAAATACCGGTATTTTATGACTCCCTGATGTACATCTACACTTCCTGCACTGATGTGTAGATCTACCATGCCTGGTGCACCATGCAATGCGTACATTTACATGACTAGCACTGTGCAACGCGGTCGCGGGTGGGTGGTCGTCGGTCGCGTTGAGCGAGTGGTCGCCTTATCCGAGGTGTTTTGAATGTGAATGCGTCCGTGACAAGGAAAAGTGGTCGCCATGGTCGAGTGGTCGCCATATCCGAGTGGTCGCCATTACAGGTTTTACTGTACATACATGGCTCTACAATTTGATCAAGACAGAAATGCAGCATGCCACCATGGATGAGCATTCCCCTGTCTCTCATCAGCAGCAGGTCGACCAAATGCAAGAAGTCGACGGGACACTATACACTGGGTCGCGCAAACCATAAGGTGCACCTGCACACATAGCTACACTGCAGCACAGCGTGTGCAAATCAGTCAGACTGACGTTTCCGCTGAACATGTGGATCTTCACTTAGTCTCTATTTAGAAAAATCACGCCAATCGCCCTTTTTGCCACAGTGACAGGCGTTTCAACCCTACACCAAATGTTGCAAAAAGCAGCAGGAAATACAATGAAATGCAAACGGCATTACTGTATCATGTGAATACGCACTAACAAAACTCTTGACAGAATCACACCATTAGCCCTACCAGGAAACATTCCTGCTCTTGTATTGTAAACAATAAAAACAACAACAGCTTCAGTTGGCATCTGTCACAAAGCGGCAATAACAACAACAACTTATTGGCGATGGTGCCATCGTGAGAATAACAAACCACTCACTGAGCTTCGCCACACTGCACACAGGAACACGGGGACACTGACGATGCTGATGTTAGCGGCAGGTCGCACGATGGCGAAGCCGGCGGACTACTCGACACAGATAGCGGCGGGGTTGCTGGCAAGCCGTTGCTGTTGGCAATCACACCGTTGTACTGTGCCACACCGCTGAGCGAGAGCGGTGACATCGGAGTAGCTGCTACACCCTCATCCAGCATATAGAGATAGGACAGTGAATCCTGCATACACACACACACACACAGGGCGCAAACAGGTGATTAGATAAAAGATAGAAGGGAGACAAACTGAGACCGAAATGCCCACGAAAGATCACTCTGAACACAGCAGTACAGCCACAACTGCAGCCACTGCAAAGTTACTATCGCCGAGCTCAGCGGCACCATTCTACACACAATATCCAGGCCACTGGGAATCATTTGTGTCACTTACAGATGAGACGTGTGACTTCAGCTCACTGGAACCAGGAACACGATGCTGGCACTCTGCACAAACGTACCACGAACTCTGCAAGAACAAGTACACACACAACCACCCAAATGACAGAAGTCCAACAACAAAGTAGTCTTGCACATACATATGCAAGGGTGCTTCGACATAAATTGCTCTGGAGATACAACAAAATGCAGATCGTATTCGCATGAAAACCGCTGCCACTCTGGCAATAGTGACAGATGAATTATACCCACAAATGGAATAGTTCTGGCCAAACGCATCACTCCTCATTCAAAACATAAGTAGCAGCGACCAAATCACATACCTCTGAAGAGAACTCGTCATCCTTGCCACTCTCTGCATTCCACGTACAAACAGTGTGCATGAACAAAGGAACACACGCACGACACACACGCACGCACACACGCACGCATGCACACACGCACGCGCACACACACACACACACACGCACACACGCACACACACACACACACACACACACACACACACACACAATGGATAGAGGTCAAGAGAAGATAACTTAGGAAGCGATAAAATATCTCTGTACATACATTCAAGTGACAATGGAAACGACGCACACACATCAGCCTATCCAGTATACTGGTACACTATCAGGACAGGCAAACCACTCTAGCGTAACAATGAGGTACCAGTACTACTTGCAATATCATTACATGTACACAGGAAGAATGGCTTACGAGATGATGATGACGACAACGATGGGGAGTCCCTTGCCTTGCGACAAAGCAGGCACTGATTAAAGTTGAGAGGCGATGGCAGGATATCGCCAGCGCCATGGAGTATATCGTCCATGGGAACGAGCGCATCCAAGTCTTGCGGCGTTGGTGAGTTGGCAGCACAGCTAGGCAATACTCTCGGCACAACTGCAGAGGTAAAGCCTGAAAGGGTGGGCGATAGAGTTTCCTGGATCACAGTTCATAAAGAAACAGAATAATGTGAAGCAACAAGCAGTAAATTTCAAACCCGATTCCCATAACACTCGGAGAAAAACTGTGCATTAATGGCACAATGATCCAACACGAGGGTTCTAGCCAGGAAGAAACTGTGTGTGTGTGGGGGGGGGGGGGGGGGGGACAAAGAGTTCACTCATGTTTTCCATGTTCCAATGTTGCCTTGTCACAAACAAAATGCAACGTACAGGTGCACAGAGCACCCGGAACGATTGACTTGTGGCCGCATCGCTGCCGTGTGAACTGAAAAAATGACAAATTGAAAAATGAGCAGGGTGGTAGTGCTCTACCAGAGTACTGGGGGGATGGGGGGGGGGGGGGGGGGGGGCTGCAAATGTGCCATCATGTCTATTCGCCTCGAATGCTCTTCTTGCTCCCGGGTACATTCTCACATTTATCTGCCATTTTGCATCCCACGCTGAACACACGTGCACACACGCACATGCACGCACATACATACACATGTGCACACACACACACACACACACACACACACACACACGCACACACACACACACACACACCATGTACCATGTATACGCCCGTCGCAAGAGAAGCATGCAAATCTGCAAATGCAGTGGATGTGCACCCACAGATTTCTCCTATAGCAACGATAGCGAACAAGATCTGAATGAGACAGATCAAGACTTGCGCCAGATAACTGTCTAATCCACACAACTGGCGAAGCCATGTGAATCAACCACCAATGCACACCTGGTCTACACCCCCCGGAGTACATCGGCATAAAACGGCCAAGACAGTTACCTATGCACACCCTACACCTGCTGGGGTAACCAATATAGACAGCACGCTGCTTTGATAGAAGCAGACACTAGATGCACTGGTGCCTTGAAGTTAAATTGGAGTTACTTTACCAACCAGCCTCGGCCACACCATGTACCACACACACACACACACACACGCGCGCGCGCGCGCGCACACAAGTGCAGCGGAGTAGGAAAACTGTCACTATTGATGTGAATAGCAGCTAAGCAGCTACTATGCTACACTTGATTACTTCTATAATAGTGTGCATGCGCAATGATACAGCTTGCACCACCAACACCCCACACAGCCACCTGGGTATGGTTGTGTCGGGTGTTGAAGAGTGCATTCCATGTTCTGGCTCTCCACGTACTCACATGCATTACTCATAAATTCCATATTTGGCAAGGCGCAATGAGCTTATGCTCTTGCCATCTATAATTTGTTTAACCCACACCAATAGTGACAGTTCTCCTATCCTGCTGCACTGTGTGTGCGTGCGTGCGTGTGTATGTATGATTGTGTGTTTTGTCCTCGGTCCAGCCGTGATGAAGAATACTGTGAAAATCATATTCAAGCAGAACGTGAATTGTTCATTTTGCAGGAAGCAGATGCCCATTCCAAAGTCAACTCCACCTGACCATTGTTGACCCCTACCCTAATAGCAGGCAGCAAATGGATCTCAAACGCTGCCAGCAGCTAGAGCCTACCATGATTGCACAGTTGTGGCCAAAGAAATCCAGCCCGCGCATCAAAGGTAGCGCAGCGTTTCCATTTCAATTACATCATGCACGTTCGAAAAATCGCTCCGAGCACCGCAGGGGCCGCATGAGCGTTGACGCTGCTTTCGGCACTTGCACCGGATTTCCTTTTTCTTCGGCCACGCCAATACCCAGTGTGACCATGTAAAGAGGGAGGATTTCTGTGGCATTGATTGGTGCATGCTGGTTCCTCGGTGACCACATGCAGGGCTGTCTGAGTGCTTGTGGCCGTGGATTGCGTAGCACCAGGGTTACAACTCCTACAAGCCTAGAAATACGACATTCTGATACACATTGCACTGTTGTTTATTTGTCTCAGCAGGTGGACAGAAACAGACATATTATGCTCTGTACTTCTCATAACCATGACCTGCTTTAGTGATGCAATACCTCCTTATTCAACTACAAACTTCCCTACCTACCCACCAATGCTGAATATATTTTGTGTGTGAGAATTTTCTATTTAAATCTTTCATGGGTATAATTCTGTAAATCATAATTCAAGGATGCTCAACATGGTTCGCGGAGCACTCGCTGGTCGCTTCAAAGTTCAATGAGTACAACTCCCAAGTAATGTCATACCAACCCACATGAGTCCAAATTAACAAAGGTGGAATACTTCTGGTGCGATACGAAAGAAATCATATCTGATATGCCTTTCGTCTCTCCGAAAGTAAGGTCAATACTAAAATTAATACGATGTTCAGTGCAAAACATCTCCATAATCTTCCCCAGTCCAAACAGTATAGCGGCATGCAGTCTAGTCAAGACTAGATTTACCTTTCTAGGAGGTGCCTGCTGGCGCTTCTTCTTCTTCTTGCCTTTTTTACTACCGTTCACAGCACTCATATTTACACCAGTTCAACAAAATTGAAACACGTTTTCGTAACGAGCAGAAGTGCTACCCATAACAACTAAACCTTGGCCAATAACGAGACTGCGTGTGTCCCACAACTCATGGAGCAGTGCATAAACACCCCAAACTACAACTAAGGCTCGGAGGAATCACACCAAACAAGCAAAGACTCAGATAGGAACTTCGAAAGCAGAATCCCACTGACAAAAGACGAGTCAGAGTTTTTGCTCTCAAAACATAGTGTAGCCTTGTAGGCTGTGGGGCTAGGGTCTATCAGATCTGCAACAACCGGTGCACTCACACACACCATGGAAGCATGCTTCAACAGTTCAAGCTCAGAGCTTGCAGCTTGTGACACAAAGTCAAAGATAATCGTTCCTCGGCAGTCGGCACAGCTGAATATGCAGGGAGTCGTATTTTTACAACTCTCTGTATCCAACCGTGCATGACACTGCCCCCCCCCCCCCAAAAAGGGGCAAATAAATAATTAATTAGCATGAACATGTGGCCCTGGGTTGAGTGAGTGAGGGCGGTGGTGGTGGGGGTTGGGGATATGGGATTTGCAGGGATCTAAAGCAGTAGAGGCATGTAGGGAGTATTCTCTGATAGGTGGAATTCTTTGCCTGTCTCGTGTCGTCAAGTTGAGCATCTATCCGTTTTTGTTTCGCTCAGTGCAAAGAACATCTAGGGTTCCCTGTAACAAGACGGCAACGTCTGTAGGCGGCCTTCCCTGTCAAAATAATGAATTCTACTACTACTACCGTACTACTATTCAGTCTATTCTCCAAATAAAGTTAGTTCACATGTCCGCATTACAACCGGCTATAATGATGTGTTGAGGCTACTTGCCGGAGAAACACAAGCAGCCTACGAACGGTTTTGCTTGTGCCAGGCCACTAAAAACCATGATGGCGGATGCAGCGCTTTCTACACCTAGTAAAATACTACTACTCCCTGATTGGGATTGCCGGGACTAAACCTGACTGCAAGTTCAACTAGAGACCGGTTGGTAGCCGGGCTGTCCCAGTGTTGCGACCCGATATGAACAGTATCGGGCCGTGACCCAGCTCAAACCCTCGGTATCAAGTTCAAAGGTGGGGGGGGGGGGGGCACTACCCCATACGGTTCATATGATCGCAAGACCGGGACCCCAGATCTCTGGTTGCGGTCCATCAGGAACACTGTTTTCCATACGGTGTGTTCTCCGCTACCTTGCCAACAGTGTTGTGCTGTCATCAGTCAAACCGCATAAACTAGCACGGTCATACACTATGGTCAAGTACTTGAAGGCTTGCGTCACCCCCAGCTAGGGATCCGGGAGTGGACTCATGGCTCTGTCCTACCCGTGTATGTAGGGCTCCCTGGCACTGGGTTACACCTACACAAACTGCACTTGGTAATTCCGGGATTCATGACGTAATGGCGTAACCGCGGCTTGGCAACCGGTATTAAATTTATTTTCAATACGGTAGCTACATGTACACTCTCCCATGCATTGGCCCATGGTGTATTTGTGACGTGTAGCCTGATGAGAAGTGAGAAATAGAAAGCTGACCGACTTCGGTAGTACCCCGCCTGAGCCAGGCTGGAGTGATCAGCACGGTCCATCTTTTTCACTTGCATTATCATTCTGTCACTCGTCCACACCTTGACGATGTCTTCAAGTTGTTGCAGTGCATTGTACAGTGACCTACAATCCACTGCCTGGTGCTGTTGGCACCAACCTTGGATTATCACATGTACATGAAGGTACAGATACCGGTACATGTTTGTAATGTTGATAAGAAGAAAAGAGGACCGAAGAGCTACAGTCAATAAGACAAGCTGAATCGACACTTGTGTATACTTTATTCCGAATAATTAAAAAAATTCACGGTTCGCGTGAGACTCGGCTGGAAACCGAGTTTTTCGCATCCGTAGGAACGCCACCACCCTTCAAGGATCAAGGCGCAGATGCAGCTCCTTAAGCGGTGGGAGGTGAGTAGATCAGCTCACCAGAAAGTAGTCGAAGACCGAAAATCCCATTCACTGCATCCATTCTGAATAAACTATACACAAATGTTGATTCAGCTTGTCTTACACAAAATCGCGATTCAGCTTGTCTTATTGATTGCGGTTATCAAATTATTGTCTCCTCGCCGTTTGTTTTTAAAAAGAGCTACAAGATACGCTATAATATCCACTAACACCACCAGTTACTTTACAATCTGAGCTCATGCGATAGCACGACACTGATATGACCGACGGTACTGACGTTCTACACCTGCATGACTTGTACATGTACTGGTAGTAGTAGATCTACATGGCATACTGACTGTAGTACCAAGAGTCCATAATCCCCCTCTTGGTAGTGCTAGTAGTACAGTGGACATTGGATATAACGACAAATCGAGTTTAGCGACAAAATTCTGCTGCCCAAGTCGTTTAGCAAGTCCTTTCTGTTCTGTACGTTATAGATCGGGAATAACGACACCGGATTGAATTTACTGACACTTTTTGGTGCCCGAAGACCTGAAAATGCATCGAATATAACGACTTTCCTCAGTATTGTATCAGGCGGAGTGGCATGCATGGGACATGTCTGTGTCACATGCCCGGACCTCTGGGTCACCGTCGCCGCGTGCTGGTCACTGCACATTGCAGCCGTAGTGCAGCGGTGTAGTTGCTATGCATGACTTTGCCTTTGGGCTTGAACTATGCATGCAAGATCTTTCTGTCATTTTGATACCATGGCATTGTACATGTACATATTGCACACTAAATGTGAAGATCGAGTTTAGTGACAGATCGAGTATAGCGACATTTTTGTTTTCTCCTGAAGGAGTGTCGTTATCCAATCTCCAGTGCCACTGACAAGTGACAGTCTGTGTACAGTCTGAAGACTGAGTGCAGTGAAGTAACTGATTGCACAATCATGCACGGCGCAGCGACATGCTAGGCACAGTCGGATCATATCCAAGTCAACCGTCGTCATGGGGACAGTAGCAGCGATTTCATTCAAGACACGATGCGTGCAAGCACGCCGGCGTCGATCGAGTACGGCACCTGCCTATCTCAGCTCAGTACATCACGTCATCAGCAATGACAAGACTCATATCAGTTGAATACTCAGCTCAACTCGACAGAGGCAGCGAAGCAGAAAGAGTAACCTTCGAAGGATGTGAGTTAGGGGGCTGGACGGTACTGCAAATGATAGAAATTGGCTTCTAGGCTAGAAATTGGCTTCTAGGCGATATACATAGTACAAGACTCACCGTTTGACTGAGGCAATCCTCAGCCAGGCCGCTGCCACCATCACTGTCGCTGTGTGCGGCTGAACGGAGGGACGAGGTACGGGTTTGCTTGCGGGTGAAGGTAGGAGTCACTGAAACGGTTGGGTGGTTGTCTCCAACTGGTAATAAGGCATACCATCATCGACTGCAGCGATGAGCTCACGTCAAATCCAAGCAGGTATGTACTACAGGTGGAGAGAAAGCCACTACAAACTAACGTTACATGTAGCTATGTCCGACGGAGAGGAGTATGATTGAATACACTCGATTACCAATTGTTTCTCTGACCGACTGGCTTGAAAGTAAAATGTAGTAATGGTCACGGTTTCGCCCTGTGCACCTCAGCTCAGCTACCTACGTGTACACTGAAATGATGAACAGCACACGCGCACATACCGGTACATGTACATGTAGCACTACACACACGCACCCGGGTACCCAGTCATTACATGATGGCATCGCTGTTTGTTTGGCCAACCCAACCATGTTACTTGTTAGCCTAATAGGATATTACCGTACTCGCGCGATTAGAGCCCTCTCTTGAATAGTGCCCTATCTCGAATTAGCAAAGGCATATGCAGGTTTGGTGTTCTTTGCTATCATGTTCTTGTCCACGCTATTGCACTGGTGGGTTCATGATCAAAATGGCAGTTCTTGTTGCCGTTTGTGTTTAGTTGGGATAGTTTACAGTAAACATTAGGCTCTACTTTTCCTTTGTTTTTATGCCGGATGACGCAAATGTAGCAGCATTGAAAAAATAGTGCCCTCTCTTGAATAGAGTCCCATCTGTGATGGACATTGAAAAAATAGCGCCCCAGGGGCACTAGTCGCGCGAGTACGGTATGCGTAAATGTACCCAATGCGAGAACTCCGTGCCAGACGAAAAGAAAAAATTACGACGCTGTACTGCCTGCTTTGCTGCACCTATGCCTGGAGAGGCACCATAAGACTACAGGGCCCATACACTTACATACATGTAGGCTATGTGAAACATGCTGCCATTGCCAGTTAGGCAGTGCATGAACTGTGTTCATCTGCGAGGCATGGCTGCAGCCGAAGACTTCTTGGACTTCTGGGCTAATTCTTAGAACACTACAATGAGTAGCATATCTTGTAGGACTGATGCCAGGCCCGGCTTGCTCGGATTCGATACACCATCAGCACAATCTTAGACCTTGCAACAATTGTGTTCTGAGTCGCAAACCATGAGGTGTGCCCTTGGAGCTTCATCAGTGAGCACTCTTCTTCAAAGTACTATGCCATGTGTATGTGTGTGTATGTGTGTGTGTGTGGGTGTGTGGGTGTGGGCATCACACTGCTGCTCTACTAATGCAGTTTTCGACGACTACCAGAAGGCGAGGAGTGAATTCGTTCAGACAGTTGCCGAGCTGTCGTCGCGCCCTCAGAATGCAGCCATCCTCAGAGAATCAGGCAAGAACTACCTACTTAGTACTGCATGTGCACCAGGTGCTTGTTGAAGAGCGGTTCTCAGGCACCCGGGTTAAAAAAATATTCAAAGACCTGCAATAGTGTCCTCCCAAAATTTCTCCATAGTTGGTGATTGTGTGTCAGTACTGCAAGCTGTGCCTACCCGGGCCACCTAGCTATGTTGCATCATAACTTAGTAGCATAATAAAGCACAGCTTTAGCATGGAATTCTACGGCACCTGGCATGTTATAACAAAGCGTGTCATGATGCACTAGTTATACATGTACTTATGTCCACTGAGAGGTACTACCGGGCTCGCCATCTGACTACACTGCATGGTGGCATGTGAAATCCAACCAGCTACTTCGAAGTACTTGTATGAATGCAACACTGACCTGCATGAGCTTGTGAAGCCCCGGCGCTACCACTGTGACACTGAGCTGTGCTGTGAATGCGATTCAGGTCTATTCATGAGATCGCATTTCACTTTCCACCGCTGGAGCTGTGAGCTGACATGCAAAACAGGCAATGACCTATCCAATATTGTAGTGTGCAATTACATCGTCAATTGAGATGCCTTGGCAAAGTCGCGATACGACGATGCACTAGCGACTCACGCTGCATACATAGCGCCCATAAGCGGTTCCGCTGACTCGCCGTCATGACATCATTCTTATAGCCTCTATACAGTAAGGAAAGGAACTAATCTTCGATTCGTGCCCACTTATGTTCTTACCATGCTCACCACACAGATGTTCTACAGCATCTGCGTCCACTGCTGCTGGACAGGGTCGTAGGCATTCAGCAATCGGCCGCGCTGGCAATCGGCCGCCTGGCTAACTCTTCCTCCGATCTGGCCGAGGCAATAGTCCAGGGCGACATACTGCCACACGTAATTTACTCCATGCAGAATCAGAATGTAAGTCTGTCTGTGTGAAACCGGGTGTCAGGTGCATGCTACTTGTACATGAAGTGCTACGAGATGCAGACCGAATGGCCAGAATGCATAGAATATTAGATGCAGACTGAATGGCCAGAATGCATAGAAAACCATTGGCCAGGTAGTCGGGCACGCTGATAGAATGCAGCAAATTAACACTGCGGTACATCTCTCCACACACACACACTTATATCATGTGCAAACCGTGAACAACTTTACTATTGTCAAGCAGCTACACCAAACTCTGAGCAGCAACCTAGGAAACACTTCATTGTACAGTTACAAAGTGAATCATAGAAAATGATTTGTTTAGCTGAATCAGATAGAGTGTGTTCTCATGGGTATGCTCAGTCGAACAGTCATCATGTGTATTGCCGGATTGTATTGATTCTATTGCATGGATGCGTCTTCTATTTCTCTCTCCTGCTTGCATACAGAAATTCTACAAGAAGTCAGCAGCGTTGATACTGCGTGCAGTGGCCAAACATTCTCCGGAACTTGCGCAGGTAAACACAGACACCCAGCAGAACTTGAACCGTTCTATTTGCAGCTTGATAAATTCTCTGTATTGCAATGGAATCTCATTGTATGAATGTTTGCACAATTTGAATGTGTATCATGCAATACATGAATAGTTGGAGCTGCCTGTCTATGTGGATGAGGATCTGCCAGGTGTACATGTACTCGGGTGTACATGTACTCGGGTGTACATGTACTCGGGTGTGCGGGTGCAGTGATGCCATGCGCCTGACAATGTAGCGTAAACCAATCTAGTCTTGCATGTTCTTATTCCCACCCATATAGGTGAATGCAAACTGCGGTGCCCATATTATATGTATTTTCAGAGGATTCCAGTCTGGCTGGTCTTCAGTATCCCGTCCGAGTCAGTGTGTAAAACCACTGTCCTTCACAAGTTATTGGTTTACTTGCCAGACATAGAAGGTAGAAGATAATGGCTCACGAGCGTCGGAAGCCATTTCCGATTGGTCTGACTTCGCCCAAAGGGCCGCATTGTAGAGCTGGATTCAGGGGACCTGACATCACCTCCCTGGGATATTTTTGAAAAAAATTAAGCCAAATCATGCCTTTTGAGGGTATTTGCCTCGCTTACATGATAATGTCAGAAGAATCCCAGTAAGTGTCAATATTTGGATGACTGAGGAGTAAAAGGAAACCGGCCAGAATATTGCAAGGTTTAGCTGGGCCGGCTCCACCCGACCCATGTGGCTATACGATAACGCACTTTGTTCACTAGTGTAGCCATCGCCAAGGTGCTAGCTTGTTGGGAGCGAGCTGCTTGCAAAATGCGCAAGTCGACACTGGCTGTTGATAGACTTCATTCTCTGTATCTGCTGCTATGGTCCCACACGAGCAGGCTGTCGTCGATGTAGGTGGCCTGGAAGGTCTTCAAGCCTGCCTGGAAACGTTTGATCCAGCCGTGAAGGAATCTGCACTATGGACGCTTGGCGTGATAGCCAAGCAGAATGATGGTAAGTCCAGAAAGCAGCATTCCTTTTGAAACGCAGGCCACGGCGGACTCCTCATGTTTTGGCTCCACAGTTGAGGTATCACCTCAGTCACTTTGTCAATCCCAAGTAAGGATTATGCCATAGTATATTCACGGTTCAAGCAGGACCGCCGGAAGCAGTTTTTGATTGGTCTGGTCACTGAGTTTCAGTGCCTTTCACACTTCGTGTACGAAATGGCGAGTATACATGACCTCCAGATTGTGTTGGTGGCTAAAATGTTGGTCCGGTGATAACCTGACCAACCGGACCGGTTCCGGTTCCGGCGGCCCTGGGTTGTAACAGGATAGAGAGGGAGGACATACGTCCATGTAGCTTTTCACTGATGGAGTCACCATGGTCACTGACCCAGTGGTAATGCAATACTGCTTCGGGTGATACAGGGTGTATTGGAGGATGTGCAGGACTTGCGGTCAACTATGGTGTGTTTTCCTAATAATTGTGATTCACCGTGCAGATCTGGCAATGGCCGTGGTGGACTCAGGCGCCGTTCCCACCATTGTGCTGTGCGTGAACGAAGCCGACATGCCAGTGCGACGAACAGCCGTGTCGGCTCTCAGTGAGATCTGCAAGCACACTGCATCAGTAAGACCACTGTGATGCTGAGTGTAACCGTGACTCTTTGCTCTACTTCGTGCCATTGTACCTGTACATGTACAGAGCACACTGCATCAGTAAGACCATGCTGAGTATAGCCATGACCATAGCCATGACCATAGCCATGACCCTTTGCTGTACTTCATGCAGTGCCTGTACAGTCATGTACAGAGCACACTGCATCAGTAAGACCACCGTCACGTTGAGTGTAACCGTGGCTCTACACTCTACTTCACACAGTGCCTGTACATGTACAGAGACGAGCTTCATAGTGACTTTGTGTACTACATTGTACATATACTGTTATTATGTCTGAGCTCCGATCACAATCTTGCTGGGCAACTTGGAAAGGATGGCTTTGAACGTTTGAGAAATGCTGTATCATCTTGACCCAGTATCCTGCTTGAGCCTGTCTGTCTGTATTGCCCAATCCATTGCCATCTTCTGCACAGCTGACGCAGATGGTGGCTGCTTCGGGAGCAATTCAAAACCTCTGCAAGGCTCTGCACTCGACGGATGGAAGACTGAAGGTACAGAGAATGTTGGAGTAGAACTGTTGATTGTCTGTTGCTTTGTTGAAGACTCGTCCCTGTAAACAGTACTGTCATATGTGCGCATGCTTATACATTGAACCTGTTCACGTTGTGTAGCAACAATTAACACTAGAGTACCGTGCATTGTAGAAAGCAGTGCCGGGTGTGTGTGTGTGTGTGTGTTTGTGTGTGTGTGTGTGTGTGTGTGTGTGAGTGTGTGTGTTTGTGTGTGCGTGCGTGTGCGTGTGAGTGTGTGTGTGTGTTTGTGTACGCCTCGACACCTATCTTTGCAGAGAATTACTCTTGGAGCATTGAGTCAAATTGCGAAGCACAACGTTGACCTGGCTGAGCTGGTGGTGGAGGGTGATGCGTTTCCGGGCGTGCTGAAAGACCTAAGGCGTAAGTTGATGAACCAATGGACAACAGCATGCACGGATGGACTGATTGGGTGCTACTGTCAGTACTGAGGCCTTTTCTGAATCTACATGGTCTCCTATAGAGGTTCTGCGATTACATAATCAGTTGAGGTACTTTGGTAATGAGCATTGTGAGCACGGTACTGTGATTGTCCGTGTGGTTTCCTTCATGTCCTGCAGATCCAGATGACAATGTACAGCGCAATGTTGTCATTCTAATCCGAGAAGTCGTCAAGCATTCGTTTGATGTAAGTCCAACACCAGGCACTGTCACGCAAATGAAAAGTGAAGGCGTTTCCTCTTGCAGTTTAATATTTGACGTGCAGTCCTCGCTTGATAAATTGATAGCTATACTAGGCAAAGGATGGCATTCGAGCTATTTGCACGAGACCGTGCACCTGCAAAGTTGCTCTCATCCCGGCCTCACTGTCTTGCAATACTGTATAGAATGTGGGAAGCATGGCTTTCAACTGTCCTTGGAATACTTTGGCCAGACGATTGAACTTACGTAGGGTAAAACTATATTTTCATCAATTTCAGTGACTTTGACGTAAATTTGGAGAATAATTTAATTGCAATTGCAATTGCAGTGGAGGCCTTTGGTTATGAAGGTGTTGGAAAGATGACTTTGACGCCGACAAAAATAATTGAATGTTTCAGAGGCTGTTGGTCACGTTACTTCACTCCGAAACACGTGCTGCTTCCGGATTAACGAAAGTAGAATACATGTACTTGCAAGGATTTACCAAGGAAACAAGAAAATGCCTGCTCTGACAGCATTCCACAGTCAGGATAACGTTAGTGAAGGTGGGACTCCATGTCATATCCTGCTTGTTGTCAGTGGCGTTCTGGCCTTTTTCTTTCTTTTCTTTTTGTGCCGACAGTTAGCACAGCTGGTTGTGAACACCGGAGCCCTGGGTGGACTGGTCGACTACATGGGCAGGAGTGGCAAAGAGGCGCAGCTACCAGCCATACAGGCCATCGGCTACATCAGCTCAATGAGTGAAGAGCTGGCGTCGGCAGTCATCAAAAGCAAGGTAGCTTTACTGTAAACTGTCTAAGGTTCGCTGTGTACGAATTTTGGCTATTTTTTTGCGAGACGAGCATAACACGAATGTTACCCATAGGGCAAAATCAAACTTCAACAGTGTGTGTGGCCACAGTGCTCTGTGAATATTTTCCATCGTAAACTCGCTGGTTTCGAGAACTCACGAAAATATAGTGGCACGAATCACGATTGGGTGGTTAACAGTACCAGCAGCAACAGCGCCGAAGTTAACCATTACCGGCATTGTGAAACACGCTGCTTGCTTGCTACAAGCATCATGAAACAAAAAAAACACAAGTACATGCTATGTCCTCAAAACTACCAGTTGCTCAAGTATGAACTGTGAGCAATATGCAAGGCCGCTACGTAATACTATTGTCAGCAAGGTGGGATAGTGCTGGGATGGACTTGCAAAGTGACCATTGTACACTGAATTTATGTGTAATCCACTTCAAGTCTTGTCTCTCCTTTCTTTCGATTAATTTAATTTCTTCAATTTCTTCCTTTCCTTGTGTCCTTGTCCAGGCACCTCTCCAGCTGCAGATGACCCTGATGCAAGTGGAGAGCCATCCTGAGGTGGCTGGCTCGACGGCATGGGCACTGGGTCAGATTGGCCGGCACTCGACAGATCACACAAACTCCGTAGCGGGTGGTGATAATCTTACCCACTTGGTCAATCTCGCCGTCAACGACGCAAGCCCGCCAGATGTCAAGTCAAAGGTACAGTGGTGGCACTATCACATCTACAAGCCCAGTGCGCATTGCCAAATAACAAAATAGGAACGTATGAGTAATGCACATCTATTCTACAATGGTCATGATAAATCATACAGTTGTTGAGCTTGTAAGTCCAGAAATTTCCCGTCATGTTTATTCGTCTTGAATGCTCTTCTTGCTCCGGGTACATTCTCACATTTATCTGCCATTCTGCATCCCATGCTGAACACACGTGCACACACATACACATGTACACACACACGCACACAGGCCGAGTCTGCTCTCAAGCAGATTCTGAGCAAGTGCACCGAACTGCAAGCGCTACTGGCATTGCTGGCGAAAGCTCCACCTCACATCCTTGAGCATGTCGTCGTGCAGTTTAGTAAAGTCCTACCGAAGAATCCCTCCGCAAGGAAGATGTTCATCTCCACGGGAGGTCTCAGAAAAGTAAGTGCAAGTAATCTAAGTCACTGATGTGGTTCCCGTACAGTATGGTACTAATTTGTAGCGGCATTACAAGGTGGCTGCATGCGCACAAGCAAGACACCACAGAGGGCAGCGCATGATTTGTTTTGGTTTTGCTCAGCGGCAGCTGTATCTCACACTGCTCTCCATCCAGACTCTATCTCTTTGGTCTGACGTGAGTATGTTTGTGTGCTTGCGCGCGCGCGCATGTGTGTGTGTGTGTGTGTGTGTGTGTGTGTGCGTGCGTGTGTGTGTGTGTGTGTGAATATGTATGTGCATGTGTATGTGCACATATGTATGCCAACAGGTCAACTCAATCGTGTGCACACCGGGCAGTATCACCGAGACAGCTGTGCATCAGATCAAAGCTTGCTACCCGCCAGACATAGTCCAGTAAGTACATGTACTTGCGAGCGATGTCGCAGAGGATGACACACTGTGATATCAGACAGACAACTGCTATTGCACAGTCCTGTCTATCAAGCATGAACATGGATACTCAGACTTACTCAAACCGTAAAACGCCAACTCCCTCTCTTGAATGTGAAGCACTTAGTGACTAGTAGGTGTTGAAGATCTCAGTCTGCTGGACTAGGTTGTGGTGATCTTGTTTGCTTGCTTTCCGAATACGATCTGCGGTAAGATACACTGGATAGCATGTGATGGCGGATTTCAATTTTCCTTGCCCCTCTCCCTCTGTCTTTGCCGCTTCCATTTGCCCGGTCAACTACAGATTCTACTCACCTTCCTACGCAGACTCAATTCTCGAACGTGTCGAACACTTCCAACCCGAGAGAGCACGGTCCTAGATCAACGATGCCTCAACGATGGCAGGTATTACAACAACGACAACGACAACAACAGCAACGACAACAGCAACGACAACAACAACATCGACAACAATGAAAACAGCAGCACCAGCAGCAGCAGCTACACATTCACCCATCAGACACCGTCCATCATCATGCTCAACCGCAACACCTCTCCTTAGTCACATATCAAGGCCAAGCGGTCAACCGGAAAGTATATAATCAAGTTTAGGTCCTGACCAGTCGACGCCAGCAAAGAACTGAAGAATCTTGATGCCGTCTTGTTCACTATGCAATGCATGTACTCGTGATGAATTGTGTAATGATGTGCCAATACAATACGGGCCATTTCTAGTACAAGCAGTCATGTACATTGCTTCTCATAGCATATGTTCAGAGTTGTGATGCTTGGCCACAGTGATCTCGCTCACCAGCAGCACATCAACAGCACATCATCATAGGTTTGCAGCACATGTAAATTCATATGCCATGATTCTGGTACTGTACTAGTAGCGATAATGGAAGTTTCGAAAGCACTATATTGTTGCAAGTATGTAGAAAGTGTGTTCAATGCTAGCACTAAAACAGTACAATGAATAATTCAAATAGGAGTGCATAGGGTGTGTTGTATCAATAGCTGTCATGTTTTTTTTATGCAGTCATGCCAATGGTAATTTCGCTAGGGCACTCACCAGCCCTGCAGTTTCTTTCTGTACATACAATAATGATGATACGGGCAACCATGCTATACAGGAATGCCTCAGAAATGGAAGCTAACTTGCAGCATACTCAAGTATGGAAGGTCCTTGCAATGTGAAGCCGTGCAGAAAGGGTCTCTGGCGAAATCTTCACCAAAAAAAATACTAAAATAGAGTTGTTGTCTCTAGGGGTATACTGAATACGGTAGCAATTGTGACGAACATCACACCAGTCATTCGGAACAGGACGTGTGCCATCTCATCATACCTGCCAGGGAGAGGAAGCATCCACAGCACACATGCACACAGTCCATGCTCAGGATACCACTGTGCCAGTTTATGGACTTCAAGTGCACACAGAGTCAACACTGCAACTTGAATGTACAACCTCCCACACTTCGAAAGAACCAGCTCTCATAGTGCAAGCTGCGCGCGGATCTTACAATCATCCGCATGGCTAATAGATTGGTTAATTGCCACCCCAGCCAAACAAAACACTGCACATTCAGTCAGCACTCTTAATTAAAACCAGAGAGTGCATCTTTTGTACTCCCCGACTTATGTACGGCCATCTGAACACCGCCACAACAAGACAAGATCTCGGGCATGGCAGTGAAAAGCGCCGGGCGGAAAAAAGAGGATACTTATAGTTCACGACTTCTCGCGAGCCGACTGAACTCACCAGCCATGAACACAGGGTGCAGTCACAGCCCTGAGGTCATCAACATCATCATTACAGAGAGCTCCTTACTTGGTAAAGATCGTTAGCTTTGATGTACTCCAGAACTGGGTCCGGGATGAGGTAGCGGACGCTGCTCTGGCGTCGAATAGCGCGGCTGTCAAGACAAAAAAGAAAATTCGTAAAAGCCTCCAGAGAATATTATGCCTAAAAGACCATTGTTGCAATAGTGCCTAACCCCCACCCCCACCAAACAAGTAGTTATAATTGTTCTGTATGGAAACGGCAAACCCATGAACATCGCGAAGGTAGTGCAATGTCAAGGTAAGGTCAGTACAGCTGCCATTTCAAAAATGTACAATGAAAACAGGTTTGCACAGCCACAAGTGTGATAAATGATGGAGGGCAGATATATGTGTGGTGTATTGGAGGGCAGATATAGTTTAAAAAATACTAGGGATGTAACGGATATTCGATTGGAAATTTTAATTTTTCCAAAGTCCATAGCTTCCAAACATCGAATACATGAGGGCAGTAGAGAGGTTCTACAAAACGAAAATGTGTACAAACTTTCGCTCTACGCCATGAAGAGCGAAACTTCGCACGAACTTTCGCAACTTTGGACGCGAAACTTGCAGGGAACGCGAAATGAACTTTCGTAGGAAATTCCGTGAGATCGGGTCATGGCGTACGTGCACTTGGTCCGTGCAAACTACGAAATGTGCAGAACGCAAAGTTCGTGCGAAAATTCGTACACACTTTCGCAAGGACTGTCGCGAAACTTCGTTCGAATTTTCGTTTTCCAGAACCTCTCTAGTTCCGTCCCTTGGTGCTGCACCCAGGACGGAGAACTACTTCGACTTAACGACCATCAAACTCACCGGATTTCTGTAGAGCTGATCTCGTTCGAAATCCACTCGCGTGCAATCATGATATTAGACTGAATGTCAAGCAGAGCAAGCACATAAATGTAGACCACTCAAGACAATGGATTACTGGCATAGATCAGCAACACCAAGCTCAGGCCCCAGGTTAGTGCGAGAAGAAAGTGCAAGACCAAAACATTCTACGGCACAACTTCTGCCACATTGCTGAGTTGGTAAAAGAACAGAAATACTAGCAGCGGATTGTCAGGCACGTACTAGGACAAGATCTGCCCAACAATGACCACCAACAAGATAGTAGTCACATTGCACAGCTATCAGCAACAGCACTACAACATTACGCCTTCCAGCATTGCAATCCGCTTACCCGATTCTTGTACAGAGCATCGGATTCATGGATGAATTTCTCAGGATTCGAGCCAGCACGCGTGACCACGACTAGTCCAAAATGACCGGTCAACTTGTCCATCTGAGCACACCGGGAAAGCAACAACGACGGCGACAACGACGACAACAATAACAACAAGATAAATTGTGTGAGTGCCGGGGTGAGCACAGTGGCAGTGACCTGGCACAGCAGGTTTGCCAGAGACCCCAAGGCACACTGCCACTCCCAAAGCATCCCTGCAAAGGACACCCCCCTGGGTGCTTGTTATCACCCAGATTCTGAGCTTGAACTTGAAGGCTGAGAGGAATAAGGGCCTACCTAAGGCAACACAAATGTTCGGCTTGTCATGAGTTTATTTAAATACAGGATATGGTCAGAAACCAAGACAAGGACTTTGCCATTGTTGCCCTTGCCTCTTCAACCAATTACAAGGGATTAACATTTTTAAACTCGGATACTGAGCCAGTAATAAATGTAAGAAACACAAGAGAACGAGTTGAGTTTTGTGCCCTATTATTGCACTTTCTGACCGCTTATCATCTTGATACAGTCGTGGATAGTTGCTGCATAACTCGGTCTCTTGTGTTTCTTCTCTTGATTACAAATTTCATCGGAAAATGTGTGATATCACCGACTGCATGCAGTAGCTCAATGCATGACACTAACGTAACAAGTGGCTTACATCATCTACAGCCCACAAGTCCGGCACGGCAAACGACTCTAGAAGATCACCACCACACAGCAGCTTCAGTGACACTGCAGCCAAAACAAGGCATACAACGATTAGTAAGGCGAGGTCAAAATGTCGAGATTTCTAGGCCCGAACACACCCAAACTGGCCTTGTATTTGAAGAGCTGGAATGCCAAACCCGATAAATCCATTTCATCACTTTTCGCATAAGGCCACCCTTTGTTAATTCATTGTTTAACGTCCTTTTTTTTCGCGAAAAGGTACGCGGGAGGGCGGAAAAAAAACAAAAGCCCATTCCAAAAACTGGAAACCCCAATCAAACATTTTGACCAGTAAAGCATGTGATATATACAATATTTCTGGGTCTAACGGCACTTGCAGGCATAGAACAACACTCTTTGATGGTACATTGGAGCACATGCCTGATGAATCCAACAAAACAGGTACATAGCATGGAGTTAGCATGTCATGAATTCATTACATCTGGATTTTTACTAGGACACACAACGTACGATATTTAAAAGCCAACAAAAAAAGAAAAAGAACACAAGACAAAGGCATGCCCGGGAGGCAAGATTATAAGTTTAAGGTCATGATCGGCACACTGTGAAACTATAATAATAATAATAATAATAATAATAACTTTATTAGGATGACCCAAACCACATGTATTTACAACTTCGCATATTATTGGTACTACTACTTTCTTGGGTTTTTTCCGGTCGGAGGCAAAAAGGTACGCGGGCGCGGACGTTAAAAGGATTCATTTTATGTGCGGGTTGTCTCAACAAAACAACAAGGACAATCAAGGCTTGTTTGCTGCTACTTCAAGTTTCATGCTCTCGCAATCATCAGGCAACAGGGTTGCCTGATGTGCGGGTTGTATCTACATCCATATTTGGGTTCCAGGTTTGAAATGGTTCTTGTCAGATTTTGAATGTGAAATTTTGCCTGTTGGTGCCCCTAGGCCTTTTGATAACACTGAGCTGAAAAATCTGATTTTCTCAGATTTGGCGCTTATCGGCATCTCAACTGTTCATTTTGTTCATTTTTCCCGGCAAATTGCCTACATGTCGGGGATGAAGTAGAGAGTAGTCTGGCCACCGTGCTCCTACTACCGTACAGAGGACTGAGATGCTGCCATGCGAAACCAGTCCTAAACAGGAGGTGCTACACATCGAAACAGTCCAAGAGTTGATTGCAACAACCATTGCCCAGCTGCTGCTGCTGCCCTTGAAACATGGTGCTGTGCTGAAGGATGAATAATTCTGTTGGACACACAGTGTTCATTCGAAGAACAAATCCGCAAGCCCTCTCAAGACCAGGGATGAAGAAAACCATCCTTTCCAGGTGATAAGAGGAACAATAGGCAAATGCTACTTCGAAGTACTACTGTACGATTAGGACTGAATTTATGAGAGTCCAGTTCTTGAAACCTATAGGAAATGTTGCACCGAACAAACCATTTATTACCAGTTGAACCCGCCTGGCTGTTCAACGTGTTCTCATAATGCTCCATTGTCTTTCTTGTGGGGGTCCAGGCTTTCTGCTCAACTTCCCAGTCCACAACCCTGCACGGCAAGGAGTACGCACCACACACACACACGCACACACACACACACCACACACACACACACACACACACACACACACACACACACACACACACACACACACACACACACACATCGTAAAAAGCACAATCTGCCACACACTGACACAGCTTCACACACACACACACGTATCCCACAGCAAGGTCTGCAATCCCAGTCCTGACTGAAAAATGGTATGCCTTAAAAAAAAAGAGAAAATAATGTCCTCGCGACACGCAGTAGGGAGAAAAGGCTCCAGTCGAAATGAGATTGCCGTTGAAGGAAAGGCTCTTTGCGTAGGCTCAAGCAAACGGTTATAGCTCTCCCTAATTTCGTCGTGCACGCAAGGATGTCACACTCTGTTGGAAGTGCTGCAAACATGTTACCATAGTGGACGCAATCTGCCTGTTCGGACAAAATAGACTGTAATCAAGATAATACAGTGTACTACAGTCCATTTCAAAACTATAGACGCGTAGGGTTTTGGCTGGAACTTTTTGAGAATAGTTTTCGGAATATTTCTCAGGTCCGCTCCACAATTACTCTCATAATTATAGTTTCTAAACGATTGGATAACAGACGCCCAATTTGGAAAAATTTATGCACAAAGTGATCACAGATTTTATGTGGTATAGATGCTGGCATAACAGTTTTTGCCTAGGTACGCGTCTATAGTTTTGAAATGGACTGTACGTCATGTACTCGCAGGATCATTCTAAATTGATTTCAGCACACAAAACAAGAAAACTACTACAGTAATTCAACCTCCCACAATTATCGACTCAGTGGTCTCGTTGCTATGATGAAATCAGCGTTCACCCTATTTGAACAAATTTCCAGGTACGAGTGGATTTTGATTTCAGCCGGTACGAAGATAGACGAATTGCATGGACTCAAAGTGCTGCATTTACAGGGTCTACATGCGCTGAAGACATCATGATGAAATGCTCATGAAAACTCACTCACCTTATCCAATCTGATGATGCAGTTGCTAACTTGCACATCTTCAGCCGATGCTCACCGCTTATTAGTCCCTAGCACAACCGCATGTACGTGCACAGAAAGTGTGGTTGCTGCTTCGTCTCTAAAAATAATATTATTTAATTCCAGCGACCCGCACTGCTTCATTGCGCACATGTCATGTACTCTGTGTGTGTGTGGGTGTGTGTGTGTGTGAGTGTGTGTGTGTGTGTGTGTGAGTGTGTGTGTGAGTGTGTGTGTGTGTGAGTGTGTGTGTGTGTGTGTGTGTGTGTGTGTGTGTGTGAGTGTGTGTCGTTTAGACAAAAAACCATGAAACTAAAGATGAACAGCAAGATATCAATGCATGCCAGAGAGGCAAGGTGACCAGGCCATTAGGGGCACCAGGTAGATCCAGTTAGGGTCACCAGGTCATGCACTCTGGATGTGTGGAGAACCCCATACGGGTAATGTGTATACTAAGTAAGGTGAGTGAATAAAGCATCACTACATGTGTGTGTGTGTGTGTGTGTGTGTGTGTGTGTGTGTGTGTGTGTGTGTGTGTGTGTGTGTGTGTGTGTGTGTGTGTGTGTGCGTGTGTGTAGGGATTACGGATTCACTGGCCAGAAAAAGCCACTTCATAGCTGTGTGGTGTAGACCAAGCTGAATAGTGGCGGTCTTGCAAGCTGTTGAATGGTGCAATCCCAGCACACGTTGCTATGGAATCTGCTGTAGCATCGCTATGATCGCCTCCGGCGATGGGCGTCAAATGGTGTGTGTGTGTGTGTGTGTGTGTGTGTGTGTGTGTGTGTGTGTGTGTGTGTGTGTGTGGTGTGTGCGCGTGTGTGAATGTGCATGCATGCCGCAAACATGCATGTGGGCATGCGAAGGTTGGCTTTGAAATTTTTTGGCAGGGTGGGCGACTGCAAATTTATCATCGTCCGGAAGTGCTACTCAAAATAGATGCTCCGTGTTATTAGTGTGCCAAATGTGTGAAGTCTTGGCAAAAATATACATGTGTACCAGTAGAAAGTTACGTTTCGTCTTCACAATGGGCAAACCCACCTTTTTCCCATAGGCGTCATTCACAGGTGATACTATGCCTCCCACAACCTCAAAGCGACCAGTCTGGTGCAAAGTGTCCTTCGCCAACTCTTCATGCACAGAGACCCAATGGGAACACAAAGCCAAAGGTGGGTGTTCAGTGATAATTCCCGAAACATTTCAATGGCTCAGGGACGAAGTGGCTCACCAAACAAACGCAGGTGCATGTTTGTAATAGGATTAAACGAGCCGCATGCTACGAGGCAGACCTTTGCACGAGAGGAAGTTGCCATTTCAAACTACCTGCTAGTAGAAAACAACGACTACACAGTCATGTACTACTGCGATCACCAGATAAAACCTCCACTTCCTTTGAAATTGTTGTCCGAAATTTTCTTTTTTATAATCATCGTGAAAGCAAGAACACAGCTAGCTGGTAGATTCTACACGTCACGTCGACTGTACGCGTAGTAATTAAAGGGGAACTCCGGTCCAAAATCACCCCCATTTTTTATTGCGGAATCCATTAGAGTATGTCGTGAGTGGTAGAATGGCGAAAACCAGAAGCTTCTACGACAAGGATAACATACCTAAATTACCAATTGCGATTTTCCATATTTGGCACGAGGGGGCCCCCGCCCACCCTGTGACGTAAAACGTTCTCAGTGACCTCCAAATTTTTTTATTCAAATGGTAGACCTGCAGAAATTTTGAAAAAGGTATTCACTGTTTTTTCTTCAATCAATAACCCTTGTACTAGTATTCATTCGATCATCATGTTGGAGGAAGAGGAGACCACGGGAGGTGTGGAGGTGGACGCCACTTCGGATTCAACAACACCGTGGCCTTTTAGGTTCGAGCCGAAGCGCGCATCAGCGTCTGCGAAACTGTCTACAACTTTAGTACAAGTAATATTTCTGAGACTACGAAACAGATGAACGTGAAGAGACCGCTTTGGTTGCAAGTGCTCGCGTGAGAAGCACTGCTTCATGCCGTTGCGGACAATGCAGCATGATGTGGAGCGAGGTCGAGTCGACTTGTTGCTGGGAGGTTCCTGCAGCTTTCAGTAAACGCGGCGAGCAGGAAGGGCTGCAGTGCGTCATGCAGCACTCAGCAGAGTTTGCTGTTGTTTGCCTGCAAAAATCAGTGCTCGAGGTGGCATTGCTTTCCTTCGAAGAATTTCGGGCAAGGTGTGGACCGTGGTCAAACAGGTGAGGATTCACTGAATCGGTTTCATTATTTCCTTTCTTTCCATGTTTCATGTACCGTAGTAGATGGGAAGTGTTGTGCAATGATTTTGTGTACAGTATTCAAATTCACCAACTTCCATCACACAATCATGAAGTTCTATTGCACCCATGCCAATAATGCAATATAATTATACTGGTACACGATGTCTTTCATTCATACTATTCCTAGCACTGTAAGTGTTTCAACTGTGTGTAAAAGTGATGTAAATTTGAAAAAAGGCCAAAGTGTCTTTAGTATAGTAGCCCATAGAAATATTAATTCGAATCCGAAGCTATTTACACTGAAACTATTTACTTTTACACAATCATGAAGACACTCGTGGTATGTGTATCTACATCTCTCCAACTGTTTTGTGCAGGATTTGGAGACATGTGGCGTATAGACAATACACATGGTTCACCCATGGATACTTTGGACGCAAGCAGCGGCGTGTGATACCGTCTTGCGTGGTATCGAAGATAAAGCAGCTGTACCAGAAGCCAATGCAGATGCGCACTGGGGCTTTGAGGAAGCAGTTGGACATGATGATGATGATGATAATGCTTCTTGGCCTGGTTGACGTTCACATAATCATTGGTACATGTGCATGCAGAATGTAGAAAACAGTTGACAGACACGATTTATAACTATTCTTGACTCGGGCAATATTTGTGTTTTCGGGTGGGCGCATGCAGCCAATGCAGCTGCATGAACAATCTGGTAAAGTTGACAGATACAATGGCACAAGACTGTACTGTGTTCGGGAGCATGGGGTTGTGCCGGTGCCGTTGCGAATGCCGAGAATGGTTGTATGCACATCGTTCAACAGGTCCTTCAAGAAGTTGCAGGACATTGTCGTGCAGCTTCTTGGCCACTTTGTGCTCTTGGTGTATTCCAGTCTGTACCTGAGCACACCCTCCTTGGTTTTGGCGTGCGCTCTCCCTATATTGGCATTGTGGGACAGACATGCCGACTGTACCCATGCTCTCATGCCATTGTACGAAAAGTGGACACGTTTTGGTGCCCACTTCAGTATGACAGCATGGAAAATTTCCAGACTACAAATCATACTGTACCTTGTATTTGTGGCAGTGTAGCTGCAACCGGAAAGTAACGCAATGGAAACTTACAGATAAAGAGAACCGAAATAACACACATGATAACGTTCCATGTACATTACATCAATTCTCGACTTCACTGACTAGGATTTTGAGTAGGACTGTACTTTGTAGTCGTTTAGAGCTACGTTCTGGACGGCACAAAATCATGCCGTTCACTTACCTCATCGTGCTCACGTTCATGGAAGTAAATCGAAGATGGTCTGCTTTTGCCGGCAGCAGAGGTAGAGGAGCTACTAACTATTAGTATGACATGCACCGCAGTTAGTTCAGGATGGCAGAGACCCTGGCTTCAAGCGTCGCTGCTGCTTCTGCTTATAGCCACCAATGCTTTGTGCAAACTCTTGTTGGAAATCTCTTTCATAACACATCTCAGTGAAATGCTCAGTGCAGACACGATTATTTTTCGTCGGAGAAAAATCCTTCCAACATACTCTCCATAGCCAAGCTGTCGTCAGGTTCGCGTCAGCCAGAGGAAAGCCATGCTACGACTGCCCGCAGGCGCCTCTTTCTTCGTGACATTGTTGCATCCAGAGACGCAGCAGCGAGTCGTGACAATAAATCGGGCATGGCACAGAACAACAAGCACTTCAACAATGGCCAAGGACTTTTCATTCTTGCTTCATTTGAAAATTTCATCTGAGTGGACCGGGCTGAGAACGTTTTACGTCACAGGGTGGGAGGGGGCCCCTCGTGCCAAATATGGAAATTTGCAATTGGTAATTTAGGTATGTTATCCTTGTCGTAGAAGCTTCCGGTTTTCGCCATTCTACCACTTACGACATACTCTAATGGATTCCGCAATAAAAAATGGGGGTGATTTTGGACCGGAGTTCCCCTTTAATTATTTCCCAGGAAACGAGCACGCCTTGGAGACGCGACGTTGCGACGTTGAGTTGACACATGTACAGTATACAGCAGGGAGTCGTATTTTACGACTCCCTGGTACACAGCAAGAGTACATAACCTGGGTTATGCATATGTACTCTTGGTACACAGTCATAGTCAGTCCACGTGGTACTCGACTCTACGGAAGTAACGTTCATAACAGCAGTAGATCTACGCTGTTCACAGGTTCATGTTCTGTGTTCCCTACTTATTTTCAAACTAAACTACCAACAGTCATTATTATTATTGTCATTTCTGTGCTCCTTGCTTCAAATCAGTAGACGAACCTTGGCTTTGGACTTCGGGCTTGTACTTTCAGAATGAGGTGACAGAGTCATGGCAGGGTGTACATGATTGTAATAAATAAATTATATCCTACTGCTATTGTTCTCGTTTAGTCGAGTAGAGGTGGTTTCGGTGAAAACTGATGATCTGGAAGATTTCTTGCATGCAAAGCGGCCATCATCAAAGGCTGGCATGGCAGCAAGCTGGATACCATGGGCATATGCATACAGCGGTAACGACGTAAGGGCTAGCTAAGCTACAATAGTCACGTAAACATACCTGCATATGTGATACTGAAGTTGACATAACAGAGCAAGAGGGCAATATCAGGCAATTACTTGAAAGTTGAAACAATGATTGTTCTCTACGAGAGAGATCTCAAGAAAAAGCAAAAGCAAGAGAAACCTATTGCAGTACATTCAAGAATAGTATCATGTGTCACACCGTGAGAGTGTGTAAGGTAATAAAACATAAAAGTATCTGACAGGTGCCATTGCAAAGTGCATTATGTACTTTCAATCTTTGTGAGGTGATAATTGAGATCTCAGGAAGCATAAGCGAGCTGTCACAATGAAGATTGGGGCCTAATTGATAAGATTTCGGGTTTTTTCAGACGAAACCTTGAAGTTTGCCCTGGTGTATTTAGCAGCGCCCTTCAGAATGGTGGGGCTCCATAGGATAATGCTGGCTTTATGAGGACACTCCCGGGAGGGTGGCAGTTTTGGGTGATACTTGAAGCAGCACGGAATCTCGGGTATCGTGAAGGTCCACAAACGTGTTAGTCAGGGTGAGACTCTGTTGCCAGGGGTTGTGACTTTCAGTCCACCTTGATGGACTCTTGATTGTTGCGGCATTGTGTATTGCTTTCCTCCTTGCACAGAACGTTCGGATAGGTATTTTACAGTCGGGTGACACCTATCATGAGTCATGGAAGAATGGACCGGCTCGGTGTAAGATGCCTCGGCATCCCATCCTGCCTCATGGGAACAATGCGCTGGTGTTTCTCAACACTCCAAGTAAGCGGTGAAACCACTTTCTAGTCATGGCCGCCATGAACATACCGTAAACGTCCATAAATAAGTACCTGCCCGAAGTAAATACCCCCTTCATTCTTTTGACTCTGTATGTTAAAGTCAAGTTCAGCCCGATAAACATACTGCCCGAGATATGTACAGGTACGGTATACACTTGCAGCATAGCATAGCATCAAGAGCAGGGAGTCGGTATTTTACGACTCCCTGATCAAGAGTACATCTTGATAGCATCAAGAGTACATAACCCGGTTATGTACTCTTGATAGCATGTACTGTACATCTACATCAGGGGCGTTGGAACCGGTGCGGCAGGTGCGGCCAAAGCCGCACCAATAATTTTCGATTTTTTTTACCATGTTTTACATCGACAATGCGGTGTATCATCAACATGCATATTCTTTTCTTATTATTCTGTAGCGTTAAAATATGGCTTTTTAGGCCCAATTTTCAAAAAAATTGCCATAATTATTGTTCGTGACGGCTCATCAGGTGTGCACATTTTAACTCCGATTTCGCCCCGATCTTGAGGATTTTTCTTACGAGCCCATGTCGGCCGCAAAATCGGCCTAGTGTGGACCAGGCATAATGCTTGGTCCACACTGGGCCGATGCTCCGGCACCGACTCTGGCATGAAATCGGCCGACTGGGTCGGACAGTAACTCGGACTACTACCTACACAGATTTTGTGGGAAACATGTGCGACACCTAGCCCTTTCCCAAGGTGCTTTTTTAATTCGCACTTAGTGCTTTTCGCGTCCCTCAAAATATGCTGAAAAAGTGCTCTTTTTTCAGTGAAGCATAGCCATGATACATGTTCAGATATGAACCCAAGCTGAGAAATGAATACGCACTTTTTCATTTATGGGTCCACGAAAGGCAAAACAGGAGGTAAAGTTCAAAAAACCCACTTTTTACAGCATTGTGTACAAGCTTCACCAACTTGTTGACCCCCACCAAAAAAAAAGCGGCGTGCCAAGGCCCATCGAGCACTCGGAAACTGTGATCGCATGCATGAGCAAACAGATTTTAGCACTTTTCAGCTAAAAAAGCTGAAAAAGGGCGATATTCACCAAAAAGCGCAATAAAGGGCGAAAGAAACGGGCTTTTCCAAGAAGGGCCAAAAAGGGCCAAAAAAGGGCGAGCACCTTTGGGAAAGGGCTAGCGACAACACCGTCCACACCAGGCAATTTTCGCGCCGATCCTGAGGATTTTTCGTACGATTCCATACAAAAATCGGCAGCAAGTGGTAGTGTGGACCAGGCATTAGAAAACAAAGAAGAGAAAAATGAGTCAAATCTCATCATGCAAAGGCTGCAGCTAAAGACGGATTCTGTGGTGTATCTGCTGACTGCTGTGGATGCCACTTTCAGCTTTCCAGAATCCAGGTGTGTGATCCAAGCAACGCCCTTGAAATAGAATGAGTCAGCACAGGAGAGATAGACTTGCCTTGCCTGTGCACGTGCCGCGAGTGTGCGTTCGTCACATTCTAGGTCACGTTTTATGGCTAGGCATTGCGGCGCACCTGTCAGGCTCGGATGCTCACTGCCCAATGCAACTGCAAGCAACAGTGCGTCGATCGTGCTGACACTCTGGCACAGTCTGTGGCCCAATGCAAAAGGTCTGGCTAGCAAGTAGGACTAGGAAGCTACGCTACCCTCCCCCCAAAAAGTCACGCGCGACTCGAAATGCATGTCGAGAGAAAGCAACGGCGCGTAGCTGTTGACTTTTGAGGTCCTCTTCGCCTTTGCCACCCTTTGGCGGCCACGGAATCAGGGTTTCTTCTGCAAATAATTAGTTTAGTCTGCAACCAGTGATGCGAAGAGCAGGGGCCAAATAAAAGTACCTCTGTTTTTCCTCCGTCACTTTCTTCTCTGCAAGCTTTAGCAGCTAGCGAAGTCTGTTTGCCTATACATTTGTATCGCGATCTGAAGGTTTCATTCATTCCGCAGCCATGAAGTTCTTGAAAAAGGCGTCTGATGCCATCACAGGGGTTCTGGAGCGATTTTTTTACCGGTACGAGTGTGGGATAGGGGCATCTCTTTTCAAGTATTTGTCCATCAGGTCTAGTCTAGAGTTTTCCTGGCCACTTGTAGATCTACTCATTTTTTTTCCTAAATGTCATGTCATGTATACCGGTATTCATGTATTGAGTTCTTCCTCCGAAAGGAAAAAAAATGTTACAGACTGCAGCCGCTGGTGCAGTGTGACAGGTTCACGTAGATACGTGTAGTGGCAACTATTACTTCGAAAAGACCTGGCCTGGCTTGGTAATAATCCTGTGCCTCCCCATGCAATGTCATGCCCTGGTTCACAACTATGTAACATAATGGCTCTCACTTGCTAGCATGTAATGGAAATGTTGAATGCATGTTTCTATCATGAACATACAAAATGGGCATCCCTCAGGTTAAAAAATCATGAATTGGCCACGAATTTTCTTTTCCTTCTTGTGCTTGTGTGTCCTTGTCTGTGTATGGATGTACACACAGCTGTGTGCTTGCTTCTTTCCGTCTGTTCGCGGTTATGATTGCTGTTGCTGTGGTGGTGGTGTTTTTATTCTCTGGTCACACAGAGTGGGCTATGGCGTCGGCTCCTATCCGATCCAAACCCTGGTTATCACCACCCTTCTCTCTGGTGCCTGTCTGGCAGGCCTGTTGCGGTTTCAACAAGAGGCTCGCGGAGAAAAGCTATGGGTGCCACAAGACTCTGAAGTTATACGAGAGATGGAAACGGTCAATAAGTTCTACCCGGCGGCATTCGCGCTGATGAATATGATCTGGACTCGCGTGCCAAGTGACACACATGCCGGGGTCCTGGAGGCTGAGAACATCCGCCAGGTATTTTGTTGTTTGTAGTTGGGTAGATAGAGAGTGGTGAGGCTGCATTTGCCATTGTGGTGTGTGCTATGGTACTGTGCTAAATGTAACATTGTTCGCTATCATCGCTTCAGTGATGGGCAGGAGTGTGAGTATGAGTGTGTGTGTGTGTGTGTGTGTGTGTGTGTGTGTGTGTGTGTGTGTGTGTGTATGTGTATGTGGTGTGTGTGTGTGTATATGTGTGTGTGTGGTGTGGTGTGTGTGTGTGTGTGTGTGTGTGTGTGTGTGTGTGTGTGTGTGTGTGTGTGTGTGTGTGTGTAGGGGAAAAAAGAAAAAAAAGAACAAAAAAAGAACAAAAAGAAAAGACCAAAAATAGGGATTCACTGGCCAGAAAAAGTCACTTCAAATAGCTGTATGGTGTAGACCAGGCTGAATAGTGACGGTCAATTCTTCAGCCTTGCAAGCTGTTGAATGGTGCAATCCCAGCATAAGTTGCTATGGCTTCTGCCGTAGCATTGCTACCATCGCCTCCGGCGATGGGCGTCAAAAGGTCAAGAAGAGGGGGTGGGGGCTGGTGCAATGCTTTTCAAACTCTGACATGTGGTCATGTGACGCCGTAAAGTACTGTCAATTCGTGCCACCCTAGGTCGCTTCCCAGTTGGGTTTACAGCAGGGACAGGAATTGAGCTAGGTATCAAAGTGCAGTACAACAAAACTGCATACTTGCTGTGCTGGAGTGTACACAGTTCCAGCCACAGGAATGGCAAAACTTGTACGTGTTGCGTACAGCTGTATATGCATCGGTTCAGCACCATAGACGTATACGCTGAAGTCACTTCACAGGTAGAAAATCGACAGGAACGGAAATTAGAGAGCGATCAGATCAGCAGTACTTTGCGGTTTGTAAGTAGCGATGTCAGAGTGCCGTGCCACGTGACCTCCACGCTTGTCGCTGGATTCCCTAGCAACCAGCTGAAATGATGGCACAAAAGGCCAGTACGGCAGAATGCCAGTCGCGGCTAGTGCGTGCAGTACTTGGCACGCGGGATTTTTCAAATGTGTCCTGAAGACGTCAGTGACAAGCTTGGTCGTGATTATTGCCACGAAAATAGAAGATGAACTTTCGTATCCGCGTTTGTGCGGGCGCGCTGCGCCTACGGAGCTGGGAGTATGGCCGCCGACAAGTTAGCGTATGTTCAGTCGCCTTTTTCATCTCTTGCGCTGCCTGATACAGGTTTGATTTTAGTTCCATCGTGTTCCCCGTCGTCCAATTTAGTTTGCTGCAAAGTTTCACCGGCGTATCACGCCGCGCACCAGACTTGTAGTATTTTTCGCGACAGGTACTCCATTGCTGGATACAACGCCATCATGAGTGTTCGTCCAGCAAAGGGACCGGCGGTGAAGATGTCTTGTCGAGTCTTGGACTCAAGGAGGAGCAGCTATTGCAGGATAAGCCCCTGCCTAGCATGATCGGAAACGTTTCAAATGCATTGGTGTTAGAACTGATGAAGTTCAAAGCGGACCACCACCAGGATCATAATCTACTTGTCGAACTCTTCTTGTCTCGGAGAATGGCCAAATCACAACTCATACTTCGGCTACTCTTCAACAGTCTTCTTGAATTTCTCCAACAGTTTGCAGCAACAAAAAGAAACCCGTACAGCTACGGTACATTTTGTACAGTGCGCAAGATTACTCATGACCCGCGATCCCTGTTGTCCAGACCGATTTTGTGCCGTGGTGAGATCTGGTTTGTGTACAGTGAGGCATGGTGCTTTTCGACAATGGCGGCGCTTACCCCGCGCACTCTAAACTGGAATAAGTCCACTATATTTGCTCCGATTTGCTTCAAACTTTGCCAGTATACTCTACTTGTCTTCAGGAATCGGATGGTATTACAAAATTGCCCGATTCTCAAAGCAGAAATTTACCCTGACATCGCTATTGTAAGACTCGCTGGAAGAATTTAGTATGGTGTCTGTGGCATCAAGTATAGTTTTGCCACTTGTTACAAAGCGTATAATTATGATGATGCCATTCACACAGACTCTATTGAACTTCACGCACGTTCCTTTGGTCCATTTCGTGCTTGGCAAGTTCACCCGTAAATCCATATCTGGTAAGATTAGGCTAGAGTACATAATGTGGTTTGTGCTCTACCAAGCAGGTCTTTGCAACCCGATGATTCTACCTCTCTGTGTTATGGTGTTTGCTATATGCACAGTTGTATACCATTCACATGGATGTTCTCAGCATCAATGCTAGCTACGATGGGCGTGACTGGACATGGGATGACCTGGCCTACCGGTTAGATTAGCCTGCTCTCTTTCTGCGGAGTTTTCGCTTGTTTTAACCGTAACAGTTGACAGTGGTGTGTATTTTCACTGGAAGGTGTCTCACAACTGTTCTCTCCTGCTTCAACGTACAATCATGCTCGATGAAATCCGGGCTCGTGAATATGTTAGCGCCCTGCACCAGTGTTTGCAGATCTGGAGCTGAGCATTGCCTGGCGCTAGCTGATTCGCGATGCCCAGATTTTATCGAGCAGCTCCGTACATTGGTTAATATCGGAACACTTCTGGGCACTTGTTTGTCTGGGTGGTGTGTTGCGATGAGCCAAATTGATCTGAACACAGAACAAACTTCAGTGCACTTTTGATAATGGATGATTGTGTAAATTTTTTATGGGCTGTTTCTGACTGCAGGCGCTCCGATGGTGGTAACGCTTGGATCAGCAGCATCCTGTCCCTGTGGAGCTTCGATGGTGATGTTATCGGTAATCTCACCACAGCTAACATTTTGACCAGGATCAATGAGCCCAACCTTTTTGAGTAAGGATCTGAAACATCAGATTTGTTTAGGGATATAACGAACCATGAATTTTACAAAATAGAGGTTGCGACTTCGGCGATGATTTTGTTTAGGAATGGATCGTGAGTCAGTCAAGTGTCAAGTCGGCGGCGGAATAGCGCGAGCTCCAGTGTGGGAGCAAACCAGTTCCTAATGAATTTTACAAACGAATAATCTAGCGAATACCACTCAAGCGGCGAACGAACGATTATTCTACTATTCCACAAGAAAATTCTTTATTGACAATTATGAAGAACTGTTACGAATGCGAAGTGTACACGTAGCAAACACACAACACAAACGCTCAGACTCGAGTCAGAGTAGAGTCTACCATGGTCTACCCCGCGTAGTCTACATCACTAGTTTTTTTGTGACAGGTCTAATGTTGAAAGCCCAGAAACGTGCCATTCGTGAGCCGTCCGGTACATGCCAACCAACTGTGTTATTTTCCACCTTCATCCCGGCGAAAACGGCAAAAGAAAAACTGACTTTTGTCTACGCTTGGTATACATTCAGACTTGGAGGGAGTGCTGCGTAGATCTAGCAAAAACACTTTCCCTGTACTCTGGAAGCTACTTTGTAGTTTTTTTCCTTGCCCCACAAAATAACAACTTGTGAAAGTATCCTGCATTTGGAAGTACTTCTGCTTGCCCTGGATGTCTGTACTGATACAAACCAACTGCTGGCCAAACTTGTTGAAGATGAAGAAGACTACTAGCTGTAGACTGTCACTTCCAATTCAAGTACATAGTATTATTTTGGCTTCTTGACACTGTGATTCTTTCCCAGTCCTAAATAAGCTGTGTGCGTGACATTGGGTTGAGTAGTGTAGTACCCTAGAACTTCCTTTGTAGCCTATATTAGGCTATAACTTGGCTCATTGTGATTGATGTTCGCTGATGCTTGTGCAGAGAACATGCCACGCTTTTAGTTCACGGAATAATTAACTTTACCATTAATTCTGGGTGTGTATGGCTTGCTGTACTGTCCTCTGCAGTCCCTGGAATGGCGGTCTATTCCAGCTGAACCGCCTGATCAGTGGTATTCAACGCAACACGGCAGGCAACATTACTGGGGCAGCGGCCGCTAAGGCAACATATCGCATCATATCCAACCTCACATTCGATAGCTCTTCCGGACAGGAGGTAAGTCGGGATTCCCCGAACCCCCCTACACACGTGTGGATCCATCAGCCTTCCCTCGGTCCTCTCTTATTGAACCTTCAGTAGTTTGGTGCATTTTTACAGAATCTTTTGTTATAATCCCAAAAGTATTTGCTTACCCGGAAGTTGTTGCTGTTGAAGTTAAAAGTACAGTTAATCGTTTGTGCCCTTTTGTATGCAGGTAGACAAACGCTCAGACGCATGGTCAATGCTATTTGAGGACATTGGCCGCCGCACCTGGTCTGAGTTTACAGAATCGACTGTCTTTACTCAATGGGGGTGAGTACTACGCAGAGCTACGTGTTCCATGTGAATTTCTTATGCTGCTGTGGGTGGTATGTCACTTTATGAGCTGCATCTGCGCCTTAGGCTTTGCAGGGTTGTTGCGTTCCTACGGATGCTGAAAACTCAGTCTAATTGAGTCTTCAGCTGGGATTTTCCCATTTTCGCACGTGCCTAGCCAGCCAGGTGCTATGACGCAATCAGGCTACGGGCATCCCGACTTCTTTGCGAAAATCCCAGCGCTCTGCGATAAAATTTGGGGGAATCGCATCGCAATGAGTATTTCGCTCGCAATTGACATGACCCTGGCGCGTACGCTTGCTTCGCTCACTGTACATGTATTATATTGCTGCTCGTCATATCTACTGGAGATGTATTCCTTATGGATCGAGCTTTCCAGGAAGCCCAGGATTGTGAGAATCGACCTAGAAATGATGGAGTTATTCAACTTAGTGTCGGAGAAATATGAGTAAGAACGGCGATTTTGTGTTTTCTGAAAACAGTTGTAGGGTTAAATACTGTATTTTTCATCCCCATTCCCAGTACCCCCTTTACGAAACAATCAGAATGCACGCACTAGCAGTCGACAGTGGTAGAACAGAATGCGGAGCTCAAGTACATGTACAATGCAGAATAGACCTGGTTGGATTAACCTGGACACATGGCTACACTAGGGTGTGAAAGCAACTGCTTGTGACTTGATTGAATGTTGCAGTACAGTTGAGGTAGTACGACTTCATGAGATCACAAATTGTTTATTTCAGAGACTAGATGGATGAGTGACAGATTGAATGCATGGTACCAGAGGAGTGGTGTGACCAATCGAGAAACCGTTTTTACATGCCAGCACAAACTTAATTACGAAGCAGCACATCAGGGTGAGCAGCGAGCAGTGCAGCTAGCCGAGGCACGCTGACTGGAGTGACGACGTCACTGGGAAGACTGAGTGGCCACTCGGGTGCAATTCTTCTTGGAGTGTTTGCCGCGGCATGACAGGCAAACATGGGCCCGTGTGCAGGACGGGCACGTGCAGACGCCGTTGTTGTAGTTTCGGCAGATCTGGCGGCCATCGTGATGAGGAGCTTGGCTGACTGGCTCCCGCCTGCATCCTGGGCAAGAGAGGTCCCTCCACGAAAGGGGCAATGCGGGCCTGGAGACGAGAGTACAAGAGAACAACGCGAGGAGATAGGGCGCCCGCGGCTCGTGACACAGGACTGCCAAAGGTTAGGGTCCAGTTGCCGCCAGGAATACAGGTGCGGCATGGAAGCAAGACCAGCACAGAGACGGCGGTGATATGTTAGCCACGTGTTAGTCATGTAATTATTGTTTGCCTCGCTGATGGTGGCTTGGTACACCAGCAAATCTGGTGCTTGATCCGGCGACGCATCGACCAGGACTCTGGCGAACAGGGCAAACGCCTCTAACCATGTCACCACGTCATGGACTCGGCGCTTGGAGGGCTGGGGAGTGGACGAACTCTGTACCAACTCAACGGACCTGTCGTTCACCAAGGACAACTGCAGGACATGACTACTGCCAGACATGGCTTCAGGCAACAAGTCGCCAAATTCAACAAACTCACCTCGCGTTATACGTTCCCTTAGCTGTGGAGGGATGACGGGCAGTCCTGCAGAACCGGACCAGCAAGCCAAGGGCATCGGTGTAGGTTGCCCCAGATGCAGAGGAGCTGATGCTGGTGCTGGTGATAGAGCTACGGGCGAGGTGGTTGGGACGACGATGTTCGATTCCACGCGCTCCATGAGGGGCTGGATAACACCGGTCAGGTCGTGCAAGGTGAGGGGAGCTGGTTGTGGCGGCGCAGGAGAAGCCACCCGGTCCGCGTTGGCAGAGCTGTGCTCATGGCTCACATGGGACCTCGCTCTCCGATTTTCTTGAGTATTCACAGCCCACGGCGGATACGGGTAGAGAGCTGGGGGACCGTCAGTTCCACCAGCGCTTGTACCCTGCGAGGTGCTCCGTGTCCTCGGTATGTCCGTCGACAGGTAAAGGGAGTGAAGGAAAATAAAAATTGACAACTGACAAACCAGTGAACACTCAAGTCGTCGGAAAACATAAATAACAACGGAGTTTTCTGCAAAGCAAGATTTGAACAGCATGCGCAGGAGAGTGGTGCACAGGATGCGCATGAGCATATATAGCAATGACATCATAATCAGAGGATGGATGCATGATCATCAGACTAGGTATGAGCGGTAGCATGAGTACATAACCCCCCCCAAGAGTGTGTAACTCGACTATGGGTGCTGTCCCAACAGAATTTCAAGTTGACGTCATTTTTATGATGCAATGCGCACTGCACGCGGATTATCAGACGAATCCGGAACCTGTGGTGGAGCAAAGCCCATCTGATCCTGTAGAAATTATTGCAAAGAAAATGTGTGATGTGTTGACACCCGTACACATTGTTGTAACTTACACTTAGTTACTGCATGCTTGTGGCACACGACAGTCACAAGCAACACGAGGAGTAATTATGGTTGGTAGTTATCATTACGAAGGTAAACAAGAGAATGGCCCGAGCATGCCCAGAGCAACCAGGTAAGGGCCAGCAGCCATGATGAGAGAATACCGTAGACATGCGCGAATGGAGATAATGTCGTACGAAGAAGCAGCGAGAGAGAAGCATGCAGCGACGGCATGTAAATGCAGTCTATAACAATCCTTCCCCCTTAAGAAAAATAAATAAATAAATAAATAAAAAAAAATAAAAAATAAATAATAATAACTAATAATAATAATGTGAGAAAAATAAAATAACTAATATTAATAATAATGTGAGCGCTGCAGTGGCAAACAACTCACAAATCCAATCGGTCTGGAGCACGTCTAGTTCTGACAGGGTAGCGGGAGGCAGAAGTGATAGCAGGCTCAGCAGATAATGCAGGGACCGCAACATGGTCAGCTACGGTGTCTGGACTTGTAGGGGAAAACACAGCAGGCATTTCAGCCGTAGTTTCGGCAGATGCATGAGACACCTCGGGTGTAGCATGAGCAGGTACAACCGGGCTAACAGGCACAGAAGCAGCAGACGGAGACAGAGAACATGACACAGGTGGATTAGTAGGAGCGGGCAAACAAGTACTAGATTCAGAATCTTCAGTGGGGGGTGTGCTAGTTTCAGCAAGGCAGGTAGGCATACGGGCGCGAAGGTGATCAATATGAACTTGGCGCAGCATACCACACACAGACACGAGATAGGTAATCGGGCCTAGCCGCTTCTCAACAGTACCTTCCAACCACTTGGGCTTACTGCCCGGCCTGGCGTTGTGGACCCATACAGCCTGGGTAGAGTCAAACTGCTTTCGGGCATCAGTCGAGAGCGGATGCTGTTGCTGCATGGCAGAGGCAAAGCTGGGTTGCAGCAGGGATAAGCGTGTAGTGGGAGCCTTCTTGAACAAAAGGTTAGAAGGGGATTGTTTTGTACAAGTGTGTGGTGTATTTCTGTAAGAAAATAGAAAACGAGACAATTGTACAGACACAGAACGATTGGACGGCCGAGTTTTAAGGCATTTCTTGAGCTCTTGCACAATACATTCGTACTGGCCGTTGCTGGCGGGGTGATAAGGGGGTGTTCTGTGATGTTGAATAGCGTTCTCTTGACAGAACTGAGCAAATTTGTGTGATACAAATTGAGGACCATTATCCGTAACGATAACTCTAGGAATGCCAAATACACTGATGAATCGCAAAAGGCAATCAATGGTCTTGGATGCTGGTGCAGAGTGACCAAGCTCAAAAACATCAATCCATTTAGAATATGCATCAACAAGAACAAGATAGTACAGAGAATTATATTCAGCATAATCCAAATGGATTCTCTCAAAAGCAGAATTGGGATATGCCCAATGATGAGTCGGTTCAGAAGCAGGTAAGCGGGCATTGCGCTGACAAATATCGCAGTCAGAAGCTAGCTTGACTATGTCCTCATCCAAACCAGGCCACCAAAAGATGCCACGTGCTACACTTTTCATACGGGAGACACCTGAGTGTGATACATGCAGTTCTTGCAGTAGCTGACGGCGAAATTGTACAGGGATGATAACACGAGCACCCCACATCAAACAGCCATGCTCAATTGATAAATCCTGTCTGATTCTCTGGAAAGGGACTAACCTGTCAGAGACGGAAGACGGCCATCCATGTTGGGCATATGACATAGCCAGGGAAATCTCACCATCGAGCTTGCTTGCCTTTGCAACATCTGCAGCTTGAATGGGTATTAACTCACATGGATCAAAAGAATGGCTAAATACTGCATGCACAACAGCACGTTCTTCAGAAGCAGACAGAGGCAATGGTAATCGAGAGAGACAATCGGCAATAACATTATCTTTGCCAGCCAAGTGTTCAATCGTGTAATCATATTCAGCCAAGATGACGGCCCAGCGCTGTAGACGGGACGCAGATGTCTTGCTGAGGGATTCATGCGGTCCGAAGATCTTGACCAATGGCTTATGATCCGTTCGAAGGATGAATCGTCGGCCATACAGATACTGGTGAAGGCGACGAACAGCAAAGACAATCGCAAGAGCTTCGCGCTCTATTTGACTGTAGTGATTCTCGGCTTGTGACAGTGCTCGTGACACATACACGATAGGACGGATAGATTGGTCAGGCATGATATGCACGAGGGCAGCCCCGATACCTGTAGGTGATGCGTCACACTCCAGCACCAGTGGGAGCGTAGGGTCGTAGTGAGCCATGACCGGAGTAGTGGCAAGGAACTGCTTGACTTTGCAGAACGCGGTTTCACAATCGTCAGACCACACAAATGGAGCATCTTTCTTCATGAGAGAATTGAGAGGGCTTAGCAGTGTGGAGCAGTTGGGGATGAACCTCCCGAAGAAGTTAACAAGGCCCAGGAAAGAACGTAGAGCAGAAACATCAGTTGGCCTAGGGGCATTCATGATTGCAAGAACCTTATCGTTCGTGGGTTGTATGCCTTGCTGACTAACAGTGAAGCCAAGGTAACTAACCTGCTGCTGAGAGACGGCGCATTTCTCGCGGCTCAAACGAAGGCCTGCTTGTTGAAAGCGCTGTAGAACGGTACGGAGACGGTCATCATGCTCTTGTTGTGACTTGCCGGAAATCAAGATATCGTCGAAGTAGATGACGACACCAGGAATACCACGTAAGATCTGTTCGATGGTCTTCTGGAAAATAGACGGAGCAGAACTGACACCGAAAGGCAATCGAGTAAACGCAAACAATCCCTTGTGCCTGGAGATAACACAATAAGACTGGCTTTGTTCATCCAAAGGTAACTGAGCATAAGCCTGACTAAGATCTAGCTTTGAGAAGACCGATCCCCCAGACAATTCAGACAACAGGTCGGTAGGATTCGGAGTCGGGTGCTGGTTAGGTTCTATGTGCTTGTTAATTGTAACCTTGAAATCAGCACATAGACGGATAGAGTTGTTCTTCTTACGCACCGTGACAATAGGGGAAGCCCAGTCTGCATGGTCAACAGGTTTGATAACCCCTTCAGTCTGCAATCTCGTCAATTCAGCCTCGACCTTGGATTTCAATGCATAGGGCACAGGTCTTGCGCTGAAACTCCTTGGGGCAGGGGAACCTTGCAAATGAATAGTTGCTGTATGACCCTTGATAGTTCCCAAACCCTCTTGGAATACCGATGGAAACTGAGCCAAAATATCGTTAAGGGAGAGAGCGTTGGCTTGAGCAGTACGGAAATCTAACCAGTCCACTACAATGTGTGACATCCAGTTACGACCGAACAGGGGCTGGCTTGATCCCCCTACAACAATGATACGATCTTTGAACGAATGAGACTCATGACAGACTGAAACGGTACACTCTCCCTTAACGACTAGAGGATGTCCACCATAAGCATGCAAAGACGCAGAGCTCTGTTCTAAAGAGATATGGGAAAACTTCTCTTTCCAAACAGATTCAGGGAGAATAGAAACTTCAGCACCAGTATCTACCTCCATCGTGCACGGAATATCGTTAATGGTCACATCAATGGTAATCGGTGGGTGTTTCTGTACTTGCTCACCAATGGCACCAATTGCAAAAGACTCACTTGTATCCTCAGGTTCGACGTCGATGTCGATGTTGTTAGTTGCTCGGGACGTACAGCATGGCGCGAGGTGACCAACTTTCCTGCATTTGGTACATCTCTTGCCACGAGCAGGACATTGAGGGTGGTTTGCGAGATGATCAGGTCGGTTACACCTATAACACAAGCGCTCAGACGACGCTCGATCACCAGAAACAGAAGAGGCAGAAGAACGATTCATAGGGTTAGAACGATTCACAAAATGAGGAGAACTGCCAGGACGAGATCCAGACGCAGACGAGGCCTTACTTGCGATGGCGTTCACCGACGGCAATGTTTGTTCAGAAGAATCAGAACCCATAGCTGATGCTTGACGTTGGGTTGACTCGAAAATTGCACAAATCTCTAAGCAAGTGGCCAACGTCAATTTCGATTCTTGAAGTAATTTCTTTTTTAGTTCCACATTTCGCATAGTTGCCACCACGTGGTCCCGGATCATATCATTGGTGACATCACCAAAATCACAAAATCTAGCTTGTTGACGTAAACGTACAACAAACTGACTGATACTCTCACCGGCTTTGGGGGCGAGCTGTCGAAACAAGTGTCGCTCGTAGATAGGGTTTGGCTCGGCCTTGAAGTGGTGACTCAGCATGCGTGACGCTTTCTTGAACTCGTCGTCATCCGCCGGAGGACTTGTTTCTTCAGGATCGGTGAGATCGTCAAATAAATCTTGAATTGTTGGGCCTGCGGAATGTAGTAAAAGAGATCTCAAACGCTTAGTGTCAGAAATACCCATTCCTTCCGCCATGTATTCAAAGCTGCGGAACCATTTCTTCCAGCGTTGGCCAACCTCCGCAGGAGTACCTGACGAGTCGAACGTAGGTAGACGATTGGACTGACCCTCGTGGAGATTGAAACTACTAGCCATCTTCGTCGCCAATTGTTGTAACTTACACTTAGTTACTGCATGCTTGTGGCACACGACAGTCACAAGCAACACGAGGAGTAATTATGGTTGGTAGTTATCATTACGAAGGTAAACAAGAGAATGGCCCGAGCATGCCCAGAGCAACCAGGTAAGGGCCAGCAGCCATGATGAGAGAATACCGTAGACATGCGCGAATGGAGATAATGTCGTACGAAGAAGCAGCGAGAGAGAAGCATGCAGCGACGGCATGTAAATGCAGTCTATAACACACATGTTGTAAATCACTGGTGCAAGGAGCATTGCATGATAAATAATGACGTCAACTTGAAATTCTGTCGGGACAGCAGGGTATGTGGGAGTTGCACACTCTTGGGGGGGGGTTATGTACTCTTGGTGGTAGATGTTCCATGTTCCTTAAAACAGGGCTTAGCGCGCACGCCAAACCACAATTTGCAAACGGAAAGCAGCATTCAGGAAAATCTTCAAATTTCTATGGTATACCGAGTTATAAGTACGAGCGAGAGGCGTTTTATCGAGAGTTGGCCTGTATCAGCATTTCATCTTTACTTATAAAGAAGAGGCACCTGTGACGTGTGTCTGTGTGTGTGTGTGTGTGTGTGTGTGTGTGTGTGTGTGTGTGTGTGTGTGTCACGCTCAGGCCATACTGCGGAGCAGCGCTGCCCTGAGCACGCGAAGCGCGCGTGCGAACAATGTAGCTAGCGGCCGCAGAAGCACTGAGCACGCGAAGCGTGCGAATCGTGTAGCTAGCGGAAGCAGCCACAGAAGCACTGAGCACGCGAAGCGTGCGAATCGTGTAGCCACCACCACGTGCTGAGCACGTGTGCTGTTCATGCCACGTTCTAGCCTAGGCCATACTAAAGAAGAGGCACCTGTGACGTGTGTGTGTGTGTAGGTAGCAGACACGATCAGTACGAGTAGCAGTAGCAGCCGGGCGCAGAAGCACTGAGCACGCGAAGCGTGCGAATCATGTAGCCACCTACTAGCCTAGGCCATAGCATAGGCATAGGTAGCACTAGCAGCCGCACAAGCGCTACGGACCACGTGAACCGTTCTCTGCAAATAGAAACATCTGCAACAAAAGGATACAAAAGATCTGCACTGACTGCACTCTGCATCTGATCTGCAGTGAAGATCAAGAGCGCATCGCACTTTTGTTCGTAATTTTATGAATTTTTTGAGCCGCTTCATCCGCCACCAGGTGATGGACAACCCTGACCAGCCTCCCGAAGGCGTGACAGACGTCCCTCCTTCTCCTTCCAACGATGAAGAACCTCCCTCACCAGGACTTCAGCGGTCTGGCCACCACCACGTGCTGAGCACGTGTGCTGTTCATGTACTTGCTTCACCCGCATGCCACGTTCGGCCAGGCAACGCTGGCCGGGGGTGCTGCTAGTATAGACATACAAGCTCCTACTTTCACTTGTGCCTGGTAGTATGGCAAAAATGTGTTAACTGTGTGCGTGCTTACGTGCGCGCGCGTGTGGTGTGCATGCATGTGTGTGTGATGTGTGGGTATATCTGGACAGGCTTGGAGAGGAGTCATCCAGGGCCATCAATGGTGACGTTCGTCTGCTGTCCATTGGATACGGTTTGATTTTTTTTTACGTCTTTCTCAACCTGGGTAGTTATAGCCGACTCGACCATAAAGTAAGTACTGCTGACAATAGAGTGTGGAAAGCTGCTAAATTCCGCCTTGGTGCTTCCTGATCATTCCAGCTGTCAGGACAATGAAGAATGACTATGATTGTGGACGCAGTGCAATCGTGTCAATATTTAATAAACTTTGTGTGCACGCTGCTTATCTGTGTTTGTTCTTGTATGTTGACCATGCATAGTATACCTGTGTTGAATGGCTATGCAATTATGTCATCTCTTGGAGTGGTATCACAGTCACCGATTTCCCACCCCATCCAAAGCATATAATAATGATATGACGTTGTTATTAATTAAGCTAGCTCTTTTTCTCTTGTCTCTCAGATTTGGCTGTCTCTAGGCGGCATTGTTAGCACTGGCTTGGCAATTGGCATATCGTTTGGCCTCTGTAGTGCCTTCGGACTGTTCTATGGGCCTGTCCACTCTGTGCTGCCCTTCCTGCTGCTCGGTATTGGAGTGGACGACATGTTTGTTATAGTCCAGGTGTGGCGGCAGATGTCCAATAAAGAGCATGCTACGAAAACTGTTCCAGAGCGATTGGGTACCTGTCTGCAATGTGCTGTGAGTTGTTGTTCTTGCTGTTTCTGCTGCTGCTGCTGCAGTTGGAGTACCCTCCCAAAATCTGAGAGTACTTTACGGTAAAATCTCGAAATTCAAACACCAATGCCATAAGCAATACATACTGTACGTGGCACGTGATTGGAAGTGTTGGTTTTAAATACTGCTAGCTCTACGTGCATGCTAGTCAAAATGACAGTAGTTACTGGTTGCATTGTACATGTAGTGCGAAAAGATCTCTTGCCAAGAGCAGCGGTGCATGTCTTTGTTGTGACTTGCTGTCGTGTGTGCAGGGCGTCTCGGTGACCGTTACATCCTTCACTGATTTTGCTGCTTTTATGATCGGTGCAACAACGGTAAGTTACGCACGGTTTGTTTACAGTACAAGTGTTCGGTTCTTTGAGTTGCGCTCTTCAGAATTATGTGTGTGGAGAAGTGTTGCCCCGTGTAGACCTGCGACCACGTGCGTATACCCGCACCATGTCCGTGTGATGCTCGGGGGAAAAACGGCAAACCACAGATATTGAGGACAATACTCTTGGTGAGGTGGAGGTTTTCGGTGTACATTATGTGTTTCCCGTTTTTCATTTCTGTGTGTCTACAGATCTTGCCTGCTCTTCAGTCCTTCTGCATCTTTGCTGGCGTTGGTGAGTAGCTTGTTTGCATGCTGCGGTACACACGTACTAGTATTATGGATTCGTTGCTGGCTCCACACTGGCTATAGTGTTTACGGCAATGCCTGTCTGCACTGCCGTGTTTGGTTACCTGCGCTAGTGATGTGTGCTCTTGCGTATGTTGGTTTTGAAATGAGTTTGTCTCCCTCATTGTGTGATGATTAGTAGAGCTGGGGCGTGAGTTCTTTTCCCTTTTTTCTTGTACTAGTAGGTTTGCTGGCAGTCCAGAGATCTACGTGTACACTGTATTTTTCTGCTCTTGTAGAACTAAAAGCACTTCTTGTCAAGCATGTTATGACGTTTGCTTGGTTGTGCTCTTGTGCCCGTGATTGAACGGCTCGTGTACTGTGTATTTTATGCTTGGTGTGCAGGCGTATTGTTTGATTTCCTCACTCAAATCACGTTCTTTTCTGCATGCTTGGCAATTGATGCCAGACGGTAAGGGTTACTGTTGTCAATGATACTAGTACTTGACAGTTTAGTTGTGCTCATCAAGTTTTTGCTTGCGGGGTTTGTTTGTCAGCAGCAGCAGCTTATACTGCCACTCGATTATTATTCTTTGGTGCCTGCACTAATTCTGTGATGTATGGGCCTTCTTTGTTGGTGGTGCTGCTGTAGAGTTGATAAGAGACATGATGCATGCTTGTTCTGCATGCGGCTTCCTGACGATTGGAAACCGCTGAACATCAAGGGGAAATGGCTGTTCCGGTACTTCCGCGACTACCATGCCAAGTACCTTGCCAAATTGCCAGTGAAGGTCAGTGTTAAAGGGATTGCTGTGCATCCCATAGTAAAATAATCAGTGACCGCAGGGTGTCCACTGTATGCTAGTTGTGTGTTATTCTTGCAAGTGTATTGCAATAACTGTATTACTGAGAAACAGTGCTTTTATCCATGGTGGTTAGTCTAAATGGGAGCTTATTATTTTGTACGTGTGACCAGGGAAGGGGGGGGGGGGGGTATAGTACAGTCTGCATCGGCTATAGAGTGACCGGATATAAGAATATATCGGCTACAGTGATATCGGTACGAAATATCAAAAGCAAAACGTATTAATTTTTATCCAGTAAAAATATCACTATAACCAATATTATCGGATGTAATGATATATCGGATATTATGATAGCAGCAAAGAATCAAAACATGCATAACACACTATAATTATATTATCGGCTATAGTGATCACTTTAAAATACATGTAGCAATAATATCAAAGGCCCTATTTTTTAACTTTCTTCACATTGCTTATTTTTAAAGTGATACATGTACATGTACATAACATAAATTTTTATGGAAATGCGGGCACTATCAACTATGCAGCATGTTCCTTTGTCAAAACACCATGCTAGATGCTGGAAGTATTTCCTTGCCTTTCAATTGTCGATCAAAAAAAAATCGATCGTATCGCATATAGTGATGCATCGGTTATAGTGATAAAATCACGGAAATCAAAAGGGTACGCTATAGCCGATACAGACTGCATTTACATCTTGCTTTATTGCAAACAATAATTAACCAAGAGCTCCGGAAAGCTCTTTTTAAATATGATGCCTACAAAGTGTCAATGGTGTGCGCGTGCATGTGTGCAGTGTCAGTACGTACAGTGAACACTACAGGGGGCTATCTGCCTGAGACGGACGGCTCTCGTATGGTTGAACCGCATAGCTTCTAAAGTCTCCTTTCCCTCCACATATCTGCTCTTTTGGCGTACGTTGTGGCATGTGTTCAGATTGCAGCTCTTGTCATCACAATAGGCATGGCGGTGTTTGGTGCCGTGTCCGCCAGTCAGATTGACATTCACTTTGACTTCTTCTGGTTCCTCCCGCCTGGTTCCTACGTCCTGGACTACAACCGCTTGTCAGATCAAGTATGTTGGTCATGATGGTAGTATGTTGATGCGTTAACGCGTGGCTGTGTACTATTCAACCCAGTTACACAAACCTAGGAGTTGTAAGATGTTTGTGAAAATACGAATACTATACTACCGATACTACCGATAATACCAATAACTTGGGACCAAAGAAACTTCATCGGGTGTTAACACAGCTCCTCATATGCATGTATGCCTGTCTTTGTGTTCACATGTGTTCACAGTACTTTGCATCGTCAAGGGTCCCCTTCACCATGTATTTGAGTAAGTATGTGTTTGTTTACGAATCCATGTTTGCGTGCAAAATATTGGACTTTTAGTTACGATTCTTACAAAACAATAAGAAACTGTTATAGAAATAATCGACGTGGAGACAACAATTTTATAATAGCAATAATAATACAGCACGCATATACAGTCAGACCTCGCATAACCGCACACATCCGTTTTCAACAAAAATATCCGGATAGGCGAGGGAACCGGATAATCGAACACACATACTGTATGTAAGCATGGCATATGCTGTAAATTGGTAACCAACGGTTTTCTTCCGGATGGCGAGGGATCCGGATAAACGAGGACCGGATAAGCGAGGTCTGACTGTAGCTCATATGAAAAATCAAATGAGGATCATGCATCTGTCGACAACGTCGAGCCAGTGCGTTCTGTCTGAGGCAAGTTGCTCCGCTTCCAAAAGAGACATATTGAGAAGTAAAAGGTCATTCCTAATGTTGTCTACCCATCTGGTCACTGGGCGACCTCTGGGCTTCTTTATATCTGTTATATTCATTGCCATGTGAAGGGCTTTGTAGGACACAGCGTCCTTCCCTTCACGAATGACATGTCCAAACCATAATAAGCGCCGGCGTCTACAGACTGCACTTATTGGGCATTGAGCAGTTTTAGCATAAAGAGCATTATTCGAAATTTTATTGGGAAAGATGATTCCAAGTATGTGTCGTCGGGGGGTTTTATTCCCTCGAACGATAGCCCTTCCGATTACTCTCTTATACATACATCACACGTACGCCACACTCAGAGGACAGATTATCATTGTTGTTCCAAGGAGAGTCTCAGGAAGAAGGCACCCAAAACAACCAGGATGCGCACGATAAGCATGCAAGCATGCGCACAACAACAAGAACATGTACGATAATCATGAAACCGGCGCAGTCCGCGCGCGGTCCGCACCAACGTGCCAAAAGGGGCACACACGTGCCAAAAGGGCAGGGACAACATACTTCCACATGAAAAAAAATGCATCCTCTCCTGAGGATGGGAGAGAAGAAAAACAAAACGAGAAGACAGACAGGAGAAAAAGAAATCAAATGTGAACAACATACACATGCAGATACGCAGGGCCAAACAGTAGGATACATTAGTAACTCCGGACAACGGGGGAAAAGCCAAAGCAAAGGGGTGGAAAGAAAACAGACTGGGCCCACCCATAGAGGGAACCGCCATACTTTCAGGCGTGGGCCCCCGGAAAACAACCACCTCGCCCTGGTGCGAAGCCAAGGCAAACCGACGGTACTGCGAAGACCGCGGCAGCTGAACCGGGTGACCAGTCATCTGACAGCACAGGAGTTGTCCGGAAAACCATCACGCAGCCGATGGGGCTACGAAAACTCACAGATACACACACAGAAAGAAAGAAACAAGGACTGACGCAAACATCTCAGCAATACTAGGAGCCAAAATTCAGACAAGAAAAACCACAAGAAGGAATGGCAGAACAGCAACGTTGAACACGCCTACGGATACAGGGGCAGTCTATCCATGAGGACACCAGATAGCACACAAACAAATCGGTCACCAATACGCAAACAAAAATTAACATAGAAAAACCACAGGGCGCTACCCTGAATAACCACAGGCCTCTAACCTGAAAACCCACAGGTCTCTAACCTGAAAAAACCCACAGGGATTGAACCTGAATATCACGCGTGAAACACAACCGCTCACGAAACACAAAAAAACACCGTCCTGAACCCTACTGGGACGCACAAAGGCCAGCCAGCAAAACACGGAAACCGAACACCCGCAAGGCGAACCGATACAAATAAGCGCTGGATCCCACCAGCCCACCAGGCAGACCGTGGCTCACCATGATCGGACGCCCCCCTAGGTGAAATGAAGAGACCCACGTGCCGAAACACAAATACCAAACAACACGCTCACAGAAATATTGCCACCCGGACCGTCAACGAGAATCTCAGAAGCATGTTACACCACTGGGCGTCAGCCATTCCACATGAGCGGGACAACCAGGCGGAGCACTAAAACGCTCGACACAAAACATGAATACTAGTAAAACGAAAAAGAAAGCACTTGTACTTGAAACTGGAAACAACGGAGTGCCACCACATCGAGTAAGTCGATGGGGACATCTACCAAATTGAAACAAATCGAACGACACAGGATCGGAGCAGTCCGACGACACCGAAACGACGTGCACCAGTGCACAACACAGGGCGAGTAAGCAAACACGAGCAAAGCTACCCATGCTGACTACCATGATGACGTACCAAGCAACACGATGAGCATGCACGACAGCACGGACAACAGAACTTTCAAGTCAGAAGGTGTGAAAACACAGTGCACACGACCACTCGAACAGCCAGAGGCCGGAGGGCGACAATGTACACTGGTTCAAAACACCCCACACACAACGTGGGCCACAATCATGTACTAACAGGAGCGGGGCTCGAACGAGGTACTTGTACACAAGAGAACAACAGGGGACTTCAATGCCACGAAGCGAAACAATTATTTGAAAATCCCAAATCGAAGACTATTACCAGGAGAACTAAGTACAAGGTACAAAACATTACGCAGGGCAGACAAAGCAGGCTCACCTGAGTAGGAGCTCCGAGGACAGGGTTGAGCAGATGGAGCAAAGCGGAGCCATGGCGAGGACGCGTGGAGAAGGCAAGATTTGAAGCCACGGCGAAAACGAAAACGATCTCAGGGTCGTGGGGAACGATGCCACTAGCTGGGCGCCAATTGTCGTCGGGGGGTTTTGTTCCCTCGCACGATAGCCCTTCCGATTACTCTCTTATACATACATCACACGTACGCCACACTCAGAGGACAGATTATCATTGTTGTTCCAAGGAGAGTCTCAGGAAGAAGGCACCCAAAACAACCAGGATGCGCACGATAAGCATGCAAGCATGCGCACAACAACAAGAACATGTACGATAATCATGAAACCGGCGCAGTCCGCGCGCGGTCCGCACCAACGTGCCAAAAGGGGCACACACGTGCCAAAAGGGCAGGGACACATATGTATCTGAGTTTAGCAATAAAGAGAACAAATTCTGCAGTCATCGCCACACTACAACGAAGTCATGAAAGTTTACCAGAATTAATTTTCTTGTCACATTCATCAGTGGAAAGTCGTGATTTGAATGTATATTTAATCATTGTTCAGCATGGTTACTCTTCAGTCACGACTTTCCACTGATGAATGTGACAAGAAAATTAATTCTGGTAAACTTTCATGACTTCGTTGTAGTGTGGCGATGACTGCAGAATTTGTTCTCTTTATTGCTCTTATAAAACTGTTATAGACTCAACTTTTAGTTGAAGAAGCAAAAAGGGAAGATCAGCTACATGACTGTGCTCCAGGATGTGTGTTGTACGTAATCAATAATGCAGAGGTTTAGCTATTACAGTTATTACTTTAATTATTATTTCATTTTTGCGAGGGATTAGCAACCAACGCTCGCGCTCTCAGGACGTTTTTAAAAGCCATACATCATTACAGACAGTACCATGTAGTACATGCATGACTGTCCTGACTCCTGACACAGATCCGCTTTTCGTGTCCCGGCTGCTGTTCTGAACGGAAAATGCGACAGTTTGCATTCCAGTTCCCGAACTGAAAAGGGTATGTGATCTCAAATGTGAAGTTTTGATGCTCAACCTCCGTAAGTAACGTGCATATGCATGCATTTTTGTTCCGCCCAGCATCCACAAACTACCCAAGCCCAGGCGTCCAGTCTCAGTTGAACTCATTCATCAACAACACTCGCAACAATGCCTTTGTCGACAGCAATGTTCCTGTCGACACCTGGCTCGAAGGCCTCCAGAGGTGGCCGAACGGTGAGGCTTTACTTCCCATGTTTACTTTGCTGAACTTCCTTGCACCGCAAGTAGTGCCAAGTGCTTATTCGTTCCTACAAGTATTTGAAAATGTGCTGCTTAGCCCCCATTGTGTTGTAAGCATTGGAATGACATAGGGATGTACATTAAAATGCTGCTAAGATGCAGGGCTGTGATAAACTGATAATGGTGCTTTAACCCTGATGATAGCGTGTGCAGGCGAAGTACTCTTGATATCATTCTTCTATGTGCAGAAATGTGGTGTGCATGGACGGGGCATGCACTCCATTCTTCTCCTTGTCAACCATGCTCCCTGGACATGTGTCTGCTTTGCAATTCTGTTTAGCCACCAACTTGACGGGCAGTGACAACTTCTACCCTGCGCTGACGTCGTATGTTAGTGATGCGGGAGCGCGCTTTGCCTCTGCATTGAACATCAGTAATGAAGGTGGCACGACGCAGATGCTGGTCAGTTATTTTTTTAGTAGTATGGCTACGAGAATTGTTTATAATCGGGCTTGCATGTAGGTGCGTGCATACGTTGTGGTGAGTTAGTATGGAGCGGAAATCGGGATATGTTCATGTAGTGCGTGTTTGTTTTGATCCGCTCTTTTTTTTCCTACAGGCCAGTTCCTTTGCTGCCAATTTCATCTCGCTGCCACATACTCGTGATGAGATATCCGCCATGGATTCTGTGCGCGACTTGGCAGAGTCGCAGACGTTTGACGGCGGGGTGAAGCCGTTTGCGTACACTCGCCTCTTCTTGCCGTGGACAACTAATAAGGTGCGTGCGCATGTGTGTGTGTGTGTGTGTGTGTGCGTGTGCGTGCATGTGTGTGCATGTGTGTGCATGTGTATCTTGGTTTGTGCAATGTTTATGTGCCGTGTGTGCACTACTACAGCGTATGGCAATGCTGTGTTCACGACGTGGGCCTCGGCAATGTAATCTCTATGTTTCCCACTGTGTCTAACCTCTAGATTTGTTTCCATCTGCTTTGTAGGTCATTGATCAGGAGCTGGTACGCAATCTTTTGCTGGCCATGGCTGCGGTGTTCGTTGTGACGTTGCTGCTCATCACCAACCTGCTGGTTTCCTTCTATGTGCTGCTCTGTGTTGTCTTTACAGTGGTAAGTGTGTGTGTGTGTGTGTGTGTGTGTGTGTGTGTGTGCGTGCGTGCGTGCGTGCGTGCGTGTGTGACAAACATCATGTACATGTACAGTGAAGTTACTTCAGTGTAATGTGCCTTCAAGGGCCGTAATAATCTGTACTTTGTAGCCGAAGTACTCTATTGCCGGAGTCAAACGATTGCAGAAGGACATCCAGGTCCCCAAAGAGTAGTACATGACTGTACTTTAAAGCCCGTAACATGCTATGTCCGGGGTACTTTTTTACTGAACTGTTTCACTGTATTTCTCTCTCTCTCTCGCTCTTTCTCTACACCACTTTCACTGCACTTGGAAGTAGAACTGCACATGAACAGCTCTATTCTCCTGTACAATATACTTCCGTGCAGTTTGGGGCGCGGAGTCGAATGGTGTGGGTCCCAAACCTCTGCGACAAAGCGTTCTAGATTGAATTTCGATTGGAATATGTGAATTTGGTGGGCACGCCACACACCCCTACTACGTGCAGCATGCAGTTAGGTCTAAAGGAGTGCGTGACAGCAATAATGCCAATGCTATTTTCATTTTCATGTTTTGGTTTTACAAGATTCGATACGCCGTGTGTTGATATACGCCACTGTAGCGTGAATGTTGCTTCCTGGATTGATTGATTGTTTTTTTGGTTTTTGCATGACAATGTGTCTGTGGCACGTGCATGTGTTGGTAGGTGGACACGTTCATGGTGATGCACTACTGGGACCTGACCATAAACACCGTTACGGCTGTAATCATCATCCTCTCCATCGGTCTAGGCGTCGACTACTCAGCCCACATCGGCCACTTCTATATTTCAAGCCCGCTAAAGACACGCGCGGAGCGGGTGGATGCCGCCCTGACCAATGTTGGCGTGGCTGTCTTCAGTGGCGGCTTCAGCACATTCCTGGCGTTTGTTCTGCTGGCGCTGTCCGACTCTTATATCTTCACCGCCTTCTTCAAGGTGAGCAAGAAGAGCAGACAGCTCCTTTTGGAAGAGTCTCCTTTTCGTGGCTGTTGTTATCTTGTTACTTGTCGAGTGAATAGTTGTAAAGCATGTCTCTTTCTCTTTCGTATGACACTGCAGATCAATCTGGCTGTTGTCATCTTTGGCCTCTGGCATGGTCTGGTCTTCCTCCCCGTCACATTGAGTTTGATTGGGCCGTCAGCTAGCCATGCAGTCTCCGCTTTACCGGAGGACAAGAAGGACATTGAAATGGAAGAGGTGAAGGGCCCGGAGCGTGTTCCAGAAAGCGTAGACGGCAAGGCAGAAACGTCCGCTTGGGAAAAGCCGACGGCGAATGGCACTGAAACATACGGTCATGATGACGATCGCATACCCGAAGTTGTTTAGCTCAGCTTTGTTTCGTTTTTCAACTATGCTAGGTCCTGAGCCGGCCGTAGGTGCTGCACTGTGCATTGACTACCCCCTCCCCCCACCTTGTACATGAGAGCACTGCCAGTTATTATGGAAGCTAATGATAACTTATACACACTTTGAACAGAGCTTGATATGTGGCTGTTGGCATTGGCAGTGCCATTTTCGTTTGTTCGTCTTGATATTCCCAATCCACGAACTACTATGCCACATACTGTTTTGGCTTGTCCGATCTCTAATATTTTTATGTCTATCAAAAGCCTTGTCTCAGATGGATTAAATTATTAATTTTGTTTGGTTTTCCTCATTTTACACAGAGGTTTTCACAAGCCTAGTCTCAGATGGATTCTTTTATTCGTTTGGTTTTCCTCGTTTTACGCCGAGCTTTTCTGAATACATATAACGTTAGCTACAATGATGTGCCATAATAGAGCGTTCAGTTGCTGCTGCTTCATAGTGGCCATGATATAGATTCAGTCTATTGTTCAGATTGGCAAGTACTCATACTCAGCCCAAGAAGATTGAATTCCTGAAGATTAGTCCAGATCTACAAAACTACAAAGTACTAGTATGTGTACCTGCTCTGTCACTCTACTGTAAACAGTGCTACTGCCATCAGCGTGCATGACGGCGGCTCTTTTTCTTTCCCTGTTGGTGTCTCTTTATCTAGTCGTGTAGCTTGCCCATGCGCTATTCTTACTTCTCTCCTGCTATCCCCCAACCACGGGCACTCTGTGTGTGTGTCCCCCCCCCCCCCCCCCCCCCAGAGTTTTGGGGATTTCAGGGTGTGTCGGCCGTTGGGCGGTTCAATAGCCAGTTGAGTCATCTTTCCAAGATTCCTTTTGAGTCTGTCTCCCCTCTCCCGGGGAGACCCACGTGACCAGTTTTGGCAGTGAGCAACAAGTACAAGTGTGTGTGCGTAGAACATGTTCATCTGCTATTTATATCGGTTTCTGTTTGCATTGGTGAAGACGACCCGTAACCGGTGACTGCCGTGTGGAGTACGAGCTGTTGGCTGCACACAGCATGAGTTGTATAATGAAGGGCAATGCCAGTCACAGCAGGTCCTCGCTTGCTGAAGAAGTCCGACTTGCAAAAAGTTTGTTTTCGGTTGTGATCGCCTGTTTTTGGCAATAAATTATTACTTGACTTGTCGAGAAAATAATCACAGTCGACAGGGCAGCTGATAGAATAGAGGATTAGTTTTTTATTTGCATTCTTGCTAGTAGTCTTGCCAGTTAGTAGTATCAAATTGAGAATACTGCAAGTGTATTGGCAAGCCAGTAGCCGTACAGTCACTGTACTACATGGTGCTAGTCCAAGCCATACAAGATGCAACTATGAATAAAATAACCGCCGGAGGTGTTCATGTTGTTGCAGGCATGCACAAAGCAGCCCAGCACTCAATCATTCGTAGAAACATTTGCTATAAAATAAGAACTGATTAGGAAACTATGGACAAACTAGTACTGCAGTGTCGCCGGAGAGTGAGTGCATGCTGGGCAAGAAGAAGAAAAAGATGGGAATTGTCAGAGTTGGCATGCTGGTGCTTGCTGGCTTTACGCTCGTGTGAAGCATAGATTCACCGAGAAGATTCAGGAAAGCCAGGAACAGCCATATTCATGTAACGTGATTAAATGTCAGCCTCAGCTACCTGCCACTCTTTGATAGGGTAAAAAATCTAATCAGAATATCTCGTGCGTGGTCTTTGATCACGCTCAACTTTCATGAAGGATCAAAAATATTTAATGTGATAAGAGATTTTGCAAAATTCATACTTCTGGATGACTGGACATATTCGAAAACTGGATCAACACCACAACAAATGCCAGGATGTCGGAAAGGCTGTGTTGCAGCAGTACTAATCATGATTCTCAAAATGCCTCAACCTGTTCACTCACGTCTTCTTGGAACGGGTTTGTCATACTGAGCACAGGTCCCGAGTTGGCAGTCTCGCCATCAGCGGGCGGTGCGGGAACTTCTGTGGACGTGCTATCCTCTTCACCTTCGGCTTCGGGTGCCTCCTCGACTTTCACCTTTGCCAGCTGCAGAGCTTTCTCTACCTCCTCTATGGCTTTCTCCAGGGCCAGCGTGGTCTTATCCTGCTCCACCGGTGCACATGCCATCTGATCTGGACTCAGCATGCCTTCCATCTCGTCATCATCAAACAACAGCTCAGCGCCACATGACAAACCCAGGCGCACTGGCGCCGGCGCAGCAGCGGCCGCAGCAGCCTCACTCTTCGACTTCTCTTCTGCCGCCTGGCGAGCTTTCTTGGCAGCTCGCTGCTTGTTCAGCTCTGCTATCCGGGTCTGCTGTCTCCTCATACAGGCGGTGAAAGCGCACCCCATGGCGTGACATACTCTCTCGCCAGGCTCCTTCATGGAGGCGAAGCAGTGACAGATCCATGTCTTGGTGTGTGCCTCTCGAGCAATGTAAGAAAAGAGGCGAGTGTGGCCGGGGAATGGCGAGCAGAAGGACACCTTCTCGATAGGCTGGTCGAAAACAACTTCATTTGTTTCCTCGTCCACTGAGCGCAGAGCATCAGCTCGGACGGTAAGTAGTAGCTTACGCTTGTTCTTAGTGCTGCCCTTCAGTGACTGGATGGCTGCCTCACATACATCTACACCCCGTCCTTTTTCCACCTCAACAACTCCGAGCAACTTGACGAGGAACGAAGCACCATTTGACATCACCAACTTCCTGTCATTTTCCCAGTCCAATGTGTTCAGACTGTTCTGAGACACACGACCTTTGAGGCCCTTCATTTTTCCGGTCTTCTCTGGATGCTCCAACAAACAAACTCAAAAAGCACAGGCTAGTAGTAGTGGTAGAGAGTACTACATCAAGATCTTTCAACTAATTCGGCCGATCCGAGGAAACAAAAAGGAGCGTCGTTTTCGAGACTTCTCTCCCACAATATTCAAGATCGATCTTCCACCCGCCAGCACACCTTGCACCAGACGATCGATGGTCAGCTAACACCATGATCAGGAGTAGTATTATTACCAGGGCCTAGGGAGTAGTACTGTATACTACTCCCTGATGACTCCCCGGCTGCCACAGAACAACTGGCAGGTCTACACATTAATTTTGTGTACTGACTGTACAACAGTACAACTGAGGCGCTAGGTCCAGAGTACAGCCAGGGCTACAACGTAGGCTATACTACGTAGGGCATTATTTATGGCCTACATTGTAGCCTAATAATGTAGGGTAGGCACCGGCGGATTCTGCTCGAAAAGGTGGCAGATTCTGCTCGAAAAGCAGTGAAATAATAATTGGCAGAACCATACAAACCTTATGGCGGGCAATTCCTCGATTTCTGCTCCATTTCTTTATCCACATACCAAACATGCATGAAACTTACCAGAAAAAGTACCGAATTCTGCCAATTTTCTGCCGGCATTATCCGCCGGTACCGCGCTGCCTAGCCTAAGGAGTCACGTCACCGTATGTAGACCACCAATTATTTACTAGTATAATTTATTTTGTAGATCTACTGAGTAGGAAAAGGGGGCGGGGCCTCCGCGCGCGAGCTTCGATATCTACGATCCGACCATACCGTAGTCGTAGACCGCATACCGTGAAACCTGTGTAAGACGACTGCTCAGGGGACCCGTTCAAAATATGGTCTATGTTACCAGGTGGTCTCCTTATCCAGGGTCAGTTGACTGGAAATAGCATCCCTTGGTCCTGGCTCCAGTGGTCCTTCACGACAGGTGGTCGCCTTATCCGAGTGGTCGCCTTATCCGAGTGGTCGCCTTGACAGGTTTTACTGTATATTCCCCCAGAAAAAACTGTGGGACTGCCCTATTCAAAATTTAATAATAATAATAATAATAAACCTCGCCATGCATGCATGGCATCAAGAGGACATGGGGCATGATGGGGTTATGTACTTGCTCTTGATGGTATGCATGAAGACAGGAGCCAGGAAGTGTTGTACAATTATCATGTACATGATTGTATACCAGGCGCGTGCGCCGGTGCCCTTCAAGGGGGGGGGGGTTCCGGGGGCCTCCCCACCCCCGGGAAAATTTCAAAAAAAGAAGCAAAATCCTGCATTTTGAGTAAAATAAAAAAGGGGGGGTTCCGGGCACCCAGGAACCCATACGGCGCACGCACCTGTATACAATGACGATTATGTAGATCCACTACTCATGTACTGTATTACCCTGCTCGGCGTATACCGGTATGTACAAGTATATGCAGGGCCCACATGCACGATCATGATGGTATTATTATTGAGGAGTACAATATGCAGTTTTACTCACGCAGTTGTAAAATTTAGTGGAGCCAGGCACTGCTGAGTGCTGTAGAATCGGAGTCCTCCACTGTTTTGTGTAATAGGACCAAGACCACCTTTTTCTACCCGGACCACAGGAAGACTCCCAGTATACATCTGTAGTTAAAAGTGGTTACAGACACCAGTGCTAAGCAACACACGCATGATAAATATATCTGTAACCCTGACTTGCAAGGCGTGGTCTGCAACACCGAGCACTTTCGTAGCACCCCCTGTAATCCCAACATGATCGTACACTGCAGCTAGTCTACCGCTACTAGTATGTCGGCAATCATGATACATCGCACCGGCACCCTGATGGGGGCTGCCGGCTCGGCCAACTCCCAGTGATATTCAGTGTCAAGCGTTGTACTGTCTCGTCCCTGGTACAAGTACTCCAGTCCTCGGACTGATTCGCGACGCTAACATCACGTAACATGGTAACTCAACAGAGCGGCGAGTGGTGCTTTCCTGCCACATACCATGGCCCGCACAAACAGCATCATTACAATCATGCACCTAAGCGCATGTGCCAAGGATGTCCTGTGACTGTTTCGTTTCATCAAAAAACAGCCTCACTACATGCAGCTAATATGCCAAGGATGTCCTGTACACTGCCAGGGTTGAAAATCTTCAAAAATGAAATTGCCACGACAAAGGCAGCTTGGAGTCAGGACACTACAGAGTGTAGTATGTCATGTAGAAAAAGCAGCAAGACTGAAAGCAGAAGAAAGTTCGCACAGCAAAAGAGAATAGCAATACAGACGACGAAATGCATGGCAAATGTCTACTCTAACTCAGCCACAGCCTCGCCACAACGACAGACCCAGAGAAGAAAGCTAATTAAGAAAAAAAGAAGTAGAAATATAAACCAAGGATTGAGGAATGTTAAAAGCAATGCTGGACGAAAGCAAGGTTCAGAATGCTAACGACATCTGTGCGATAACCGTGGTCGTAGCTACTCAGAGCAGAATGTGATGGTACGCTGACATAGAACAGCCGTTCAGCAACTATTCGTGAGAGGACTCACACTTATATCCACAGGGGGCATTGCCAACGAAGCAACTACAGAGCGCACACTGCACTGAGCAGGGGCGCAGTGCCAATAATGCATTCTCCACCGTTGCGCTGTTTATCGGATTTCGAGCAGCTCAACATCGAAAATCAAAGTGGAATTGGGTGGAATAAGTCCTGAAAATCCGCGGTCGCCATAAGCGTAGTCAGGCGAGCATGTCAGCTTTGCACGTTCTCCTACTGACATCTTGGCAACACCCTCGTCCCATCCTCGAATCACCTGGCCTTGTCCAATAACAAAGTCGAAAGGCTTGGCACGGTCTCTGGAGGAGTCAAATTTCTTGCCGTTTGTCAAGGTTCCAGTGTAGTGGACAATGACCTTTTGGCCACGCTGAGGGAACACAGTGCCATTACCTGGCTTGATAACTTCCTTTTCGACTCCCATGACGACTAGAGTGCAAAACAAAACTGAACAACTACTGTAATTCAGTGCAAGTGCGGGAGAAGAAAGCAGAACAACAAACGGTTATGTTAAAAAAAAACCATAAAAATCGTGGAAATCAGTTTTTTTCTTCCTTCTGCCTTTTCTGGGCCTCGCCTTGGCGCACGCTCCAGCTCCGAAAGATCCCTTCATTTCAAGTAACAGTTACTTGTACAAGTTGTAGTTGCACAATGCAGTAGTAGCTGGCGTAACGAAGTATTAGTTATGTCTAGCTAGCTCAAGTACTCTTCAGTCTTGAAGTTGAAGTCTCTTTCTCGAAGCAGTTTGCTCTTACGTACCTGTACATGTATGACTTACTACTGTATTCGAAAAGTGTCAGGCTGTCCAAATAATAATTATAATACTTAATAGTACACCTAGTACAAGCGCTCAATATTTCTGTATAATAGCAGCTACGAATCACATTCCTCAATGGATCCTGTGGACGAGCTAACGCAGAATTCTGCTCGCCGACCCCGGGAACGCTTCACGAAAGTGAAGTCGGTTGTAAAACCTTTCGGATATTCGCCCCGCGTGTTGGATTTGACAGCCAAGTATCGCCCATTGTTCCTCGCCCTCTTCGTAGCCGCTGGTCTGGGAGCTGCACAGGGGTATAAGCGGAGGGAGGCCACTGGCCGCGCCTTTCCCAAATGTGAGTCCCGTTTACTAGTACATTGTACTAGTAGATCTGCACGGCATATTATTAATATTTTTTTAGATGCATTCCCGCGGCAGCGTCAACAGTGCAAGTGCAAGTCACCCATGCACAAACACAGTCCACACCGTTCGCTTATGCTGGACATGGTAAGAGAAGCAGTTGATACAGGAGACATAAAGACAACAAGCACAAACGTAGCTGTAAACCCTTTGTGTATAGAATGTTTTTAAAGTGTATTGAGCGATATTTCCGTGATCTGGGAAAAAGGTGACGGCGCGGTTTCATCGTCGAAACCTCTACTCGCAGATCATATCCAGTAGCTGCCTCCATTCGCTTCGAACTGCAGTTACGTCTGATAGGCGCTCCAGATCTTCCAGGCTCTGCAATCGCCCGCACGCAGCTCGGTTGAGGTCGTCGTCGAGCTTCACCGGCAGGGTGATGCGAGGGCGGCCACTCCACTTGTGGTTATCACATTCAAAGTAGCTGACCATGCTTAGGACGGCGGGGGCATCACTGGGAAGTCGAAGGATATGGCCAAATAGCCTCCACCGAGCTCTGGTGATGATGCGGCTGATCGGCTCTGCCTTGCACCTGTCGTAGAGTGCCGTTGTTGCGATCTTCTGCGGCCACACGAAACCGATCAGTGAACGGAGCTGGCCGCGGTGGAATGCGTCGAGTCCACCCTCGGCAGCTGCCGTGAGTCCCCATGTGCCGGCGTTGTATACTAGCACTGGTAGTACAAACGCATTGTAGAGACGAAACCTCAGTTCTTCTCCAACGGTACTGCACCGGCTCCATAGTGACCAGAGCGATCGAAACGCTGCAGCGGCTAGTTGTTTCCGCCGAGAGACATCCTCGTTATCCCCGAGGAGTGAGCCGAGCTTCTTGGTGGTGTGCCACTGTTCCGCTATCCTGTCCAGGGATCGGCCCAGAACGGTAATTTCGGTTTTATCCGGGTTTACCTTCAGAGCCCATCCGTTGAGGACGTCACCGATAACCGGCTCCAGGTCACCCAACCAGCCAGACTCTGTGCTGATGAAATCCGCGTCAGCGTACGCAATTTCAAATGGCAAGCCGAGATCCGATGATGGCCGAGCCCTGGCACGGCATATACGGATACATTATTGTGTAAGCAAAGGGGAAGTTGCCCATGGTCCAATGAGGCTGCGATACATCGTTCACCAGATGCAGTATTACCAACCGAACTCTCACACGCAGTACGCCGCATTCCGGTGATGACGCCGCAAGCCGAAGATCAGCGCAGTCATACCGTTGGTGACTTGCCGCTTCAGCGCCACCATACGTTTCAACGCCTGATTTCACAGCGTCATCTTCTTCAGTGCGGTAAAGCAGTGACCTAGCCAAAGCCGGCTGGGAGGGTGGCCGGCTGCAGTCACCCACTTGAGGTCACCCATGTAGAGTGTAGTGCACTGCACTAGCACTTGAGTGGAGATGGTGGAGTACAACCCATATCCTAGGCGTAGGTATGTACAGTACAGTACGTAGCACTGGCTACTCAAGCTCAAATGCACTCGAGTATGCACTTGAGTACGTCAGTAAAATATAACAGGTCGGGTCATGGTCCGGTGGTGTACAGGGCTGTGACACTGACAGCTACAGACTCTGGACTGTCATATCATGGGCCATTGGTGGCTAGGCTGGGTCTTGTCAGATGACCAATGTACATGTACACACACTGCAGACATGACGTTGGTGAACACATGATCCATGCTGTTTGCTTCCTTTTTCTGTTAATTTACCTATAATCACATTGTCACAACTGCTGAAGAATGTCCTTAATTGGACGAAGCGAAAGGAGAGGCAAGCTGCAATGAAAGATTTGTAGTGGTGTGTGTGTGTGTGTGTGTGTGTGTGTGTGTGTGTGTGTGTGTGTGTGTGTGTGTGTGTGTCTGTGTGTGTGTGTCTGTGTGTGTCCCATATGGTGCAGTGGTATGTGCAGTCGATTTCGAATCGAGAGGTTGCGGGTTCAATTCCCGACGATTGGTCGCACACGTCTTTCTTCTCTTTCTCGGACTCTTCCTGACTTTTCTTTCATTCTCCTGGGTGGTTACCAACAGCCAGTGTATGCCGGAGTATGTGGTGTGGTGTGTGTGTAGAAAAAAAATGGAAAATTGAAAAAAATAGGAATTCACTGGCCAGAAAAAGTCACTTAAAACAGCTGTGTGGTGGATACCAGGCTAAAAATAGTGGCGGTCAATTCATCAGCCTTGCAAGCTGTTGAATGGTGTAATCCCAGCACAAGTTGCTATGTCTAACATAGCTGTTCGCTATCATCGCTTCCGCGATGGGCATGTCTGAGGTGTGTGTGTGTGCGCGCGCGCGCGCGTGCGTGCGTGCGTGTGTGTGGATATGTCACTGAAGGCGGGGGTCTGGGGATGCAGCCCCCAGAACGATGCATTTTCACTAGAACGTTGGCCGGCTGGCATAAAATCCCGGCTAGACCTCTGGTAAAGTACAGCGTCAGCAACTCAGCGCGGTAATTTACAACGCGAAGAAGTACAGCGCGAAGAAGTTCAACGCAATATAGTACAGCGCGATCAAGTACAGCGCGATCAAATAAAGCGCGAACAAGTACAGTGTGATAAAGTACAGCGCGGAGTCAGGTGCTAGGCGATATACATGACACGTATACTAGTACTAGTTTGGTATATGTATAAATCGGCGCTATGATACATGGCGCCGTGATATGTGGTGCGGAGATCTGGGGCGCTGAGAAAGGTCGCGCTGACGTATTTGGCGCTGATATACTTACGTAGCGCTGAGATATTTGGCGCTTATCTGCTGGCGCTAAAATATTTGGCGCTGTAAAATTCGGTGCTTACGGTTCACGGCGCTGAAACGGTCGCGCTCATCTGGTTGGCGCTGAACTTGAGGGCGTCGAAATGGCATGAAATCATACTGTTTGCGTGCAGATATCGCCGGGGGAATGTATTGCTGCAGTGCTATCAGACCTAGTTGAGATATTTCATTCAACTTGGTACCCCAAGGACTATGTGTTCTTAAAAAAAATAGGTCAGGGGAGGCAGTGGCTTTGATTGGCAGTGGCATTGATTTGGCCAGAACCGCTTATGGGCTATATTTAGTATTTACACAGAATGAGTCGCTAGTGCATCGCACGCTAGTGAATCGCTGTGCAACTACTTTGCCAAAGCATATCAACTGATGATGCAATTTAAATACTGATTCCTGTGCTGCTTGTTTGTCCTTCCAGGGGTTGCGGCGCTTCTCGCAAGTGAGTACATTTTCCGACATGAAGCTGTCACCGGACCGGAATCCTACAGAGTTACAGCCAAACGTTGGGAGAGTGCAGTGATTGACTTTTTCGCGTCCTTTCACACTAAGTAGCGAGGTGACTTTCGGATGAGCGCTGACGCTGGACTGTGGGTTGCTGTCACCACCTCGTCACAGCATGTCTGTCTACCTGACGGTTTGGTGTACGTATGCGGCATGGATGGATGAAACCCAGTCACAACAAGGACATAGATATGTGCGGATGTTAGTACGCCACTCTGCCACCGGATGTTCATGACTTGTATGCTTCCCTGTGGGGATAAAGAGGAGGCACACATATTTGTCGGCGGTGATGCCTTCCTTGTCCCTCTATCATTTTAGGGCGCAAGGCAACCGTACGTCACCCATACTGCTGCGAATGCTGCGAAATGTGCTAGCCCGGAAACGGAGTAGACCGTCATACGATTGCTGTGAAGCTGGCTGTGTGGTCATGAGCGATACTCGCCGGTTTATGTGGCCTCGTGCCGTGTATCTTAGACATGGTGATGGCCTGGTACAAGTGAAACTTCCTAAGCTGGTTGTGTTTCTCAAAAATAGCCAGTTGAACGCAGAAGTGCAAACTTTACTTCTTTAAAAAAATTGATTTATGTGACTCTCGAGTCTCGAGTTCGGTCCATGTCACCACAGCAGGGTACAGACTACGGGTTCATGTATAATTGGAGTGCGGTCACATGTGATGCAGCTGCCCTTTTTGATGACCGCTTTTATATCTGCCATTTGAGGTGATCACGCTAAAATTCCTGTCACGTTGACCCTAGCACTACAAATGGCGTAAAATGCCCACCCGCTGGCAATCATGCTGAACTATTGTTTACTTGAATCCCTATTGAATTTTGTGGTTGTAAGGTGTGCCAGACTGGCAGCCGCATACCGTGACGCGAGTCAGCGGCAATGCATGGATGGTTTCAAGTCTCACTCAATGACTCCACTGAGCCTCTCACTCCGGCATGCGCTCTGAGGAGGCCGTGAGAAAGATCGTTCAGCACCCGCTGAGTTGGTTACTGCACTGGCATAGCGCAATGCTACAAGCCGCTCAGCCAGACGCAGGACATACAAACCAAAAAAAAAGGTAATACCAAACCCCACGGCTTTTGCTGATTGTCTGCTTGAGTTGGTCGTGCGAAAACTAACCGAAGACACATGCACTCCTCGTATCATTCTACCTGTATCCATTGCTGGCCATGTAATGCCACAAATGCAGTAATGGTGTCGAGCAGCGCAAACCCAGCCAGCATGCTAGCACTCGGGCGCCGCGTCGCCGGCCACCATACTTGTCTTTGCTGATTTTGGGATCTGCCTGTGTGATCTATGGCATGGGCATGGACAAGCTAGGCTAGCCCTACACCATACGGTATACCATTCATTGCCCTTACCTGGCCGGGGATAGCTACATGACTTGTCCTCGCCTTGTAAACATGCTGTCAAAATCGAAAAACATGACAGTCTTGTAGATCTAGATAAAAAATTTTAAGAGTACATGAAAAGGGTTTCATGTACTCTTGTTATTATGGATCTGAAGACGTGAAGTGGACACAAAAAATGGTCCATAGTTACCTGAAAAAATATTGTTGACATGGTTACTTTCCGGTGCCATGCGCCACGTCAGTTCGTCCCCTCCATTTCGAAAAAGCTCCGAATCAGAATAAAAGCAATAGCGTCTTCATCCTTTTGTTCATGTACAACGACGTGCTGGTTTCCCACTTTACATTGTACGAATAGCATCTTTACTTTCTATCTTTGCCGCACCTTGTCGGTCGGTACTTGGAGTTGTAACTTCCAGGGGCTTGTGCTGTCGCTGTGCCGCTCCCCGAGCTGTACCTGGAATCGTCCTGTCACGAATTTCTTTTGTTCATTTGAGGACAATAGAACCAGAGCTTGTCTTTAGCTTTCGAAATGGATGGGGAGAAGTTCAGGCCTCACGAGCAGAAGGTTGCGTTTGACAATCGGTACCTGATAGTGCCGATTCTGCTCTTCGTTCTACTCCTAGGTAAGGGACGCTGTGGCACCCAACACTAATTCTTCTATCATCATTTCGTAGGAATCGAACCTTGGTTTGGTGACTCGGAAAGCGTCTATGCCTGTTCACTTGGTAATGTAAAGAAAGGAAACAACACAACAAGGACCTAAATAAAAATAAATGAAAAAACGGCCACAGCAACAACAGCTATGGTTGCATTGTTCTGGAACATGGCTAGGTTACTAAGGTAGACCATTCGTTTAGCTGAGATGCAAGTTAGATCTACATGCCAACGAAGAGTTAGTTTTGTCGTAGCAAACTACACGTGAGACTGTCACGCTTTATCATGTGGGTTTCGACCCCGGACTGCCAGTTATGCATAATGGCATTGCTTGTCTGGGCCGTACTTGGGGTCAGCAGGTCAAGGCCGCAATCGTGAGTTGCATACACCATGGATCACGTAGAACTTTCAAAGCTGGGGTCGAAATCCACATCGTTTCGGGTAGTATGATCTCGTGTTGTTCCTCTACATGATTCCCTACTCTTGTCGATCTATGCATGTACTGCACTTAGACCCCAGAAGCAGGCTCTAGGCTCATGAGACTCTCCATCTGATTAGCCCTTCACTTCGCGAACTCACAGTCTCTTCACTGCAAATACCTTTACATTACATTTCACCAAATTTTTGGGCCTGATCATCAGGATCAAATTATTATAATTATGTACTTTCACCCTGATCATGATAGGCCCGGCCCGAAATTTGGTAAAATATAATGTAAAAGATATTCACAGTGAAGAGACAGTTTACGGAGTTCGAGAAGGGAAGAGTTAATCAAGTGTAGGTGGCTGCGTTGGAGGTAACGAGCAATTAGAGCAGACTCTCCACGATGTAAAAAAATGGAATTATGTACTAAATTTTCATTGGTTTGAGGGAATGAATTTTTTATATGTATGGAGTATACCAAGAGTCCATAAACTGTTTATGGACGCTTGATTATACCATGAGTACGAGGGGTATACCGCCGAATTTTTTCACGAGTGCGTGAGCACGAAGGAACTATAATTATAAGGAACACGATATACACAGAGTACGAATGGCAGAATCCATTTATCCCATGTACTGTCCCGAATAGAGCGTGACCAACACTAAAATCTCCCTTATTTACTCTTTGGCGTGACCCGGGGAATATTTTTGACCCCAGCGGGGTATATCGCGATTTCCCGCTCAGATCGGATGCTGATTGGCTGGAACCATGGTTATCCTGCTGTGCGATGGGATAAATGTACATGTATGTATGTACTAGGACACCTTTGATTGGTTCAGTCCGGTTTCCGATCAAATCCACTGCAGGAGGTCGGAACAGCAGCAGAATGAGACAGAAAAACAGATGTTTTCTTGTCAGAACTAGTGTAATCATCGCACCGCTGTTTTCAGTGTGTGTTGCAACTTTCTCTGGCTGCTCCAGCTTTCAGGGGTCAATGCACTCTGAACACTGCAGAACTCATGGAAATGGATGGATCGGACCAATCAAACATGCCTCTGCGCTAATTACACGGAGGCAGGATCCGTACCTACAACGCTGATTTATAAATATGTTAATAGAGCTCAGAATCATTCGCGTGAAGTGAAGAGACAGTTTTCTTCCCAATAATCTGTGTGGTGACAATAATTTAAAAAAGCTATGAACAGGATCAACTGCTCACCCATGATGCCATACCCACATGCAAGCCAAGTACATTGTTTCCAAGGAAGGTTTTTTTGGAATGAATAGACCAACCTCGCTTGCATGTGTGTATGGAGTCATGACTCATGAGTGCGCAGTTGATCTCATTCATAGCTAGCTTCATACAACTTTTCTGTATAATAATAAGTACGGGTATTGGTTGAAATTGAGTACTGGTGTAAAATAACGTGTGTAGTCTGTGTACATGCTACTTGTATGCTTGTCATTGTCAACATGCACTATGCTCACATCTCTCTATTGATTTGTCATTACATCAAGAGTGCATAAACCAGAGTGTGCAACTGTGCATATCAGATCTGAAACAGCGCAGTTCGTGCACTACGTCACCCTGATGAGGTCAGCCAAGCCGCGACCTGCGTACAGCTCAAATTTTCATGTTTCATAGCCCGGAAATCAGCCAAGTTTGCTTGATTTTAGACGTCCAGTTTCAGTATTTCGGTGTTTTGTGTGACTGTGTACGTTGCGTACATCCACCGACAAGTAAAGTCACCAGGCTACCCGTATCAAAGAACCGAAATCAGGACAAACTCAGTGACCTGCACCACCGTGACTGGTTACGCAACTTTTCATCGTACCTGTGGCTTACCATGCCGTCAGAAATGACGCACTGCACGAATTACGCTCCCACAGGAACCATCCCGAGTTGCACACTCTGGTTTATGTACTCTTGATTACATGTAACAGTATATTTGGAGAGCCTTTGTTGAACACATGCACAAGGAGATGTTGCTCACACTGATTATTTGGTTTGCTCGGTGCATGTTTTCCAGGATTCGGTGTGTATCGCTTGCTAAATAGTCGGTCGGAGAAGCAGCGCAAGCAAGAGGAGAAGCGGAAGCAGAAGCAAGAGAAAAAGGAGAAAAAGAGATGAAACTCACAATACCTGCTGCTGCTTATGATTATTTTTATTCAAATTTCGCTCCCGTTAGCTGGTCCTTTGAAACTCTGTTTGCATCATAACTGCGCTACAACGCTCCTTAATTTTCTTGAAGCTCGTAGGTAATATAGATGAGACCACGGTAGAATACCCCTGCATTCTGCTCCGCACTACATGCGTTTGTTCGTATTGTGCTGTTTTATTTCATAATTTCCTACATTTTCTATATATCCCTAGTTACATTTTCATAGTCTATCTTGTGCCACAGTGCGTATTTCAGTTTTACTCAGACCTGTTCTCAAACTAGCCAGCTAGCCTGCAATTACTAGTGTATAGTGCTACTAAAATGAAAACAGAAATCCAATCGAGCGAGAGAATGCCACGCCGGTCACTAGTACTGTGCAGCCCAGGGAACCCTACACATATGTGTGGGGTTCCCTGGTGCAGCCCTAGACCTGCAAACACCAAGCTTTGAACCAGGGAGTAGTACAATACTGTATTGTACTACTCCCTGCTTTGAACTGGTGCAGTGCACAAACTTGACTCGAGGGATCGAATTTCATTGACCAGCACGGTGTGTGTGTGTGTGTGTGCGCGCGTATGTGTGTGTGTGCCATAGCTGCGCAACATGGACAGTGTCCGCCTTGTTCCTTCGTTATTTGGCTCGCGCGTCGAAAAACAATGCGAGTGACCTGCCGCTCGCGTAGAAATTTGGAGTTTTACGCCAGATTTGATGTGAAATTGCGCGTCACGTCGGAAATAACGTGCATCTTAACCTCTCTACTAACATAACCTCTTTAATTAATAACATGCTCTACATTTAACTTGGAATGACAAAACTGTACTCTATCTACCCGTAAAGTCTATATGTGCAACATGGGCTCATTGTCATAATTTCGCAACATCGAACTATACTTGCAGTAGATTTCTGGAATTACGTTCTTGGGTGGCGATGCCACTGTAGAAGTACCAGCCTACTTTCAAACGCTGCCATCAATTGAGTGCATGTGCAATAGTCACAGAGAGTGATCATACATACCCTGATGCGAAATAGATCCGTACAACTGCTAGTCTGCTACTTTCGTGAGGAAATGAATTCAGTGCTAGTGCGTTCTAAATTACTAGAATCAAGAGTACATAACCCTGGGGTTATGTACTCTTGCTAGAATGCAGGTAAGACAGTGGGAGATGGGCCGGATATTGCGGTAGCCGCCTCACAATGGGGGATAGCCAGAGAAGACTGTGATAGAGAAAAAAATATATATATTATACATGTACGCCAAAGTAAGTTACTGGTCGGTATTATGAGTAACTACATAATAATATGAATGTGGAAATTATCTTTGCATATATTCTGATAACAAGTTGGATAAAGAATATCACACGCACACGCACACACACACGCACACACACACACTGTGGATAATGTTGATAAGCCAAATATATTTCAAGAGCCTACTTTACCAACACCGGCTAAACTCAAGTGCGAGACAAATCTACGATGCCTGCCTGCCTCAACAAGCAGAGAAAGGCACAGCGCAGATTGACTAGTAGGACGGATTCATTTACAGAGAGCAGAACAATTCATTGACTGGCTCGGAGCCAACAGAACAGTAGTCTTGAAAGCCGTAAGGCCGATTGACTATACTGTCAGCAATAGCGTTGCCGGCCAATTGCACTGGGTCGTGTGAGAACTCACCAAGTGATTGTTCGTCTCCGTTTAAACTAATACACGAGGGCGTAGGCGGTGCATTGGGGTTGCCCACACAGACTCCGGTTGCCTCCAGATCTCTGTGATAAGCATCACACTGGTGCGATTGGAACAGCACCACCAGCTCCAGTTCATCTCCACTTGACTGCACCAGTTGGACGAACTCCGCATGAGTGGCACCACGCACACCTACGCCGTTTAGAGACAGGATGACGTCGCCAATGTACAGGCCACGGCATACATGTGCAGGGCTGTCCGGCACAATCCTGGACACAAAAAGTGGTCCTCCAAATTCCTTGCCCCCCTGCAGGAACATCAACACAACACAGGGACGAGCAATCAGTCAGGTAAACACTGGATGAGTGAGTTAGGCGAGCCCGAATAATCCTACAGTGTAACACACCTTGATTATCCCAACCCTGATTATCCTACAACGAAATACACCTTGATTACTTGAGAAAGCAATTTCACCTCCCCCACATGCGCTATCTGGCCGACCTCATCACACCAGCAACATGACAAAATTGTAGATACTGACAAATACGAGTCCGTAAAAGAGACACCCTTGATTACTCTAGCCCTGATTACCCTACAACATAGCACACCTTGATCATCCAAACCCCGGGTATCCTACAAATTAGGCTACAATGTAATACCAGTACACCTCGACGATCTGAACACTGAATAGTATGATTTATTTAATACGCCCCTGATTACACTACAACGCGTAATGCACCTCGATTATCCGAATAGGCGAAGGCACCGCTCACCGCTTTTTGTACATCATACATTGCAGCGCTTTGTCAATATCCAGTCATGAGGATTTTTCGATCGCCTTTCAAGTGACTGGCTTCCTGCAAGACTTGCTCTACTTGCAAGGAGTATACATACCGATAGACACTGGACAATCCGAGTAGCAGCAACAGCGCTTTAGTTTCCCTTCAAGTTCTCTACACATACGCCACCACCAAATGTGTTTGGATAATGAGGGAACAACAATTCGAGGAGGCAAAGACAAGGCGCTACTTATGGAGCCCACTTTCTCCAAGAACAGGTAAAGGGCATGGATATGGATGAGTAAACTATTACTTGGCTACCCTGAACCACTCCCCCCCCCCCCGCAATGAAATACATGAACATGTACTTGAAAGTTGGGGTAATAAAACTTGTTTGACTTACTGCTACACATAGGCCAAGTGATCTTGACTTGGAGTCACGAACTAACAGCACTCGACGTGGCTGGCTGTTTTTGGGCTTTGTACAATCCTCATTTACATGCGGACATGGCGGCATGCCACCTTCTTCAGCTAGGGCATTACGCCTCAGTATGTCGACAACACTCTTGTGCCGCTGAATGGCTAGCTCCTCCTCCAGCTGATCCCAAACTTCGTTGTTCACGGAAGGTGGACGAGCTTTGGACAGTTCCAAGTCCCTAATTAAGAGCTGGGCTTGTTGAATTCTGCAAGAAAAAGCACACATACACATACACACACACACACACACACGCACATACACGCACACACACGCACACACACACGCACACACACACACACACACACACACACACACACACACACACACACACACCATGTACCACACACCTCAGACCTCAGACCTGCCCATCACGGAAGCGATGATAGCAAACAGCTATGTTAGACATAGCAACTTGTGCTGGGATTACACCATTCAACAGCTTGCAAGGCTGATGAATTGACCACCACTAATTTTTAGCCTGGTATCCACCACACAGCTGATTGAAGTGGCTTTTTTTCTGGCCAGTGAATCCCTATTTTTCATTTTTTACATTTTTTTCATTCTTTTTTCATTTTTTCGACACACACACCACACCACATACTGAGTACTCCGGCATACACTGGCTGTTGGTAACCACCCAGGAGAACACACACACACACACACACACACACACAAACACACACACACACACACACACACAAACACACACACACACACACACACACACACACAAACACACACACCATGTACCACACACACATACACAGTACTGCACAGTCAACTTCGCTAATAATGACTGCGGATAAAACGACAATTCGCGAATAACGACAGCATTTCCATGCCCAGAGCAAAGTCCCATCGAACTGTAACACATAGAATGAGACTTGGGGTATAACGACACTTCGCGAATAAGGGCATTTTTCTGATGCCACGCCGAATGTCGTTATACGCAAAGTTGACTGTACTCACTCACTGCCATGACTGGTCACGCAAGTGGAAAGATGTATTGAACCTCCCAAAGGGTCGACATCCCCTGAACTCCCCTAACTCTGGGTGGACTTGGAAATCCCACTTATGGGCTTACCACACCTCAGTAAGTGGGCGAGGACAAGGTGCAGAAAAGAGATTGACGGAATCAAGGTATCCGTCCCGGGATCCAACTGCATCCATCCCTGCCCCTCAGTGAAGGTAATACTTGCGACTAGTGTGGATTGCTAAATCAGAGTGGGTCTGATAAAGGGCTTCACTAGCACCATTGCTTACACAAGAGTAACTCTAGCCAGAAGTAGTCCATCGGTCCACAGGTATGCAGCATACAGACTCACACACACACGCACACATACATACACACACACACACACTCACACACACACGCACACTGATCCGTTGAGTATGCAGCTATGCAAGTTCATGTTGAGTGCATAATGAAGCTCTCTAGCACTGCAGTGGTTGTGTGTCGGTGCTTGGATGGCACAGCACACGGCCATGTCTGGCCAGATTATCACGCAGTGGCATCAGAAGGTTTTCTTAGACTATTTTACATTAGTGCAGCCATGAACAGGTGGTGAGTGCGGGGGCCGCTCCGGGGATATTTTGGAAAACCGGGTCCAAATAGGCCGAAATAGCCCATATTATATTGCTTCAAAAATAACATTAAATTACTGGAGCGGCTTTTGCCGCACCGATTCCGATATCCCTGTCACAGAAATGAGTTGTGCAACTGCTCTGATTCGAAACACTCACTCCCGTAGGTCATAAGAAAGGTGTCTAGCTCACCTGCCCGACATTTCCTTTTCCATACAGTGCAGGCCAAGATCACACGCTGTCACCTGCTCCTGCAGGACACGCAGAGAATTCCGCAGTAGCTTGTTTTCCGCAATGAGACATTCATTCTCAGTCAGTAGCTTGTCATGGTCACTGGTCTCACTGCGCTGTCCGCTTCTCACCAGCATCTACATTTGAATAAGAACGAGAGCATGCATCAAGAGATTCAAGACACATGAGCAAGGCGTATAATTATATTAATATAAGCAAGCAGAGCGTTCTATGCTTGGAGGCAGAGCATTGTCACACGACAAGGAAAGAGGAGAAAAAAGGGTAGAGGCTCCGAGTTCCACATTTCATGCCCGTCATCAGGCAACTTCAAGCAAAAGGGACAACCCCATTACCTTGCTGGATTCCACACCCACGGGAGTGCCAAATGAAGATGCTGCTTCAACACACTCTCGCCGTAACGCTAGTTCTGTTGCCCTGGACTCAGAGAGGTCGTTTCTCAGTTGCATGACCATGGCCTGACCAACAGAAGACAGACATAAGACAGCGACAGAAGACAGAATGGACTACGATGAATCGTATGCAGACAAGCAGCGGCGGGGGATGAGATGATTCAAAACTGCAAGGCTTACAGTAACATCAGGCACCGAAGAACACGGGATCACCGGTTCTGGAAAGTGATAATCGTATTTTCAAAATTCCAGTGTCTTCGTTCTTATTCTGGTCTTGTACAGTCCCATAGTACAGTTACATGATGGACCTGATGGTGCATGCATTGCTATATGGAAAACACACCGGGGTTGTTTGCCTCCAGCCAGGCACATTCTTAAATCTGGGTGACTTTCTAGCTTGGCCGTTCTTGGGCACCCAATGGTACCGTAGTTAGTTCTCAGCTCATTTCCTGGATGTGACTTTGATAGATCAGATCCATAATGATCCTGACAAGCACTCCAAAACTGGAGTCCCATCAAACATACTCAACCACCCACATACCGGTACCTTTGTGTTTGCTCGCTGTTCCGGGCAGAGCTAGCGAACCATGCTATGCAGCTTGCAATGCCAAGGAATTGATCAAGTTCAACACCGCCCTAGCTTTGATTGAACACCAGGCAGCCTATAGACGTGCCACCCACTACAGCTCCACGTATTGTAAACATTTGCAGCAGAAACCGGCAAATTCCTATCTACGGCTATGCAACACTGAGCGTTTGTCCTGACAGAGTGATATGTGTGAGTGCTTCTTACTGCTACCTTCATGAGTTTACACTATGTTAGTAATACTAATAGTTAAATAAACATGTAGGTGATGAGGCGGAGATCATCATGCCACTTACTAAGTAATAGTTACATGTACATGTACTATAATAGTACTATGGCCCGCCAGAACCAGTCCGGTTAGTCGGGCTATTGCCGAACCAAACTTTTGCTTTGGCCACCAACACGTGTTTAAATACTGCTGTGGAGGGCATGTGTACCCCCTGCATCATGCACAAAGTATGAAAGACTATCCGTATAAGTGGTGTGTTACTGCTGCAGCAATCACTGACTGCTTCCGGCAGTCCTGCTATTATTCTAGCACGGCTCTGTAGTACAGGCGGACGTGGTGCGATTACTTTTGCGTGCCTGCCTCAACGGCACAACACTGTAACTTAAAAGTTATGGCGGCAAGCGGACAACCACAAAAACCAGGGGGGGGGGGGGGGGGGGGGATTGAGCTTCACACAATCAATCCATACCTCATTTTTCATATTCAATTGGACGGCTGTCTCTGCTTCTCTACAGACATTTGCAAAAGCAGTTGTTAGGTCCAGCATTTTAGCTCTCAGCGACTTTCCCAAATCCGAATCTACTGCAGGGAGATGGGAGGACAGCGCTGTCAGAGCTCGATCCACCTCAGCTTCGCAATTCATTGCTACCGAATGATGATGTGCAGGCTGTAGGTCGGTGCTAGTCTCTGAAATGGACCAGGTGATAATGGAACAGGCCTGCAGGTAGATTGATAGCAACCCAGGTCCCTGTTTAGCCCCTCTTTCCGGTCCTGCAGGTGAACACTGGATACATATCTACAAGTGCTCGCTGGTCAGCCGAGGGATGTTACAGTCGTGCAACCGATATGTCGGATGCAGCATCGAAACACTATTACCAGTAGTAGCAAAAGTCCATATAGGGTTATGATTCTTGGCAGTTGCAAGAGTACAAAGGGAGTTGTAAAACCAAGGACGTGTGACCTGTTCACCTCTAATTGTATTAGAGTAGTCTACGACGTTCGAAACGATTATTTCTGTTGCTGGGACTGTGCTTACTAGCTCTGGTATCCGATCTAAACAGCAATGGGGATGAATATTAGGTGTTGAAAGGACAAATCTACAACGCAAAAGATGACCTATGCAATATGGAGCATGGATCTCCTACAGAAATCAGCAATAGAGTATTTCAATCTAATGCATTCTGAAGTCAGAATGAATTTCATGAAAATAATTATAATTCTTTGAACAAACAAATCACGTGCCGCGGGCGCGCGCGCGATAGATACGAAACATTTTTTTTGTTTCGCTTCACGTCACGACCACGTGCATGACGTTGTCGTTGCCACTCGTTGGGCTGACTATACAATTGTACAGTCAACTAATTATTATTTACTTCGCTAATAACGACTGCGGATATAACGACAATTCGCGAATAACGACAGCATTTCCATGCCCAGAGCAAAGTCCCTTCCAACTGTAATACCAAGAGTACATAATTTATGTACTCTTGGTAATACATAATGAGACTTCGGGTATAACGACACTTCGCGAATAAGGACACCTTTTTGATGCCCCGCCGAATGTCGTTATAAGCGAAGTAGTTGACTGTACTACATTCTACAAGTACGCGTACGAGGTGATTTGTAATAATTTTACATGAAGGTAAAAAAGGCTTTCATTCCGTTGCCCTGGCGAGTTTTGAAGTGTGCATGGTCTCATTTTGTCACTCTGTATGTCCTCTATCCATATATGAACTTCTTGAAAGCACAACACAAACATGAGAGACACAGCGTGGGGTTGCTTTGCATGCATTTTTTCACCCAGAAAAAGTGTGTACAAAATTTTACAAGTCAGTAAAATAGGGTCTAACATCAACAAATATGACCTAAATGTGTCAATAAGCTTGCAATGGTAAAACAAGATACATCTGAAGCGAGTCACATGCAGAGAAAGCAGATTGGTTTTGCAGGTTGCTCAACATATTGGTTTCTCACGGTACGTCGTCAACTCCGGTTCAAACGGTAGGTAATCTTTGACCGCCTACCGGCATTGTAGAGCATGAGCACGCAGACCTTATCTTGCTGCTCCATTCTTTCAACTTGCTATTCATCGTCATGTGTGAAACAACCACACTAATCAAACATACCAGCCAGCCATGATGCGTTCCAGCCGTCCCACGACAGTGTGCCCTCGTGCATCTGAACGACAGTGCACTTAACCAGCACCTACTGACAGTGTCGGAGCTTCCATACTCTCCAAGACAAGTGCAGTGACTCCTTCACCTGATTCATATACTTCTGTGTTGGAAGAAGACTGCAGACCACCCCCAATGGGTGCTCCGCCGTCAACACCCAACATACATTCATGCCACATCATTTCTGCATTTGCTATTTGCCGTCATGAATCTCTACCAGCACGTCTAAGGTAGCAAGCTGAGTTTCATACGTAGATCTACTGACCAGCTAATTATTTTACCTGTACGCCATAAGCATCAGCAGCTTCGAACTTGGATTTGAATCACCTCAAGTTCATGACGGGTGAGTGAAATACACCTACTGTCAAAATTGCAGTTTCTGACCATCACCTTTTTGGCTAATCTCTTCTTCAGCCCTGCTACTCTTGACAGTGTGGCAGACTCAATACCGGCCTCGGGGACCAGCCTAGGGTTTCCACCTGCCGTAGAATATGCTCTCTGGCTCTTGGACGTCCTTCAAGTATCCATTGAGGGATATTTTACCTCATTGACCACAAATTCACGAATTTCGATCCATGATTGATAACTCACAAGGCCGTGGAAGAAAACAATTCCGCAAAACGCTGCTGATGCTTACAAACTACAATACAATGGCAACTCATTTGTCTGTCGAACTAACAAAAACAATTCATGGGAAGAATGCAATCGCCCTCAACAATGCTATTTTACTCGATTTGTAAAATAATATGCCATGTAAAATTTTTACAAATCACCTCGTACTGTAGTATTTATTTGCGCATAGACTAGACCAGCAGGCCAGGGAGTCGTCAAAATACTTTTTTTTGACGACTCCCTGGACTAGACTGGTTCCTCCGGCGCGGCCTGGCCTGGCGCCATGGCCTGGCCTCGCGCCTGGCCTGATCCGCTCCTTTCATGAACATTTTAAAACAATAAACACAGAAAGTTGAAACTTTTATTTTTGCCTTTAGCTTTGCGGATCGGAAGGTACGGGCAGGTATTATTGCACGACATGTGCTGTAGCTCCACATAATTGTTTCACTTGATAGTTTATCTGCCTTTGATCGCCACTCAAACCAGACCAATACTACAGGTGCTAGGATAGCCGCGTCGAGTCACAAACATAGCAGCTAGAACCTTGTACTAGTTGGGTCCCGAGAAGCAGCAGTCACACCATCGTAGGCTGAACGGAGGGCGAAGAAACGAAACATTCAGTATTGTTGTCGGCCCTGCCCAGTTCGCCCAGTTAGTGTAACGTACTAACGATCGTGGTGCGGCAATCACACTTGATTGATACTTGCCGTCGTGCAGCTTTAGTCACTGCTCAACAACTGATTCACGGTAATCTTACACTGAGGTTGTCCGCAGTTGAAGCCATACCAGCAAACCAGCTGAACGGCCGTGGAACAACGACGCCATGGCAGCGGTGGCAGAAGCTCAGGATGTAGCCACGAGAAGCGTTGCCATGATGTTTCAGTCTGGCGTGGAAGAGGCAGCAAAAACCCTGAATGAGTTTCCTTGCAAAACTGCATCACTGGACTGTGCTATGTGCTTCGTGAAGAGTGTACAGTGTCTGTTGACGTTTGATTTTGATGTGATGGATCGTGCCGATGCATTCATCAAGGACGTCGAGCACCGGTGCTCGGCTAGCATCAAGTCGGCCCACAGCGACGAGGATTCCATGATGCTGAGAATCATTACGGCCGATTGCGAACTGCTCCGTGCTTTGCTGGCCTTTGCACGCCAAACACTGGCCAACTATGTGCGAGGTGGCATGCATTTACGCTCGGCAAGCAAAACCTACACCAGTATTATCACTGAGCTGAAGAAGCGATCAGCTAGCAATAAGAGAGTCGAGGCGGCGTGCAGCATGGGCTTTGGAGCCGTGAACGTTGCTGTCTCGCTGCTGCCGGAGAAAGTCATGGGCTTGCTAAAGCTAGTTGGATTCCGAGGCAATCGCAGGCAGGGCCTGGAGTCGTTGGAAGTGGCGGCACGTAGTTCCGACATGCGCGCCCCGTTCTCAATGCTATTGCTTCTAGCGTACAATGTCGTGACACGGCCCGTATTAGGTATAGATGTCAGTGACGGGATGAACAGTGCCATTCAAGCGGGCACCGGGATACTCGAGCTCAGCAAGAGCGTGTGCCCCGACGCGGCACTCTTCACGTATTTCTACGGGCGGGTTGAGTTTCTGAAGAAGGACGTTGACAAAGCGTTGGAGTTCTTCTCCGAGGCAGCGACAGCCTGCAGCCATCAGCCAGAAATGCATCAGCTGTGCCAGTACGAGATTGCCTACATAAAGATTGTGTCACTGAAGTGGAGCGAGGCAAGCGATATCTTCCTCTCCTTGTGCCGCAGCTCTCCCTGGTCCCCAGCCATGTATGCGTTCTTCTCTTCTATCACGCTGGCCGCCACTGGGGCATATGACGAGTCCAACGCCAAGCTAGAGAGTGTTCCCGAGCTGATGAAGGCGAAATCAACAGCTCTGGAAAAGCTTGTCCGACACAAAGTGTCGACTTTCACGGCCAAGAGGCTGACCGAGCAGAGTGCCCGTGTTGAGCTACTGGTGATGGCATACATGTCCAACTACATCAACTGGTGCGGCCCAGAGCTCTGCGAGGACATCGTCGACTACCTTGACGAGCATGAAAATGACATCTCCAGCGATGTATATTTCTACTCATGTAGCTCTTTGGTGCGAGGCGCAGCGCTCATTCAGCTGGAAGAAGCCGACCGAGCCGAGGTTCATCTTCGTAACGTTCTCACGCATGCCCAGACGTGTGTGCAGACAACGGACAGTCATGTGCCAGCGCATGCTACGCTGCTTCTGGCAAATGTCTACAAGATGCGTGGCGAGACCGACAAAGCCCGCAACGCGCTAGAGAAGACCAAGAGCTTGTACACGGACTATGAGCTGGAGAGTCAGGTGCAGACCAAAGTGAAGGCTTGTCTGGAGGCACTATCTTGATCGCCGGTTTGTATCAGTTTTATAAGTGAGCCCATTGTTTCTATAATAATTAATGTAGCTGTGTAAGAAGAACACATGTGGTAGAGCCATGTCCCTTCCCAGCCTATGGCACACGCAATCTATCCACACGTGCACTAGCCTGACGGAACATTGACCACACATCAAGAGCGCAATTGTTATTTTTCTTGAACAAGGAACGAAAGGGGAAAGGCAATTGTTTTATGCATATGGGTGTTTTCGCATCCACCTTTCCTCAGTACCAGTACTAGTGTTATTTAATTCGATTAGCCCCATCCTACGTCCTAGCATGATTGGGGTATTCCTGTGACTTTTTCAATTGCAATCTTGCACTTTGCTGCCGGCCTAAGCCAGCCACGTACTCCCATGCAGCACTGGCAAAACAACATGCGCTGCCGGCTATTTTTGCCAACCGTGCCATTGTTGCTCTTTAGCACCTGTATCCATGTGAATTGGAGACCATTGTTATACGGCAAGGGAAGATTGCTACTCCCTACATTATTAATTTTGTTATTATCTATTATTAGGATGTGCTCTGCCTTATCTCAACAGTATTATTATTACCTATTCCGAATTTCTAGGAATTATTTTGTTATCATCTGCTGAAAAGAAAAATGGACATGTTGCAATGGAGGTTACCAATGTAGCAAGCTTTGATTTTACGCTTTGTTGTGTTTCTCACTGCTTGCAGCGAATGTGAATTGAGCTTTTAATCTGTGTAATGAAATGGAATAGTACCACTGTTTGGTCTGGTCTGATGTAGGATAATACTGATGCAAGTCGTGCAGCTGGAGGCAGTTGCGGTGAAGAACACTTGTTCTGGTCTTTACCCTGGAGCGTGTCTTTGCCTGGTCGGTGACTTAGTAGTGGCCTAGTCTGCTTCCAGGCTATGGGGAAATCTCCATCTAACATTATACATAGTTGCCTTGAAAATATGATCAGGATTTCAAAGTCAACTTGCAAGATCTTAGTCTTTTTGCCCTGAATTTTCAAATAGTTTGGCATGGAATAGGGACAACAGGTTTTGGTATGGTTTATAACCGTTTTCATGCCATGCTTTGTTGCAGAACTGCCGTGGAATATGCATGCAGAACAATCTGCAGGGTTGCTGCAGACTTCCTCATTCTTCACAGCTGAATTCACAGAGGACAGCAGGTAGACATGACTACAGTAGCGAGAGTACTCAACTCTCCGAAGCGGTGAAAGAAACGTAGTTGTGCAAATGGCTACCGTTACAGTTAGCTGTTTTGCAGTACTGTGGGGATAGTACAGATACCAATAATTTCATGATTCCCTGGCAAGTCCGAGAAAAGAAGAAACTGATTGATTGTTGCTGTGGGAGCATATCGCGCTGGACTTTCCTGTTGCAAAGCAAGTCAGTGCTAAGCAACTGGGTTTGTAAGGAAGACAGCCATAAATATGACTAAATACTTCAAGTATGTGCAAGGGAGCAATAATAAAAAAATGTACATTTCAATCAGCCTAATGCCTAAGGGCACGGTATATCTTCTTGTGTTATCATGTTCTTAAAAATTGCATGAACTCAAGTGGAAAAGTACTTCAAAGTATATTATATCAGTAAATACTAAACTCCACAAAGAGACTTTCAATCTTGTTTTGTTGGGGCACAATCAGGTTGATGAATACTAAAATCCTATCTGCAGCATTACTCCAGCGGGCAATGTTGACTTGAGACACCGCCCCATTGTTGCCGCACCATGCATGCAATACTCTTGTCCAGGGTTGGCGCTAGTAGAGGATTGTATTGGCTGAGGTATGTGCAGAGCCAGCTGCACGGGAACATGTGGTGATTCAGGCATAACAACACAGGAGAGCAATACCAGAACAGAATCAACACGTGCCAAACGCAAACAAAGCATCCAACGATCCACGCACATACAGTACGGTTGGGTTCCGAATAGCTGGGTGGGGTCAGCCTCGTAGCCTAGGCCGTTCACAGTTCACGCCCATGGCAGTCAGGCAGGCACTCATCTGTTCTGTACACGTACAGATACACGGATCTAAGTGTCCATACATATACGGGTACGTGATGTATACATGTACAATGTACTGTAAGTTAGAATCTTGTAGAAAATTATTACTACTACAAAATAATGGTTACATAGTATAATAGAGCTTGAAAACGATGGCGTCGGAAGTCACCAAGAAAGCCTGCGCTCAGGGCTCACTGTGCTGGCACTTGGTTGTCATCTCTTGGCCGATCTTACATGATCTCTTGGTCATGTAGAAAAATGGCAAACAATGCTGGCCAACACGCACCCACAAGTATGCAACAAGAGAGCTTATGCTCATGGGCCGCCCTTGATTTCTTGCCATACTTATGTACCCCAGGATGTGTTACAGTGAACGATGATGCCGGCCATACACATGTCAGGACACAGGCATGCAACATGGTAGGGCCGCAACTACATGAAATTCTCCACGGGCTGTGTATGATAGTACGGGGCATGCACAGGATTCCGAGGCCAGGTGCCTTGCCACTACGATACTTATACAAAAGGTAAATGTAGGTCTACCAGCCCACAAGTCATAGCTGAGCATACAGTGTGCGGAGTAGGCAACATGAGCGCCTGCTGGCAAGTGACCTACGTCACTACAGTAGAGTCGCGTGTCCAAGAACGTCGTCTCCAAGGGGCTATCCTGGGATGTTCTTATTTTTTCAGCAATCTGGCTCCGTTCTTATAACACGTTCTTGGAAACAATCCGTCCTGAATGCATCCCACAAGCTCCCAGAAAACCAACACCGACGTTCTTAGTATTTCAGGCTGGACGTTCTTGGGCTCCACGTTCTTCAGCGCGCGCCTCTACTGTAGGCCGCTTCAAAGAGATACCCCGGTACATGCAAACCATACACATGCATACATGAGCAGAGTAAAGCGCGGTGGAACTTGGCCTGGCTCGATAGCACATGCCGTTGGCATAGCTTCAGGGATTAAAAAAATGACTTCTGGGTCAAATAACTCAAATTGGATCCGCATTTTTTTTATAATCATTGCGAAGTACAGTACGTGTCTTGTGGGCAGGCTTCTAAAGTCGTACGGTGGAGTGGCTTTTTCGGTACCAGCAAGGAGTCATCGGTTAGAAGGGCCCAATCCAATCACTACCAGTGGATCTGTCACCCTACTAGGAAGGAAACCACCCAAACGCGTATGGAATGAATCCACCGGAATCCTGGATCAAATAGTCAGCATATTATACCGTACTCAGCATTGTCATGACTCTGGGCTGGCTATGACTGAGAGAGTATATGAAACCCAGAGTCACACATAATATATGTACCAGGCGCGTGCTCGGCGATGGGCACGGGGGGCACGTGCACCCCCAAAAATTTTCAATCTGGGTAATTGCAATTGTAATGTATGCAAATATGCTCTAAAATTCAAGAAAGGTTGCAAACAAATTGCAGAAAATTGCCGGGGGGGGCTCCCCTCGGCTCCCGTGCACCCCCCTAGTTGGGGGGGCCGAGCACGCCCCTGTGTACATTCATACTTATGGTTGTGCGGTGCAAACCTCTAACTAAGGACCACCTGCCACTAAAGACCGCTTTTTCTGGCCCCAAGGGGTGGTCGTTAGTTTACAGGTTTTACTGTACTTCGAACTATGATGCAATCCAGGAATTTCGCCGTGACGGACACAATGGAGAAAAGTCACAAGCTGCACACAGTCACTCTGGGTTTCATGTACTCTTGCTGTGACGTGGCACTGTCAAGCTCTACACTGCTATAGAAGCATGTAGGGAAGTGGTTGGCATGGCACTTGAGCTTGTGTTGCCTCTGCCACTGAAACTTCATTGACTCCCACCATCATCCATACGAGAAGCCCGTGACATCAGAACCGTTGGCACAACCTCTCCAATGTGCAAACTCTGACTCAAATTTCTATCTAGAGTTTGCAAGTTAGTTGCTCGGCAGGCTGGAAACCGTTGAGACCATAACAGATGTATGCTGGCAAGTAGTTTCCCTGGTACCGTTTGGCCTTAATTAAAGTTCATGAAAATTACTAATGCCACAAACTACATTAGCCTCGGGGTCTACTCAAGCTCAACTCACGATCACGAGAAGTACATTTCTCTGAAAAACATGCCTTGAAGAAGGGGTACATGTAAAGCCTGATGACGTAGATCAGAAATTGTGATGCGAACGGAGTTGCACACTCTATGGGGAATATGCACTCTTGCTCTTGCTGTCAGTGACCATGTACAATCATGTACAGTCAACTTCGCTTATAACGACACTCGGCGGGGCATCAGAAAGGTGTCCTTATTCGCGAAGTGTCGTTATACCCGAAGTCTCATTGCATGAATTACAGTGGGATGGGACTTCGCTCTGGGCATGGGAATTCTGTCGTTATTCGCGAATTGTCGTTATATCCGCAGTCGTTATTAGCGAAGTTGACTGTAGTTGGGATATGCAATCAATGTACCGCATCCACGTGTTACAGATCACCTCAGAAATCATCCTCTACAGTCAACCATGGGGCACTGTTCATGCATTCTTATGCAGTGATGAATGGTACAAAATACACTGTTTTCTTAGTTGGGCATCGTTTTACTTACAATAGATAGCAGCAGATGGCAGTCAGCACCAGCATGGTCTGAGCGACACTGCAGTTGCAACCACACAAATGAGACAGAGATTCGGTCACCTGTCATGTGAAGCAGTGTGCTTACTGCTGATTTGAATGGCTTGCTTCACTAACCCTTTGTTCGGACTTGATGGAAACCGCATTGCTACGATCACGGGGCCCACTATGGCCACTGCCGCCCAGAAGGCAGTGACGATGGTCACAACAGACAGAGCATTCATTTTTACGACCCGGCTTCTGCTCGATCTGAATCAATGACAATGATGTGGTTCCTGGTGTGGTCAACAAAAGTCAAACCATCCACGACGTTCACCACATGCACTGAGCTACACACATGATTAGTCACACTGCACTGACTTCCTTCTGGACGAAATCCTCGGTGATCCGGTGCATATTGAGATTTGGGTGCATATTGTTTTTAAAACCCATCCATCTATCCATAAATCGCCCCCTGTCTTGGAACATTTTGAGTTTTGATCTGAAACATTGAATATTGATGGTCAAACGAAAATTAATTGCATTTGTGGGCAATGCCGCGTATAACTACTCATTGCCACTAATAATAGCAAGAGTATTATATAGCTATAAAGTGGACCGTATCTGATGAGAGAAGACTAGCAATTAATTTCTTGAGACGGTCACGAGCTTCTTTCCAGTCTGTGCATGCGAATAATATTTTTGCATTCGAGTGCTTTCATTCGAATTTGAAAGTTTATTGAATGACTTTGAAAATGGCAGCATATCTCAACTGACGCATCAGGATAACTTCGTGGGAGCGAGCATGGCAAGTGATTTGGTCGATTCGCTCGAGGAATCCATGAAGGTACATTGTACTGGATAGAGATTGAGACCGATTCTGAATGTTGCCATAGTCTTTGCAAAGCCCTATTTGCTCACACCCGAATTTCGAACAGTGGCTGGACTCTGGCCAGATACTGTACATGTATTCTGAAATTTATGCAAGGCAGCATGTTTATAGAAAACGTCACAAAAATGCGTTATCCTGCATTCATGGAACTGGGGTGTGCAGTACAAATACACAGTTATGGCTTTCCAGCCATTCTCAAGATGTTCTGGACGTAGTACATGTGACGAAGCCAGGGCCCAGCGGCCTTCATGGTGTATGAGTGGGCCGGTGATGTTTGCGTATACCATGTAATGAAGTGATCATGTGTGACAGAGCCGTAGACTACAATGTGACTGCACGCACCCTGTAGGCTCTCGTCACGTACACACACATAGTCACAACTCGATCACATCGTGATGGACAACGCCTGGTCGCACATGTACCATTGGACACATGCCGTCAAGATCGTCTTGTGCGCAAACACAACCAGCAATGCGAGGGGCATAAACACAAGATCTCTTCTTGGACATACACTCATTTTGCCACCACTGTGCAGGCACACTGGCTGGACATCCGTTGCCTGCAGTTTGGCTTTGTCTCTTGTCCTCAAGCTGTGTTGGTGTTTGTATGTGCCCTACCGTTGACCCAGTACACCCTGTCGTGATCGCACCCGAAATTAAATGTCAAAGCTTCAGAACCTATAGTCTTCCAGGTGTTGAGTAGAGATAGAACTTGTCCTAGGAGGCTGCCATGCATCGTTCGTCAGGTTTTCCTAATCCAACTCACCTTACCGGTATATTCCTGTGACGGTATAATAGCATCACACCTCATAAGTCAAAATCACACGCGCCAGTACATCTCAAGTGTAGTATACTAGTAGCTGATTTTTGGAGCTCATTCTTTTGAGGAACACTGTGTTACAGCACTTCTGAATACTCTATTTTCAGAAATTTTCGGTATAAGGGCAAAAGGCTGGGTTAGGTGAACAGAACTTTTAGGTACAGCGAAGCAGTTCCCTATTGGATTATGTGTGTTAGTGTTTGTTCGGTGTATTGAAAATTTAGGTTTCAAACAAGTGCACTGAAATTACCGAAAATAAAAGTACACCGAAAATTTGTGAAAGTACAGTAATACCATGAGTTTCGGGGGAAAGAGCAGGAGTCCGGTGGCCTAATTTACTAAGGCTGCATTCGATTGTGGTACCTGAATCCGGATCCCCGCCAAGCTGATCAATTCGATCGAGTGGATCCCATTGAACAGTTTAACCGATTTCAGATCCATGTAGTTTCACAAGGATTGGGGTCGGCATAGCAATCAAGAATGCCCTGCCCAAAACTCTGGCTGTGAAGGGTACTCATGCGCAGGCCAAGAATTTTTGAACCACGGCAAGAAAAGCAAGAAAATTTGCCCAACTTTGGGAGCAGAGCGAAAATGAATATGTCGAATCAGTTGAATCTGCCTTTGGGAGGTGGGTTGACCGGATCCGAATCTGTGTGACCTTGATCGAGATTCGTACAATCGAACAAGTCCAAGCTTGGCGAATCCGGAGGGCCCACGGATTCGCACAGTCGAACATGCCCAATGACTGTACAGGTATTTGTGAAAGAAACTCATCTTTTTCTTGTCTGTTGTGTCTGGTTCCATGCTCACCTTCTTTTGTCGAATAGGATCTCGTCAGCTTGGCCCTACGAGGACGCAGTGAAATTACTCTGTTCGGACCAGAGATGACCCAAGACGGTAGGGAACCTGATGTGCTAAACGAAACCTGGCAATCACTCACAACCGTGCATCCACCACACACACACACACACACACACACACACACACACACACACACACGCACACACACGCACACACACGAACGCATGTGCACACACATGCCCGCCCATGCTCACGCATTCGATTTTCAAAACCATACAGACGCAAAGTCATAGCCTGACATTGCAGCGCTGCATACAGTGAAATGCAAGGTCCTGAACAAGGCAGCCACATGGGATGCTCACAGGCTTGCACACTTATGTTATACTGTATTTGCATGAAAGATGCGAGGCTCTGCTCCAAAGCCATTTCCTGTATTACATGTACACTGGGCAACCAGGACAGAGAATAGTTGGATAGCGGGGTTCACTAGTTCACTGTGCTTACTGATGTTACTATGCATCAATTCCTATCCGGCGCAGAGCATAAATTTGTCAATCTCTCTGTGTCCAACTGAATAACCAAGCTTTGGCCTGTGTACCTTTGTGTCTGCATCTGACGCCTTCATCCTTGAGGGTGTTGGTGTTCTTTGGAATGGCTGCCATTCGCGCAAGCTGTGAGAAATATTTTGTTGAACGTTTGTGTGCGTACTGTACACTAAACCATTGTCTTGTATTTTTGTTTTATCTTGCATTGTGTACCATTTGGAAGAGCATGAACAGAGGCTACAGGAGTTCATCATAGCCTGTAGAAAGTTGGAGGCGTTTTTCGTTCTGAAGCAGCAGTCAGCTAAGCCTGACTCAGACACCCTGGTTGAGAAAGTAAGATGTAATGGATGCTTCCGCTATGTTTACATTCACTACTGAACGTTGATGATCTCCTTTAATCCGGCCACGATTCATCTGACAAAGGGCTAGTTCTAGCACTATCATCATTGTCTCACTGCACATTGCCCTACTCAACACTTCTCACTCCTTGTCTTCATGGTCCAATCTCCAGGACTGAACAAAAAATTGGCGAGTACCATTGCAAAGTGACCCTGTGCTCTTTCCAACGAAAGTAATGTGCCCTCTTTGTCTGTATCGTTGGTTGCTTGCTTGAAGGAGCTAAAAGAAATCCGCGCTCGAATTGAAGCACAGAAGGCAGCCCTTGTACAGCATCGCAGCACTGTGCAGCAGTGTATGGATCTCCTTGAGGGGTTGCAGAAAAAGTCACCAGCCCAGTCTCACTGAAGGCAGCAGCAGTGGCAGGAACCGACTGCTCCATTCGTTAATTACCCTGCGTGTGTGTGTGTTAGTGTGCGTTGATTTGTTTGTGGTGGTCAGTCGTGTAGGTCTGTGATCGTCATTAAGTTGAGCTGAGTACTGAAGTAAGATATACATATTATCGCTTCACATGCTTGTGTTGCACATTCACCATCCTGTTGTCGACCTGTAGTACTGTACCCATACCAGTGCCTTTCTTTTTGCTTTCGGTGGATAATGTGCACTCTAATGCCCCGGTAGATCCACTGCTAAGTGCTGTGCATTCTGGGACAGTTCTCCAAGCCCGAGCCACGGCACCAGTACTACTACATTCTACATGCTTTCGATCAAGCAAGGCTTCTATATATACCATACATTGTACATGTATTACACTAGACAGGGGCGTTTTTCGCTCTCCTTTTCCACGAAACGTGAGTTTTTTTCTAATCTCAACTTTATCCATTTCCATAGGAATGAAGTAACAAAACAGTTATAATTCCAAGAGAAAGTCATGTCGCGCATGCTCACAGACCATATCACGCAAACCGCACACTAATATTGTCATACGAGTAGTGTATTGGCATTGCCTCATGAAATGTTTTCTTTCTTACTATTGTTTCTTCTACAATGACTAGTACAATGTTTAAAAAAAAAAAAAAAAAAGACCTAACAAACTAGGCCTACAGTCAGCATGTAGCTGCAATGTCTGACGTTGAGCCAAGTTGTTAGAGCAACGGCCGTGCAGTAAGACTAAGAAGTATGGGGATACAGCAGTTTACTGTTGCCGTGTCATTCTCATCCATATTCGAATGAGCAGTGGACTATCACATGGTTACAAAGACAGGAAGAATACAACGTGGCTCGTCGCTCTATTAGCTTCCACTATACAAGTGCTGACGGCCACAGCATTAGACCATTGTCAATGCCATTTTCGATTTTCAAGCCACAGTGGTCGACCGCTTGGCGTTTCTCTCAAGTAACACCTTTCGAGTGCAGTGACCAAGACTGCTGACAAAAGCACAGGTCACAGGAGAGGATAGTGGCTGCAGGTGTGCACCTTGCTGACAATGGAAGCAGAAGATAACAGCCACGAAGACAAGACAGTGGACACAGGGAACTGTAAATTGCTTATAACGTTATCAGCTCTCCGGAACTGATGTTGTAATGCGAAGGCCGTGCATTGCCTTGATCTCAGCAGCCAACGCCTGGAGAGAGAGAGAGAGAGATCAGAGCTGAGCAGAGATAAGCGGAAGAGCGTGCAGGAAAGGGAAAGATCGCAACAAAGCAACACTCAAAGCCTAGGCTTTTTAGCAATGTGAAGTAGGTATTGGTTATAGCGTGGGTGTTTGAAAAACGACTTTCTATTCTTTAATATTTCCGATATTTCTTACACGCGATAAATCAAGTGCGACATATCATATGCATGTGTGCAGAGGTTAGACGGCCATCATACATGCCACGTATCGCTGCTGTGCATGCGGGTGTTGATAGTCCCATAAGCTTACCATGCGGCTATGCAGCATGAGTTACATGACAAAAACAGTTCAACCGGCAGCACTTCGATGCAATGTGAGTCGGATCAGAATTGCATTGGACAGATGGTATTACTACAGGTAATACACTTTGTGCTAATCTGGCATGTTTTGCTACACAAAGTCCATTTTTAGGAGTCGTTAGGACCGATATATTCTACTATGCGATAACATTGCTTGTAAGAATAAATGTTCACTTAACCCACGTTATAATTATCAAATTATGAGAGTTCATTCTTGTAGGCAGTATATTTTTCACACGACCACACTATAATAACCGATACCAAGAGTACATAACCCTCCAGAGTGTGCAACGCCTGATCCAGCTCTGCATAGGGTCTTGGTCGAGCGGAATCGGATCTTTGCGTCATAATATCGTACATATCTGAGGGGAACCCGGGGAGTCGCGGGCACTCTCGGATCAAAAACAACGGTGCCCTGCCTCGAGACCGGCCTTGCGCTGGTGTAGAGTGTACGCATGACATCAGAAGATCCGATTCCGCTCGACCAAGACCCTATGCAGAGCTGGGTCGGCGTTGCACACTCTGGGGGGTTATGTACTCTTGCCGATACGTACTGTACTTGCATGTGAAATTATGCGATTTCAGTATTTCATCCTAGCTAAACTCACCTTGTTTACCATCTTATGCTGCTCAACTTGACGCTTTCCACGGAAGGCTTCACTTTCAACAGAAACTTCGTACATAGAACCGCATCCACCTTTAGGACACCCAGCAGAAGATAACGCAAAAAGAAGGGTACATATTAAACCAAACACACCAACCTTTGCCAACAATCACTTGCTGGATGTGAAGCGTCTTATCATCTATCATCTTTACCGTATTTAACCGGTTATAGGTCGACCCCTCTTATTTCTATTTTTAAAGTTCTCAGTTCTCACCCAACCAAGCACTGCTAACCACTCCCTGCTACTAACACATCAACAAATCACATAAACACTCCTCATTGGAGGGTGAAACATCCAAATCCTGGAAAAAGGCAACTAAACTGGCAAAAATGCGTACACATGGTGCACTCGTGCATGCATTGCAGGTCATTTTCGGAAGTTAGTTGTCGGTAGTTCCCGGTTATAAGTCGAATCCCGGTTGTAAGTCGACTCCCAACATTTCTCCTTCAACTTTTAGTCGTAAACGGTCGACTTATATTAAACCGGTAAAATACGGCAATAGACTCCCTTAGCGAAAAAACGTTATGTTGTAACGGTATTACCGTAAGGGGAAAAATACCGTGATTTGGGTTCGACCTTTAGCAAGATCCATGCTATTTTTTAGTATGCTGTTGCCAGGAGAATAGCTTTTATTTCGCGCGATACAACCCTTTATATCACCATATACGCGATACAAGGTGAAATGCGTACGGACTATGCAATATTGGCCAAAAGCGTACCGCTTGTCACAACGATAAATCAGCTCCCATAACGTTTTTACGTTGCAACTTCAACGCTATATGGGTGATCAAGGTACGAGTACCGTAAAAAAATAGGGTTACCTTTGTTTGCTAAGGGCGTCTAATATACTTTTGAAACGTCCACAAGTTGATGAGGTGTTCCAATTCAAATTCCTTCAGAGAGATTCTCAAAGTTGTTTGACAACACCCTCTCCGCTAACACCTGGAAAACCCAGCGGCAGATGCAGCGCCTACCGGTGGGCCATGGGAGTGAAGGGATAAGTCTCACAACCATGGATCCTGTATAACGTTTCGTATAAAAGCCGCACTCGAATAGCAGCTATGGATTCAAAACGTGACACACCCTTGTGTACTGTAGCGAAGGGAATGGTATGGGGTGTATGTAGTAGGGACTTCATCCCAAGTGCCATGATGTGCTCTCTTCTGTTTCTCTTATCACTCAAAACTTCGTCGCCTTCGCCATGTTGCTGTTCTTTTGAACTGGTGCACTTTGTGTTATCTCTTCTGATCCAGTTTGTCTCGTTTCTTTATGTTTCGCTCACAGTCCTGAAGCCCAGGGCCTGCCTGGCTCTTTTGTTTTGCTTTCATGTTCTTTTTTTCGCGTACTGTGAAATACCTCTGTTATCCACAGTCTCATGCCTCCTATAACTTCTAATTACCAGTGTTAGTGATCCACCGAGGACTAGGAATGCTGTCCTAAAAAATCAAACGAATGGGTAAGCAGACAAACCGGTATTATGCTTGTGTGGATGTTGGTATGCCGTGGTAGTGTGTGAGACAGCACATTCGCACACAAGCTGGTCCTGTATACTACAATAGAAGCATGTCTAACATGGAATATTGGAAGCGTCAAAAACTACTCGATCGTAAGTACATACTGTACCCCGACTCAGTTACGAGCCAGTGCACATGCATAGCATTTCCACGAACATGGCACTAGCACACACTTGAAACGCGATGTGGCCCATCCACCGCTTCAGGGGCTGCATCAAATTCACTTGGCTAAAATTTTAAAAATCTTTGATGCACTGTGCCGATATACACAGTGCTGCTCAATGAATTCCGATCAAATCGGCGAGTCAGCATTGCGCCCTGAACAAGTGAAAATCCCAGTGTTGCCAGGTCTAGGGCTGCGCAGCGCCCGGCGTGTACTCACGCGGTCAGATTTCATTGAGCAGGACCGTACGTTCTAGTGTACCGGTACGGTCAGAAGGTGTGCCAAACAATATGAAAGCCTGTAGTATAATTTGCGTTCCGCCGTAAATTTCTATATCATCATTATTATTATACATTTCAAAAATGCAACAATCTTTTCTCCTCCATGAACAAAAAATATATAATTACCAGATATATCCGCCACTTCAATTGACGTTGGGCTGAAGGCTTTTTGCAAAACTTCTGCTATCTGCTTTTCTCCATCACTGTTTGCGGATACACACATGAATCTCTGAGCTGGAGATGTAATTCTGTTAGCTGTGCTTGAGAAAATACGACTAACGATTCTTGCGGCCATTCTGTTTCAAGGCCAAGGGTTTCAGAGATTCAGTATTCTGCTTTCGGACAGAATAGAGGTAACTGTAGTATATATACTGTAGCAATAATTAACTACACCGGTACACCGCAATTGTCATTGAAAGAAATACTCACTGCTCAGTGAAATGACGAGAAAATAATTCTTTTTGAATTATAATTCGTGCACACGAATGCACGTGACCAGTTGAGACGTCACTCCATAGTTACAGTACTGTATTTTGTGCAGGGAGTCGTAAAATACCGGGAGGCGACACGCCACACATTTCACGATCCGAGGATTGCCGCACTCGACCCGCGAAATTTGAAGCGTGATTGAAACGTCGTCGTCATCTTCTTTTTCTCAATTGTTTTTGCTATATGCTTCGAGGCTATTCTGGATCTCCAGAGCGAAAGCTGGTTGTTTCTGATACGTACCACGCATTACCTTAGGTTGAGCCGTGGCTTTTAATTTTTTTTTGGAAGTTCACTGCTTTGGAGACGACGGAATGTCAAGGTAAGTTATTCACGAAATGTACTCAAATTTGAATTGAGTCAATGCGAATGACACCCTGTTTTCGGAATAATTCTCCACTAAACACACCATGCCCATGGCCCCTTCATGTTGTCCAAGTTCCATTCTAGGTTTGTGTGAAGTTTCGAGATGAAGTTCGACGATGTACTCACCTTTCCATGGAAGGGAAAAAAAGTAGCATATCAAACAGAATCCATGCAGTATTTGATGCCACTATCCTCATTCTTCTGCATTCAAAGTGTTTCACATCTATATGGCCCATGAACTGCAAACAATATTTGTCATTTCTTAACTGTTCATAGCTGTTCATAACTGTTCTGAACACATTGCCTTCAGGAAACGTAAGGCCGAGTCGCCTCACCGACTGAGCAAAGTTCTCTGCGACGAAAGTCACACTATCGGCGAATGCACTCAAGGTGAATACCCGTCAATATCCTGTATACTGCTTGTACCGCTTATCACAGTAGCATACACACAAGCACACAAGCACACATACACACACACACACACACACACACACACACACACACACACACACACACACACACACATGCATGCTCGTGCACACACAAGCGCAAAATTCACATATCACTGGTTCAGTTGTTTTTATCTGTGTCGTATTTTGTCTTATACAGAGCTTCCGAGCCACGCCGAGTCACCTGACCAACTGAAGAAGGTTCTGTGCGACGAAAGTCACACTATCGGCTAATGCACTCAAGGTGAATACCCTGTGGACTGCTTATACCACTTATCACAGAAGCACACACACACACACACACACACACACACACACACACACACACACACACACACACACACACACACACACACACACAAGCACAAAATTCACATATCACTGGTTCAGTTGTTTTTATCTGTGACGTATGGTGTCTTATACAGAGCTTCCGAGCCACGCCGGGCCACCTGAATTCTCCAAACAAGGCTGAAGGCTTGTCACGGCATCCTTGCCAAATAAAGGTAGCTGCAGCAAGTTGTCGTTGCGACACCTTGCTCCTTCCAGCTCACGCCGCACGGCCACCAAGCACCAACCACCATGGTACTTTTCAGCAAGGTGAGACAAATTGTCAATCACCGGTTCGGGGATGGCTTCAGCAGCTTTGGATGGTGCTATTGACGCTTTCCTGATAGCAGCGGCAGCCGTGGCATGCAGGTAGCTTATCAGATTCGCTAGCACTGCAGATGTAACTTCCAAATCTGAAGAAGAGAAAAGAAAAAGACAACATATAAGGACTGGTGGTTGCAGAGACTGTACTAGTATTCAAAAGCCAGCGTTTGCATACCTAGTCTGCATACCTAGTCAGAAGCCAATTTTTTTCCAACATGCGTGCAAAACGCACTGACCTTCACAATTGATTTTCACTTCGGGAATAGCTGTTGCGATGACGGACAGCATTTGTTGCCATGCTTGCGAAATATCAGCACCCTTGCATGCCTTCAGCTGGCACACTTCCTGGCGTAGCAGATTTGCAGTACCTGATGCCTTGTGTAACCGTGTCATAATAACATGCAGGAATGACTCCGTCGCCTCAGTAACACTCGCCTGTCTCATTGTCAGCAGTTTGCAAATTCCATGGATCACTGCACCTTCCATAGGCCTGTACACCATGATGGCACTACCACTCTTACATCGATCTGCACATAGACAAAGTATGGTTTGAGGATGGAGGTTTACATCATCTACGGTGATGATACATACTAGGTACACACGTAAATTTTCAGGACTTCAATAAATATCCTGTCACAGTGAACAGACAATGCATCGTGGGCAGACTAGGATGAAAAGGATGGTGTCGACCACCTAATTTATCGGGTCAGTTCGGGCACTTAGGTATGCTACAGATTATACATTCGTGTCCACAAGGAAGAGACAAAAACATGCAAACGAAAGAATCTCACCTGTAGCCCACAGCTGAACATCCCCACAACTCAGGTCA